GGAAATTGAAATGTCACTGGTGGGTGAACGCGAGCACCTTTCCCATTGATGGCTATGTCGTCGGCTGATACATATCTCAAGCAAGGCAAATATTTAGCGGGATATTACAGAAGGTTATTATAGAAAGTGAGTAAGCTTTTCACAATATAGGGACATTGTACTCCTACTGCATGACATGTTTTATTATCTTTTTGCTGAATGTTTGAAATACCCTATGCAAAGGTTATTCATGCATATGCTGTTCCTTAAAGTCAGAGGTGGGCACAGGAAATCCTATCCATAAATTTCCATTGATTACTTTAAATCTAGGCAAGACTCATGCCTTTCTCAAGTTGTCTGTGATCCATCTTACTATGTAAGAGCAGGGTTTAGATTAATCTCTTGCTGCTAGTGATGGGAATTCAGGCTATTTAAAGTGATCCAGATTATTTGGCACAACTCAGAAAGATGGCTCCTGTAACACCAGAACAGGTTTCCCCAAAGCCGACATATTGTTTTCATGCAAGAGCTAGCTTTTAGAACTGAGTCATTCTCAACCAACACACTACAAGGCTCACTATCCTAATGCAGATGCCGTCTGCTGCCACAGAAATCTGAAGTTAAATGGTGAGTAGGTTTGGTTTTTGCCATGAATCAGGAAGTAGTTTTTATCTCAGCCGTGCATGCTCTAATCTGGCCTGAACTGTCTATGCATAATAGAGGTCAAGACCCAATCGCATTCAAAGCACCACCTGGTGCTAGTAGGAAATGTCATGGTGCTAATCTATGAGCCACAGCTCCAAGATTATTGAATACATCTGCATCATTTTCATGCAGGATATCTTTGAGATCATAACTAGGCTTTCCACAAGTCTGCTGAATTCCCGCAATGAGGTCCACCAACGCCAAAAATGACCATGTGAAGGAAAACCGACCAAAACAAAAATTAGAGTTTAAAGTTATGCCAAATCTGCCTGTGTTCAAAGGTTGAAGGGTGTAGCTGTGGTGAGTCCTTACAGGAGGCAGTTTTTGTCTCAGCCATGCATGCTCCAGTCTAGCCCAAACTAACCATGAGTTATAGGGATCAAGGCCTGAGCCTGTCCACACGTTAAAAACCTACAAAAACAGGAACACCAATAATAAGCAATAACAGATAGACATGTGCCCAACTCTGCTTAGATCACTTACGGGAGGTTTTTGCTCAGCAGCCACCTGTTCTTACTCTCCACTGCTTCTCTCTCAGGTTCAAAGGACAAAGTAACCATTCCAACCTCAAGCTTTCCCAGACTTTCTGTCACTGATGGGCAGTCATCTCCAGCCTCCCCGTCCTCTATCTCCCTCTCTACCTCGGAACTGTCTCCATCTTCTCCTAAAACAGCGGCCCCGGAAGAGTTCTATGGCGGTGATTCCAGGGCATCCGGCTCTCCTGGGTCTGGGCAGGAGCATGGCAGGCAGGCCAATAGATCAAGAGGACAACAGCTCTCTCACCACAACCATAAGCGTACAACCAGTCCCAGCACCCAGGCGAGGAAAACAGACAGGGGTGATTCCAAGTCTGCTAGTCCCATGAGAGCCACAGATCTCGTAGATCGCTCCCCAAGCCCAAGGAAAACAGAGCGAGGCCACGGTGGATCCCTGGAGGATATGAATAAAGAGAGGAAAGCTCAAGGGCAGAGAGACCACCGCTCCTCTAGCCCTAGGAAGACCTCCAAGAAGGAGTATGATCCTCCTGTGCCTCTGATGAACGTGGTTGAACCCCAGAGCCCCAGGCGTCCAGCTGGCCAACAGCCGAGCAGTGTTCCTGGAGAAGGAAAGGACCGCAGGTACAAGGAAGAGGATCTAGCCTACTGGCAGGAAGGTGGAGACAAAATGCTCGGGACCAGTGAACGCCACAGGAAGAGCAAAAAGGTTGAGCAAGAGGCAACAGCACAAAATTACCATTCCCAAACACACAGGGAGAGGGCCGGGTCCGATGTTGATAGTGGGACCTTGAACCGGAGGAGTGGCAGAGAGAAGGGGGATAAGGAACATCAGGAAAACAAGCATCTCGGGCCAGGTGAGGAAGAAAATAAAAAGGACCCCAGAGGTTCCAGCAGTAGCATCCAAGATCCTAGCTTAAACGGGACCACCACCACTACCAAGAAAGCTCAGATCACCCCTGGTCCATGGAAGGTTCCAAGTTCTGCCAAGATCCAGTCCCAAGTGGAGGCATCATTTGCAGATGTTTGATATCCTCCCGGGACTGTCTGCATAAATCAAACTGAAGCTGAGCCCCTCGTTACAAACATTCGGGATTGAAGGTTTTTGTTTTTTCTTTGCAATCTCAGACAAAGCAGAACACTGTGTAACCAGCAACATAGCTTCTCATCGCTTTTTTTCACCCAGTTTGCCTAGGTCAGTTTGCATCAAGGTGCTGATGTCTGATCTGACATGCGTGCTTGTACCAACACGAGTATTTGAACAGTGTGGATTGTTGGTTTTCTGAGTGTGATCTTTGGATGTGACACTAAAGTCTATTTTGTGCCAATCAGGGACTCGGGTTATAAAGAAGCTGCTCTGTTTTGCACTCACTGTGAGACTGTTTATGGGTGACAAGATGAACTGCTCTCCACGACTCGATGAAGGATCTGTCTTTTTTGACACTTCGAAGGTTTAAGACTTAATAATACAATCACTCAGCTCTTCTTCCAGACATGATTGATTCACTGTCCCTGTCACTGATGGATGTACTAAAGAGTGAGGCTGCTGAGTTTCCCTTGAATTCGGCTGCAGAAGTCATCGTCTGTATGTTTTTAAGGGAGTGTTTTTGACTTGTTGACTGTACGACTGTATTCATTCTTCACATGAGAAGACTCTGAAACCTTCTGTCTCCATTAGCTTATCAGAGGGTCGACGGACTACCCTGCAGCTTTATATGCATCAATCAGCAGACCAGATACTTGTGGTTATAGTAATGTTTGTTATACGTATGTGTGTTAATAATGAAGCATAATGTAATTTATTGAAATTCTATGTAAACAAAACTTACACATATCCATTCTGAGTCATTTCACCGTCAGTGTGGACTTGATAGTAGAAATAGAATGTGCAGATAAGCATCACCATTCAAACTAATTGATAAGACTTTTAAAATGAAATCTATACATTCTATTTCTGCAGTTTCGTTGTCTCTAAACAGTCAAACAAGCCCGACTCATAATGCCGTCTACTCCGTAGCAGCTCTGTATTTTTGGTCCTCGAATATGTGTGTATACAAGAGGACTGTTAGGCCTGTGTATTTTAGAAATCACTGTAGCATCGACTATACTTAATCCAAAATATAATTTAACAAAGTTATTACACGTATATTTGCAAATGGTATAGATGGGTTGAAGTGAAAGAGCCTGATTGTAAAGAGAAGTGAGCCCTCTGCCTTCTACTTGTTAAACTTTAAGAGATATTTTTATCAATATAAATGTAGGCACAAAAAGCATATCGCTTTTCTTCACTCTAACCTCAAAATCTATTTTTGATCAAATTTTTTATTTAGTGTATTACCCTTAATGTGAAAAACTAGTATGTACATTGTTTGCTTGATTGTTGTTAATCATTATCAACACCATGGTGGGCACTTTTACGTGAGAATCAGTGCCAGGCTCCCTGAGAAGGTGATAATTTCCCAACGAGAGAGGGGCAATCATCAGGAAATGCTGTCCTTTGGTGGTTTGGAAATGCTGCATAATGTGAAAATAGCTTCACTGCTTTTTGGGAGTCTGGTTTGAAATGAGTCCAAGTCCGGGATGAAAATTGCAGATATTTCTTGTAATTTATTAGGACCCTGCTCTGAGGACAAATTATCGTGTCAATGTTGCTACTGTGGAGTACAGAGACATCTAGTGGTTTATAGTCTGCTTTACAAACTAGCCACTGCTTGAACTCCACCCTCATCCGCCTGTATGAAGATGTACAATAATAACACATGCATCTACTGGTCTGTGAGGCCACTTACTAATTTATTGTCCACTCAATTGTTGATATGACAGGCTACTGTATTGATTAATATTCATGTCATTACCATGTATGATACTGTGGCCTTGCATTGCTCCAACATATATGAAGAAAACTTTTAGTTTTGACATCATGGTAGATGTAAATGTTTATAAATTGTACAGCACCTGTATAAATATTTGCCTTCATGCAGAAAAAAAAAAATCCTCTGTAAATCGTTTCATTATTTTTTTAAGGGAAGAGAGAGGAGATGATATAAAATAGGTGAAAGAATAACCTGGTCATGGCATTCTGTTCATGCACTGATAAATAAAGGTTTACTGAATAAATGTGATTCAGACATTTTTATTTATTTGAATAGGAGCTGATGATATTAATCGAATGTACTTCACTTATACCCTTATTTTCCAGTTCTTCCAGTGGGATGTCACTGCTGTAAGAAAAGTCACCATACTTTTAAAGGTAATTTTCCCATTTGAAGGCCATATTGAAAGTTAAATCTCCATATGTACACATTAGTGTTTTATAGTTTGTTTTTAGTTATTTGTTTCAATGTTTTTAAATAGATTTTTAAAAACATTGAAACTATATTTTACTTTTTAATATCTGCTTTTATTTTATTCATTGTTTTAATTGTTTTTTTTAAATTGTTTTTTATGTTTGCATTGTTTTGTCTATTTATGAACAGCACTTTGTTCAGCTACGGTTGTTTTAATGTGCTTTACAAATAAAGTTGAGTTGAGTAAAATGGAGGAAACACTGCCTCACGTGGCGGTCAATAAATTAGCCATGACGTCAGCTGAGCAGAAGTGAGTGCGTGCGAATCTGCACGCCTTCAGTACAGTATAAACATCAACTCCCATGTAACTTTGCAACTTCATCAGACTACAAAACCCACAGGTCCGTACGCTACGCATGCGTGATAGCACCAACATTAGAAATTGGACTACAAATGAGAGTCAGGAGGACTACATTTTTGTTTGGACCTGCGCAGTTGTCACTCAGAGACCTTTAAATTTACTGTACGTGCAAAGATGGCAGCCCAAGTCGACTTGCTCCGTGCGAAAGTAGAAGAGGAAAGATTCAGGATGAGTCTCGATAGATTCATGAAAGAGAAGAAAAAGAAGAAGAAGCGTGACCTGTCGCCGTCAGCTGTGAAACGAGAGAGATCCGAGAAAGAGGCGAAGAAAGTGAAGCTCCATCACCACCAACACCAACAACACGCCGAGCACCGGAGCCACCAGCCGCATCAGCTGCAGCAAAACCCCAAACCCCTCAACTTCAACGGGGACAAACACGTCCTGCACAAACACCACCATCACCAACACAACAACCACAGCCTCAGCAACGGGACGAAGAAGAACCTGCACCCGCCGTTGCCTCCCCCTTCTCCCGCAGCGCGGAGGAAGGTACCGGAGCAGCTGCCGAAGAAGAGAGCGGTTCCCCCGGAGCCACCTGCGCTCTTCACCTTCACTCCCCTGAAAATGGTCAAGGCCAAAGCCCAGGAGTTCAAAGACAAGCACCGGGAGAAGGAGCTGAAAGTCAAGCCCAAGAAGGAGAACACCGAGGCCAATGTGAAGCATGTGGAGGTGAAGAAGAAGAAGGGTGAGTGTTGTTATTTTGGGCCCAGCAAAACAAACATGGGGATATCCTGTCTAAAAAATACAGTTTTAGGTGTTTTTACTAATTTGTTGTGATCTGGATATTTACAGTTTTTATTCATCAGCTCTTAAATTTTGAATGCATGATCAAAATTTATCTTTTAATAAGATGTTGGATTTTATTTACCATGTTGGACACTCAATACAGAAGATATTTGCCCTAAAGTTATGATAAGTTGTCCGCTTTGTTTTGTTTGATTTCTGACCAGCTTTTCTGCTTCAAACCAAAAGGAATCTAAATTACCAACAAAGGGAGCTTAAAAAACAGCAAATATTAACATCTGAGAAGTTGGAACGGGAAATTTTGGAAGTTTTGTTTTAAAATGTGACCTAAAAAAATATATAATATTTCATAAGCTTAGTGTTCCCTTGAATCTAAATAATATGTTTAATGGGAGGGAAAAGATGGATCATCATTATATTTTAATTTGGAAAAGCTATTTTGATTATTTGTGATGCATTTGTGACATGTTTTCATATAAGGAAGTCACCATTAGACCATATTCTGTCCATATTAATGAACCTACCTCCAACTAATTGACTGATTCCAAGGTACACCACTGTTCAGTATAAAACCCTGAGCTGCTGCCAGGCTTTCCTTCTTTTTTGAGATCAAACAGAGTCACTTTCACTCTGAAACATTTGAGGATGTATGATCATTTATAGGATTTATATAATATTTTATCAAATATCCTGTTTTAAAAACTTTATCTAAAAGAAAGAACACACGAAAGGTTATTAAGTACAGCTTCAGTTTCATAGAAGTCTGAGTGCAACATGAACTACTAACTGCCTGATCACGTTCTGGCTCGGCATTCACAAATGTAGGTCAAAGCTGCTCCCATCAAAACAGGAAACCGCTTTGATGAAAGTGAAACTTTCCTGTGGTTTGATAAGACTAATATGATATTCTTCTTGGATATTATGGACATTAAATCTTCTGCTTTAAGATAAGTGGGACCATCTGGCCTTTTACTACGACTCTGTGATGGTTTGGGGACGTAGAAGTGCACATGGCAAGGGTAGCTCAGCACTATTGTTGCTGAACTATTCAGCGGGGTAAGTTGAGCCACCCCCTGTTGCTTTGAAATGGTAAAAGAAATTGATCATGTGACCAAATATTTAGAAGATGGACATCAATTCATGGAGTCTGTGAAGGTTAGAAGTACATGGGTGAAGGAGTTAGACATTTATTTACAAAAAATAAACATTTTTCACTCTTGAAAGTGAATTTAGTCTGTCATAACTTTTATTAGAATTGTGTTCAGACCAAAAAAAGATCATTTTAAATTTGTTTTATACATCAGTTATGGTATCTATGAGCAACAACATGAGGTCAAAAACTTAAAATAAAAGTCGGGAAAAGTAGTAGGGATATGGGTCAACTTACCCCGCTCCTATGGGGTAAGTTGACCATCGGAGACCACTTTTTTGGCATGTTATATTATCAAGACAGTTATGTTTACACTCACTCTGTTGGTTTGCAGGGATGAACAACATCATGCAATATTTATATATATGCATTCTTCATGCACTACAACAGCTCTGTAGTAGAAGAGTCTTGGTGCTAAACTGACCTGTCTGCAGGTTTAACTTGTTACCAAAACTCCCAAACTTCTAAATCATCAAACTATGTGTAGGTTAATATGGAATCAGTGCTGTATGAAATCATGAACCATTATTGTAAATGAACAATAAATGACAGAAGTACGTGTTCTTAATTTCTCTCTTCGTGTATTTCTGCACCTGTAGAGCCAAAGCCAAACAACGAGAACATCAAGTCTCTCACTCTGGAGGAATATCTCCTGAAGAAGAAAAAGAAGAAGAAGAAGCACAGAGAGGAGGAGCGCAGTGCCAAGAAGGTCCGACACGTGCACAACAAAGCGGTGCAGACTGCATGTTCAGGACCCGGAGCAGACCTCACTCTCGGCCCTGATCCAGCCGTGAAGTATGAAAACAATCACAGGGACCCTGTAAACAACCACCAACCCTACCTCCACCCTCTCAAACTGGAACACATCCCCTTCCTCTCCCACCAGGACCACTACATCCGCAGCTCCTGCCTCCAGACGGGCACCTATGGGCGCTTCATGCATGAGGAAAGGCAAGCCAATGGCGGGGGGCTGGTTCTGCACGCATACGCTGATGAGCTAGCTTGTCTGAGTCCAGCACAGATGGAGTGCTTTGCCCAGGAGTTCCTGGATTTGACCTTTGCTGAGAAGCCCAAAGGTGCAGCTACGTACGCTCTGACTGTGGTCCACGGTGCAGCTGCCTATCTTCCTGATTTCTTGGACTACTTCGCCTTCAACTTCCCGAACACACCGGTCAAAATGGAAATACTGGGAAAGAAAGACATTGAGACCACCACCATCGCCAACTTCCACTCTCAGGTATGTAACAGACAAAGTTTTCTCTAAACTTTGGTTAGATCCTGTATTTTTATCACAACCAAATAGATAATAATCCTAAATTCTGATAAGAGCAGCGCTTAGTTTATTTGTCTTTCCGATGTCAAATGTTTAAGTAAGTAAAATGTATGAAGTATGGCACCTTTTAAAGAAAAGATTCACAGTTAAAAATTCAAAATACAATCATAAAAATCAAGTAAAATTAAAGAACAATAACAAACAATGGCATGGATAAAGCATTAGTTATAACAGGGGGAGGTAAAGGCCTGTTTAAATAAGTGAGTCTTTAAAAGCTTTAGTTCAAAGTTCAAAGTTTAGTTTAATTTCTGACCAGCTTTTCTTCTTCGAACCAAAATGAATTCAAATTACCAACAAAAGAAGCTTAAAGAACAGCAAATATTAACATTTGAGAAGTTGGAACAGGAACTTTTGAAAGTTTCATTTTGAAATGTGACCTAAAAAGATCATTATCGCAGAAAAAATGCTTCTACTTTACTAGAGATAGAGATATGTGTGTCGGGCAAAGGTAAGTGTTCCCCTGAATCTAATATTAATCTAATATTTTAAAGTAATGAAAAACTATCAATCGCTTATGTGAGACGGACACGAGCAGACCTCTGTCCATCATTAATGAACAAACTCAGGAATCCTCCATCTAATTGACGGAGTCCAAGGTACACCACTGTTCAGTATAAAACCCTGAGCTGCTGCCAGGCTCTCCTTGTTCTTTGAGATCAAACAGAGTCGCTTTCACTCCTCGCAGGATAACACTTATCCTCGGCGCCTGAGAGAGACAGCAGAGCCAGGATGTTTGCATGTGTGATGTTAGATCTGCAGAGGGCCCAGCAGTGCTCTGTTTGTGCAGGGAAGGAGAGCAGACCCAGTTTGATCATTTCACCGCTTGAGTTTCCAGAGAATAAACCGACGCTATCATTGCCTGCATTTAAATATCTTGTTATATAAACGACATTTATCAGTTCAGTGTAGATAACTGCATACTAGAGGCTGTTGCAGCTCAGGTATGTAGACGTTAAAGGGATATTTCGGCGTAAAATTAATTTAATTTAGACACTTAATTTAAACCCACCAACACACATCCCTTTATAACCTCAGCAGACCAGTTTGACTCTGGTTAGCCTCAGACTGTGATCCAGAGTTAAGCTGGGTTAAATTAATTTTTAAGAGGGTTCAAATTTTTGTTCGGACCTATTGAGTCAACACAGCCCTGTTTTCAGTTTTCAATGGGTTGGTCTGAATAATTTTATCCCTGATACTACTGCAGTCATTTAAACTATTGTATATGCAGTAAAGAAATTTATGTTGGCAAAAGGGGGGTAGGAGCTCGATAAGTTTTAAACTTCATCCTACTCCTTTTCGGACATTGTTGTTGGTTTTCTTTTCTTCCTGATTTGTATTTTATTGTCTTATTTGATTAAATAATGTTCGAAATAAAATAAAAAGTAAGTAAAGTAAAGTACATCTCGGAAATTAGCTGATTCACAACATCCTTTGTAAACACAAAATAGAGAGAGCTGACTCTTTTGTTATTAAGATTGAGAAGGTTTAATTGTTCACAAACCAGTCAAATAACAAAAAATACACACTTAACAAAACCCTGATAACGTGTAAGACATAGCTGTAGTAAATGGGACACAATTACATCAGGAGTCCTTGTTGTTCTAGGTGAGCAGGACTTACTGTTCAGGAACGTACCGGTCTGGACCCATGAGGCAGATCAGCCTGGTTGGAGCTGTGGATGAAGAAGTCGGGGACTATTTCCCAGAGTTTCTCGACATGTTGGAGGAGTCACCTTTTCTTAAGGTCAGTGGAAAATAAAATCCTAACCACATCCCGCTGAATCTGCAGATTACAGCATGTTTCTGTCTGAAAGCTCATTAAGTTAAATTATAAGAGTAGTGCAGATGTATTATTATTATTATTGTTGTGACAGCTGTTCAGTCTCTTGTGCTTTTATATAAAAATAATAATAGTGTATTGTGGTTCTTTGAGATTAAATTTTATCAGTTACAACCAAAAACATGCTGTCGTCTTGTTTAAAACTAGTTTCCTTGTTTTTTACTGGTGATAAAAAAGTCATGGATTCAAGGAATAAGAAAGCTGATGATCTCAAATGTGCATGCTTGTCTCCCACCATAGATGACTCTACCATGGGGCAGCCTCTCTAGTCTGAAGCTGGATTGTCGCTCTCAGAGTGATGACGGGCCGATCATGTGGGTGAGACCAGGAGAGCAAATGGTTCCTACCGCTGATATGCCCAAGTCTCCTTTCAAAAGACGCAGGTAGGACCAGAACTTGAAGGAGATCCTGTATCTGTTTGTATAATCCAATCAAGACTAATACTTTCTTTCCTTTCTCTGAAACCTCCCACTTTAGGTCCATGAATGAGATAAAGAATCTGCACTACCTGCCGAGGGCCAGCGAACCAAGAGAGGTTCTGTTTGAGGACCGAACTAAGGCCCATGCCGACCATGTAGGCCAGAGTTTTGACTGGCAGAGCACGGCTGCTGTGGGGGTGCTGAAGGCAGTGCACTTTGGAGAATGGTGAGTGTGATTTAAAGCAGCTGTGAGGGACTTTTTGGAAGTACAAATCTTTTATTTCATCACATATGAAAAGTACCTTTGCTGCTTTCTGTGGTAATGGATTGAGGAAATGAAACAAAGCCACTTTTGGTGCTTTGTACAGCTCTGACCTCTGACAGCGGTGGTGGTTGATGTTTAGCTACTCGTCTACTTCTCTTTTGTAGGTCATAACGTGGTCAACTGAGGCTGTCAGAAACCCCTAAGACTTTGGACAGTAGTCATACATGTAGATGTTCAGCCCTGATCATTTTAGTCAAAGAAAACAATTAATTTTCATGCAGTAACTTTTAGACGGAAACGGTCTCCATAGAAAAATTTAGTTTCGTTTAGGGGGGTCCGTTTAGACGGCAACTGTGTTTTCAGGAGATGAAAACGTAACGAAGTGAAAACCCCCTCCAGAGTGGAAATGTTGTAAACACTCTGCTAGCCCCGCTTTCGTCTAAAGTACAAAAACGCTGAAAACAGTCAAACTGGTGACGTCATGGCTCACGTCAACTCACGCTTATGACATCATAGCCATGCGTAGCTTCCTTGAAAATAACAACAACAACCATGCTAGACATTCGAGTCGCGTTCTTCCAGGAAGTAGAACGGAAGTTGTTCTACGTATGCATTGTTGGTCTATATGGGAGCGCGGTCACACGGACACGCGCCACCTAGCGACCTAACATTCACATTACAGCGTTTTCAACCACATTGCGTTTTTGTGTAAACACAGCATAAAAACTGAAAACGAAACGGCACTTTTCCGTTTTCTATGGAGACCGATTCCGTCTAAAAGTGGCCTAAAAAGAGTGTCCATTCTGACATTTGGAAATTGGCTGAGCTGTCAGCTCATATAGGCTGTTGTTAAGATCAGCTGATGTACTGTAGGCTAAACTTGATCTCATATTCTGCCTGAACTTATGCTGCGTTCGAGTTACCTCAGAAGTCAGAAGTTCGAGCTGAAAATGACGTCACACTTGAGTTCCCAGCGTTTCAGTAACCAAGTCGGAAAAAAGTAAAACCGGAGGTGGAAACAAGATGGCTACATCTATGAACGTTATGTTAGCGATTGCCTTGTCCAAATATGAGGCAACTTTCATAGATGTAGCCATCTTGTTTCAGGCCCAGATTTTGCTTTTTTCCGAATTGGTAACTGAAACGCTGGGAACTCCGGTCTGACGTCATTTTCAGCTCCGACATCTGACTTCTGAGGTAACTCGAACGCCACATAACTCTACGCTGAATAAATCAACAAAAAAAATCATCAACTTCTCTTTTTTTGAAACGTTGCAGGAATAACCGACCTCGGATAACCAAAGATGTTGTGTGTTTCCAAGCTGGAGACTTTAATGAAGTGGTCCAGAGGCTGCAGCTGGATCTGTACGAGCCCCCTGTGTCTCAGGTGACAGTCAAAATATTTTTTTTACAATATTTAACCCAAAGGTAACATATCTCGCTTATATTTTATACACTTCACTGTATTTGAAGTTTGTAATCTCTGTTGATCTTCACACAGTGTGTCCAGTGGGTGGATGATGCCAAGCTCAACCAGCTGAGGCGTGAAGGGATCCGCTACGTGCGCGTCCAGCTCTGTGACGACGACATCTATTTCATACCACGCAACGTCATCCATCAGTTTAAGACGGTTTCTGCGGTCTGCAGCCTGGCCTGGCACATCCGCCTCAAACAGTACCACCCGGAGGAGAACGAGAAAGAGGAAGAGGCGCAGCGGCCCAATGATCTCAGCCCCACCTCAGGACGAGTCTCGTTTTCCTCCCCTGCAATGCCCGACGCCACAGTAACTCCATGTGCGCGACCACAGGGAGACAACATCCGCGGAGGGGTGGCCAAAACGGAAGAACTTGAGTTCCAGAGGCCAGCGACACCTCCAAAAGAGCCTCAACCAGCTGCTCCACAGCCCACCAAATCTGCTCACCTGCCGCCGTCTGTTCTGGATCCCCATCTTTCTTTAGAAGCGGTCCACTCTGGGTGCACGCCATCAAAAGAGGCCTCTCTTCCTAATCTGTGCCACACTGCAGAGTTCCCTAAATGACCTCTTGACCCCCTTTTTTAGTCTCTCTCTGCCGCTCAGAGGAGGCGTATCAGAACAGACTGAGCTTTGTAAATCAGGAACCTTTTCAAGTTAAATTATTCTGTCAAGTTTTTTAAATCCTTAAATCTCCCTGGAGTTTTTTCAGCTTAAGTAAAGTATTTAATCTAAATCATGCTGTTATTTTTAATTTGAAAGCACCTTAACTGGAACTCTGAAACTCACTTAACGGTTTGTATCACGTAGAGACTGATAAAACAAGCAACCATGCTCACTGGGCAGGCGTAAAAGTGAATCTGACTTTTGTTTTACAGTTTTGTTTCTTTCAGTGAAAATGGCATCAAGGCTAACTGTACCAAAAAGGACGCAGTCATCAACTTTATATGTGTGTCTGTCACGAGGAAAAAGTCAGAAAACATGAGTCTTTGCCATTTAAATCACAATCTCGGCTCTGGATTGACATGATGACGTGTTAGATGAGTCTTTTGGTTTGATATTTAGTTGAAAAAGGAACATTTTCTGTTCCTTATCAAACCGGAAAAACACTTCAAGAAGTTCTGTCAGCTTTATTTTAAGTGCAGTTTGTGCAATTCTTAGTTTAAATGCCATTTTATACTGCGCCCTTTTTTACTGTTGATACATTTTTTATCCTATTTATTTTCTTAGGACTGAGCTGACTCCATGAATGCAGGTCTCATACAGCTGAGGTCATTGTTTGTCTGAAAGAGCGCGTCTCGCCGATGGTAAAAAAAGAGTTGCTTTAATCGTCTGAGTGTCTCAGAGCCTGGTGTGTAAATATCTCTTTGGTTTTGTAGCTGGGATTATGTGAACTGATAACGCACTTCAACTGCATTTTTATTCGTTCCTCACCTTTAGTTTCTGCCATAAATGCCACCGAGAGCTTTGTTTTGCGGGTTTCTGGTGTGGTGTGTGGTGATATACTACAATCTGAAAAACGGAGGCTTCCTACCGAATAGAAAGTTCTTTGTGTCCTGAAACTATCTTTATTTTTGACACAGTTGCTCTTGTTTCGCTTTAAGTGACATTACCAGTCCACCTGAGTCTCATGGAGGACTCCTAAGTGAAGATGTAAGACTGCCTTTCCTCTAGCGCTGACTGCGTCTTAGTGCCTTGTACTGTATACGGTAAGCCTAATTTATTTGTGTTTGTAGACGGGTAGGATGGCGAGACGGAGACTGGCCTAGCACCTGATGTAAAATTGTTTTTTGTTTTATTTATTGATAAGAAAATGTCGCTCAAATGATGCTTTTTGGATTTCTACATGTGCATGTCACCTGGAAGCAAACAAAGACTTCATCATAGTGTCACTTAAAAAATATAACTACATACTAGATCCTATTCAGGAATATGTCTGTAGGAGGGAGTTGATATCACTAGATCAATATAGAAATAAATGAACAGTCACGATACAGTCACTCTCGTCTTTTGTCATTCTTGTGTGAAAGTAGAAGCTGAAAAAAAAGAGCGGCGAGATTTTAGATCGGATGTGTTTCAATTTTAATAAATAACTTTATGGCGAGTTTACGCGACACATGCTTCTTTACATAGTTTCTCATTCAACGTTGATGGTCCTTTAAGATGATGATGATGCTCTGAAAGTTACAGACAGCTGAGACACATGGAGTATGATCCAAACTGAACATTAACTCTTATAGTTTTTTTGTCTCTGTAAGAAAAATAACGCACCAAAAACACGCGGTGCATTAAAGTACCCGTTTTCTTATCGCACAAACACACACATACACAGACAATACATGCACCTCACACACCAGGTTAAAAGGAGTTGTCCTCCTGAGATTTTTGGTCAAACATTTAAGTCTTGAGTCCGTGTGACAGCGAGACGTCCTGAACAATAATAAGCATCAACCTGATCTGATCTTTGGTATATGTAAGCATAAGAGCTGGTATCTAGGAGCTTTCCATTCTCTTTTGAGTGTGCAACTGTGCCAGGCAATGCAAAATAAAGAGGCCCTATGCGATATTTCAACAGTACTTCCAAGAAAAATAAAAATAAAAAAATCCTCCAAGTGCACTAAGTCCTCCAGCGTGTTTAGAAGCAGCTCCCTTCCTCACACCCAGGTGTCTGGATAAGTCCTTGGACCCTTTGGCTTTCCAAAACGGTTCCCAAACCCTGCAGAACAAGCAGACAGTGTTAAACATAATACTGTTTAATCTGATAATTCAGTTTTTAAGGAGATGCAGACCTACCAAATTTGAACAGTGAGAAAGACGGGGCGCTGTATGGTGGAGATGGTGCTCCAGGTTGAGTGGGAGGTGGTGGAGGAGCCGTTTTAGCTGAGAATAAATATTTAAACATGTTAATCCTTATACCTCTATAGAAATTAACATATTGATAGAGCAAGTTTAATTAAACACAACTTACGTTTAAGTTTTTGTCTGAAAAACTTGAAACTCTGGCCAAAGAAAAGAGGAAAGAGAATGAACAGACTGCTTTTACATTTGTCTTTAAATGATTTTTCGTTTGCACTCATTTTACCTTCGATCTATACATGCTCTTCTCTGCACTGTTTTCTGACGTCTCAGCGCTCAGCGAGGCCCTGTGGTGTGAATCATGCTGCTCCACTTGTGCTGACGAACACAGAAAGGAAATGAAGTTAGACGCAGTGTTTAAAGGTGACCATTTTCTTGATGCGCTCGCTGCAACAAGGTCTGAAGACAAATAATAATAACACGTATTACTGAGTCTTATTAGAAGCAACCACAGCCTTTTGTGTGAAGCATTATCTTTTTTTAAATATATAATTGAACAAGAGCACACTTTTCTCATGATAACAGCATGTGTGAAAGAGGCTACTGCGACTTTGAAGCCCTTCAGTGTCTGAATCAACTCACCACTTCCTGCTTCAGCTCTGACCACAGCAGGTGGAGTGAGCGGCTGAGCTGCAGTGAGGGGCTCTGTGATAGAAACACAATAAAACTTCTCTGATTAGTACGCTATCATTCAGACAAACTATGAAATATACAACTGAAAATGTGCCTTCACACCAGCCAAGTTTAGTTTTGTGTTTTAGGGCAAAGGATGCCTCCAGGTGGAAGGAATAGGTAGTGTTAGGAATAGATCGTATATTGCAGTGTGTGAAATTTGTAGTCATATATTTTGACTAATTGATTATTACAGTGGCTGAGAACTGCCACTGCTGCAGATAAAAAAGGATGCAAAAAAAAAAAAAAAAAAAGAAGCCACAACAGAAGTTACCGATCCAAAAAAACAAAGAAACTGAAGCCCACAGCAAATAAAAAAGAAATGGTGCAGATTTAAATTAAAAAAAGGTACGGTAGATGTTAAAAACGTTAAAGAAAGAACCTCTGTTATGGCTTTTTTTATTTGCATCTTTTTATTATCACAGTAAGTAAATTTTTTTTTTTTGCAACTCTTTTTTTTATTTTTTATTTTTTGTGTTTTTAATTTTCGTTGTGGCTTTTTTTTATCTGCACCAATTCTTTTTTTATTTGCAGTGGGATTAGGTTTCTTTCTTTCTTAACTGTTTTTTTTTTTTTTTTTGCATTGTAACTTTCTTTGTGGCTTAGTGGCGGTTCTCAGCTACCGTATATTATCTATAGTAATCAAATAATATCTGGTTATGCTCTTCAACCGCATAACTGAAAGACTGTTAAAGGACCAACATATTTAGATAAAGGCATCTACTAAATAAAACAATAAAATCCCTTAAATATATCGTAAAACAATCGGGAAACATGCAATTTTGAACCTGCTCACCTGATAACGTTGGACAGCTAGCAACGCCTCCTGAATGCATGTGCCCTAAACTGGTGGGCGGTTTAAACGCGCTCCCTCGTGGCCGTTTGGAACGCCCTCGTGTTGTCAGTTATGATGACATCAGTTAAAGAGTAAGTAAACTGTCCCATTCGTTTTCGTTGAGATTTAACTGTAACTGATGATAACTGACCACATTACGGGCCGTTTTTTTCCACTACAGAACTCCACCGCAAAGTACGAGACGAAACTACGAATAATGAACCCCCAAGAACCGACCTGAGAGCAGAGGAGAGGCGACAGCGCCAAAAAAAAAAAAAAGGTTCAAGACCAAAGCAGAGATGGCTATTTTTCTTCTGACCAGGTAAGTAGACGGCAGACAAGTTAGTAGAAATACATTAAATTTTACATCTCTGTACGGATACTGATAAAAGTAAGCGTCAAAACGAGGAAGCGAGTAAAATTTTTGACACACACATGCCTGTTAAGTGACAGTTAGCTTGCTGACTAATTGCCGTTGCTAGCATGACTAGCTTTATGGTGCATCATAGGGGAGAGTGGGGTAAGTTGAGCCACCCCCTGTTGCTTTGAAATGGTAAAAGAAATTGATCATGTGACCAAATACTCTCCAGTCAACTTAAAATAGCCCTGGTAGTTACAGTAATCAGTTCTTCATGAATAGATTTTGATAAAGGTACACTGCCGAGCTATTTTAAAAAATGATGCATCTCCTTGTCAGATTAAAATGTGTGCTCATGAACCGTTTTGCTATATGTAAGGCTCAAGCCATAGTGGACAAGCTTGGGTGCAGGTTGGGGAAGTCAGAGTGCACTGAGCGGTGAACCAACATGCAGTTGTTTTTGGTGTTGTCATGGGGAAAGCTTATCTTGAAATGTCAGGTCAATCGAAATAAAAGCAGAAGAGGAAAGAGTTGTTGCTTGTGAGATGAAACACCTTACCTTGTTTTGAACCTCTCACTCGAACGCTCTGGGGAGAAAATGTGAACACATTTTAGGGGTTACTGTAATGGACCTCACAGCAAAAGCATTAAAGGCAAATGAGTTTTGATGCTTAATTTACAAAATAATTCATCAATTTAATAACATTTCATCAAAAAAAAAAAACATTTTACCAGTTCCTATTATCCAAAATGGAATAGTTAGCTTGTTTTTGTCTTGTCATGTATTACTGAAAGTGTTTGGCCTTTATGTTTTGGACCACTGGTCTGGAAAATGTGATGTATTATTTATATTTTTTTGACATTTTAGAGGCTCATTGGTCAGTTAATTGTTTGTTACTTGATACAGCTTCAGTGTATTAATGAAGGCAGTATTAGGAAACCTATTTGAGAAGTCACTTTTTGGTGGTCTGCCAGTTTCCCTAACAAAATCTCCAGTTTTTGAGTCATCAGGATGTTTTTACCTTACTCCTGTTCTTAACAGCATCGAGGAATCTCTTAGGCTGAGAGGTGGTATCATGGTCTGACGACACACTGACCCTTAGTGAGGGATGTGTCGTTTCCAGGTGCTGGGGGTTGAGGGGCATTGTCTCATGAACACCTGGAAAAAAAAACAATATAGAATCAGAGCAGTGCACTGATAGCTGAAACTTGTGTCTTTTTTGAAGTAGGAAGTGATACTCACTGTCCCTCATGTTGAAGACAAAGGCCTCTGGGGTTCTGTCAGGAAGGGGAGGAGTCAGGCTTTCCTCAGCTGCAGGTTAAACAGAACAGACTTGGTTTAGTTGGCCACAACTTTCTCTTTAAGTAACATGTTATAGATTTCGCTTTTGGTAGTCTAAATTCAAGTAAGTGTGATTGTTCAGTCTGGTGAACTTACTTTGATCAAGCAGCGAGGGAGGTGTTGGGTCCGGAGGTGGACGGTATTGGTGAAAGCTGGTTGGATTTGATGCAGGCTGGAAATGGGGAGCTGGTGCTTAAGATAAGATGATAGAGGAACACACGTGCTAATTAATTTGATTATTTTTCATTACACCGACTCATCTTATATTCTTTTTTATATTTACATTATTTTAAAATTTTCACATACAGCAGTTCAGAGTTATTTAAAATTCAACAAAAGTTCATAATAAGTTAAAATAGGCATACATTTAAAATTCATATTCATACAACTACAAACTAGGGGTTGATCTTGATCTTAATTTCCAAATGATTCATTGAATGAGGGTGAAGATGGAAAACATTTCGACAAAAAGTAAAAATGAAAATGTAACAGATTAAAACTAGACTACAATGTTTAGCCTTTTTGTTGACAAACTCTATCCTAAAACTACAGAGGCCAAAGATAATAAAAATGTCAAACCAAGAAGTATTTTAGACTCAGGCTTATTTTAAAATAGCTACCAAAATGAAGACACATTACAAACGCCAACACTGAACTTTACGTTAGTGGCATCGGAAAGTGTTCAGTCAAAAGTGAAACCTTCAGCATCTCATATAAAAGTTAACACAGTACAGTAATACTATGTCACACCACCGTATGACATGTAGCCGTTCAGGCAGTGCTGTGGTTGACACATTGGGTGAGACAGAGGGTTACAAGAAAACAGACCCAGAAGTAAAGACAGAGCACAGTTTTGACTTGTTATATTTATCGGTCATCTGTCAAAGGCTGATACAAATAATCAGCCAAATGAGGAATATATAGTTATCAGTCTACCCTCAGCAAAAACTGTTTTAATTACATTATCAGCTGTCTTGATTATATTTATTAAGTACATTTTTTAGTTAGCAAAAAAACTTACTTGATAGGGTCATTTTTGCTCTCAGACTCTGCAAGAAATAAAGCATGAGGCAGTTAAAAACAGCAAAACTGTTTCCTATGTTCAAGGTCTGATACTAGATTGACTAAAAAACTTCCCCCAGTAGCTTTAAATAGGCTTAAATCTCGTATTACTTCATCTACTACTTGATCATTTTTGGCCTGGTGGATGTGACAATAGTCTAAAGGTGCTTGTCAAACAGATGCTACCTTTAGTGTGAGGAAGTCACACCTCGGCTAAGTAAAAGGTCTTTTTCTCACCTTACTCCTCAGCCAAGGTTTTGTTTCATTCTGCAGTGCGAGGGTTGTTTGTGTCGAGTTTCCAGACCACTCCGAAGACACCCCTATCCGGCTCAGGTCCACTGCGGGTTTGACCTGTAACTTCTGCTCCACGGGAGCTGAAAAGCAGCAAGTACATTATTTGTTTTTCATTTATTTTGATCTCCATTAGCTTTTCTTCCTGGAGTCTACATTTACAATTACCTCTTCATTGCAGTGCACAGTCACAAAAAACATCACGCCACAAAAACAAAGACAACGTCAATGACCACAACTGATTAATTGTTCCAAGTAGCTTCATCTGAATAAGGAGCCGTTTGACTAATAGATGTTCTTTCACTAGATCGTGTCACTAAATATGACGTACGATATAAATATGAAACCCCTGCTATTTAAAATCAGCAGTTAATTTATATTAATTAGGGGAAATCATGATACTATGGAGTCACCTTCATCAGTAGCCAGCAGAAATGATTCTGGGGTTCTCTCTGGGAGTGGAGGGGCAGGCGAGGGGGGGCTGCCTGGGAGTATGGACACAAATATCACTGTTTGATTTTTCTAATATCAGAGAAGTCCCTTCATTTATATTAAACATAAACGTGTTAACTATTGGGAAATGAAAATCAGATATGCATGCTTCGATATTGATTAGAAAGTTTCAGGTATTTTAAGTGTTTCTCTTTTTACCTCCCAAATTCCTGACAGCCTCAGCAGCAGCATTTGGAGGAATGATTACCGTTAACCTTTCACAGGAATCGGCTCGCTCTACAGGACAAAATTAAAACACAATGTAAAGATACTCCAGAGGATACACCGTCATAACTAAAAAAGCAGTATGTGGAAAAACAGAATTTCAGTCAGTTTTCTTCAGAGGCTTTTTTCCTCTGAGGTCATGCTCAGAGGCCTAAAATGCTGGTCATGTCTACTACAGATGACAGATGATCTCACAGCATAATTACCTGAGAGGTGGTTAAAAAAAACTGACAGGTGGATCAAAGTCTGTGTCAGTTTGATGTCATTGACTCACAGACTCTGTAATTCTGAGTTTAGTTAGTGATGATTTAATTTAACATAATCTTTAGCATAGAGCATGACACCAGAAGATGAATGCGTAACTATGGGGATTTTATGGAAACTATTTTTCTGTGTTTTTTTTATTTTTATTTCACTGATTCTTTGAAGACTGAAAACAGCGCTAACCTGCATCATTAGCCAGTATGTAGGATTCAGGGGTTCGCTGAGGTAGGGGAGGCGGTTCCTCCCCATCTGCCTGAACCTCAACAACACCTGCAAAATATAAGACAGTTCAATAATATTTCCTAAACTTAACTTTGCTACCTTTTCTGTTTAAAAAAAAATATGTTTGTGTACCTGAAGCAGCAGGGCTGGGCTCCAAGGTGTGGTCATTCAGAAACAATGTGGGTGTGCTTAAGATAGTGCTATCTGTGCAGTGTTTGGCATCAGTTTTGGGGCCCACTGGTGCCTCTTCAGGTGAAGGAAGATCGAAGTAGGGGTCTTCGACCATTTGACAAATGGCAGCTGCCACAGCAGGCGAGGGTGCAGGATTTAGCGGTGGTACGTTTTCACTCTCATCAACTGTCTGACAGGTGGGTGTGACTTGAGTTTTGAGTTCTTCTGTGGTAGCCAGCGAATCAGGAAGGGTCCATCGCTGCGTGTCCGGAGTATTTGCTGAGATTAGACTGTCTGAAGTGCAGGATGAGGGAGTGTGGTTCTGTCGCAGGGACGCTCTTTCTTCATCGAGAAACTGCTGGATCTGCTGCACCAAATCCAAATCTTCACTCAGGTCAGAGAGGTCACTTTCAGTTTCAGGCGTGATAGTCCGTGGGACCATTGCCACCTGTGGAGATGAATAGAGAAATGTGAGTCACAGCATTTTGAGAATCTTAATGGAATAAAAAAACATGCAAAACAGTCATTTTAACCATAAAAAACGCGTTATTTAACTAATTCTCAAAACTGTGTAGGTGTTACTGATGAAGCTTTGAATGACAACTGCCTAGCTACAAACACTTTAATCATATTGTTTGTTCTATTTTCCGGTGCTTTCAGCTGCTAACTGAATTTTTGATGCTTTGGCTTCAACTTGATGCTTGAGAGTTACTGAGAAAAACTGTCATGGGTGTTTTGAACCACCCTGTCTTTAATTAGCCTGTTTGACTGTGTGTGTGATTGTCACTGAAACCACAAGAAAGTCAGCCACGGCCGTTCTCTGTGCTGTTGATCGTGATGGTGGTGCTCGTCAGTTTGTGATGGTGGAAAAAGAGTGAGCTATTTTTCTGTAGTCTGCGTGCACTCTGTCTTAGTCCAGAGGTTATCATACTCCTGTCTCACTCACCTCATCCATGGACTGCAGATACTTCTCAAACAGCAACTTGATGGTTCTATAAACCAGCTCATATTGTTCCTGAGAATAAACAACAAAAACCTGCTCTGTTAGTCGTCAGAGCCAGCAGGCATGACGCACAGCGCTCAAAGTATCCGAAAGTTTTTGATACAAGGAAGTCACTGAAATGTGGTTCTGCTTGTCGTAAGATTTGTTATGTTTGATGCTTCTACCTTAGTTTGAACCAGCGAAGGCCTCTGGGTCCTCATGTTTTGAACCAAGTTATAGATACTGAAGTCTGGAGGTATCATCTAAGATAATCAAATTAATATAGGTTAGGAGAGAAACACTCAGAGGAAATTTGGGCAAGAGTGTCCAATATACCTGTTTCTTCAAGAGGTTCCAGGTATAATCAATGACACACAGGGCTCCTGTTCTGCCACAGCCTGCACTACAAACACAGAAGAAAGATGTCCCATGTCAAACACTTGCCTTGACCCCAGAGACGGTCGATACTAAAAAAGGATTAATCAAGCAATTTTCAATCACAGAGTTCAAAAATGCATAAACCATGATGTTATTCTCAAACAACAGACCTTTAACGTCTATTTCTTGATAGTGACAAATCATGATACTTTTATATCTGCGAGGAGTTTTCATGATGTGTTGATTCTGAGGACTTCTATAGACCAGATTCACTGTGTCTTGCTAGGATAAATACTGTGCACCATCCAAAATATGGTTATTACCAAAGCATGCATTTTTTTTTAGTAGAACCAAGTGATTCAACTACAGATTTTTGAAGTACTACTGCCTTTGACAAATTTTTATAGGATGCAAAGTTTTATTTGGAGTTGTGTAATATTAACAAGTGTAAAATATTGACAACACCAAACTCTAATTTTGCTTTTTTGTCTCTCAAAATTATGACCTTAAGTCACCACACCACCATTTGTGACACTGTGACCAATGAGGTGATGAGACTTTTTAAAATAAGTGTGGTGATAAAACACCCTTTTCCTGTCACAGCTGGGAGCAGACTTTCTCAGGTGGACATTTTTTTTTCACTGCTCGTGTTCTACACAGCTGTCTAGTGTTGATGTAACTCATTAGTGTGGTGACAGCTGTGTAGGTTGGGTTTGCCACTGACTCATCATTCCATAATGTGAAACATTATCAAAGTGACATTAGCAAGTCATGGCAGGTTTTCCAGAGTATATTTTACCACAGCGGTTAAATAAGTACCCAATGCACACAGTTTTTCCCACACATTTTCACTCCACGTGTATTCAAGAACCAAAAGGTAAAATCAGTCATAAACGTATTTTAAAGCTTTTTGTTGGATGTGTAACAGACTGGAATCAATAGTGATGCTTCCTTGTGAACCACTAAAGCAGACAAGATCACCACAGATAGTGAAAATTTGTTTATGTAAATTTTCAATGCTTGTAACCACTGCCTTAGGGTAGGTGTCCAATGTAGTTAGTTACACACATGTCAGGAATAGACTAATTTAGAGGAACCGATACTCCAGTTAGTGAAAGACAGCAGGATGAGATAGTGTTTTGTAGAAATCACTATTTATAAACGTACGAGATAACGTCAGCAAGGACACACAAGCTAAAATCAGCTCAAGCCAAAGGTGAGCAACAAGAGCTGAAAACTAACAATAACAGAAAGTAAAATTAAACAGTGTCTTTTTATCAGTGAGCCAGGAGGCTGAAAAGTTGGCTTGAACCACTGTTGTCCTGCAGAGCACTTTGCATAGCATCTTTCTCCATCCCATCTATTGAAGAGGATCTAAAATCCATGCACACACAAATATCTGACCATGCTGTTGCGCACAAACTCAGAGATAACTTTAAGACCAAACATGCCAGCTGCACTGAGTGAAACCAGGGAAACATTTTCTGTGATATACATCGAAGTAGATGTGGTTTTACCTGAGCCACAGTATAAGTGATGGAAATATTGAGGGGAAATGCCCACGCAAATGTAATCAGACATAGTGGGTTTTTGGCCACCAACTAGCATGCATTTCCTGTGTCAATGAAAAGAGGGGAGGTGCTCAGTTTGAAGGGCCCTTAGAGAAGATGCTTGAAGGCAACACAGCAGTAAGTTCAAAGTTGTAGTCGTCATTTCTACAAGCTCTTTATTTATCTTACATCTTTTCATGAGTAAATTGACATCAGTTGTCAAAGATGTTTTAAAGTTTTCTCTCTTTATAAATAATTTGCTGTCTTGCTCCACTTTTTAGGAGGACAGAGACAGACAAACATCGTGAGATGATTAACCACCAAGAGATGTAACTTTTAAACTGATTCTTTCTGTAGGGCGGTTTCGGTGGTAATGATGCGTTGTGGTTCATAGTTGTGGTTAAAACTCAGGGAGCTGCAGTCTGTACCCTTATTAGCAAGTATTTACTGATAGTTCAGAACGTAACAACTCAAATAAGTTATTTGCATCCGAAAAGACAGCTTTAATTTGTTCTTGCTTCATGTCTATGGTTCAAAACTTGATCTTCGCCAAAGTTACTCAAAAAGACAGATCAGAAATGCCTTTTTTAGGAGAGTTATGAAGAGGAAGCCGTACCTGCAGTGGATGCAGACAGGGATATCATCATGTGCTTGCTCCAAACGCATTTCATGCAGCATGTCCAGGATTGGAGGGATGGAGTCTGGTACTCCATGATCAGGCCAGTTGATATAGTGCAGCTGTGTCAAAGTTCGACTGGACTGGAGAAAACAAGGCAAAGTAAAGGAAGTCAATTGCAAAGCTGTGTTCTTTTTGGACTACTTGATAACATGGTCATCATGGATTAAGACAAGCACTCTTGATTTTCACTCCTGAATGATAATGAAGGTCTGAGATTTACTGGACTTATTTTGGTTTATGTTAAAAGAGTCTGTTTCAAAACAATGGTACTGGTTTTGAGATTTCATGAACCGCCTCTGGTCTTTGTTGCAGCTGACAACATGTCAGACGATTATCTCTGGCTTCTCTGAGCATAATTACAGTGTCAGTTGTTTCCACAGTCAGGGTATAAACACTGCTTACATTGTGACAACTCATCCTTAACGTCCTTGTCAGATAATCCCCTTTTGCTTCCTCTGAGTCCTGTAAAAAAAAAAAAAAGTGGGGGTAAAGTGGTGATTATGTTTACAGTTGAAAGGCCGTAAAAATAATGGCTTTCTTGGGTTGTTCTTGGTTGACGTACGACAGGTTTCGTTGTTTTTTTTGGACGCATATGTGTGAAGACAGTGGAAAATTATATCAACACATATATTTAACAGTATGAGAAACCTGTCAAAGCAGGAAATGTGATTTGGATATTAGAAATACTTACACAGTAAACTTTAAAGGGCTCGCAAATAAAGGGCTGCTCCTGAATCTCCGGCCAGTAGCGCTCACACTTTTTCTAGAAAATGCATGAGGAAAATAAAATAAGAATGCCGCCAGATGCACATAATACACTCAAACAATGACAAATTACTGAGGACACAGAAAATGCAAGAATATGCATTGTTATAGTATGGGATTATGTGGAAATTGTGTTACCTTTCCCATCTCAAATTCTCGACAGGCCATCACTACGATCTAAAATCAAAAAAGACAAGAAAAATAGTTGTAACTCTTTACATCAGAGAGCCTCTTTGATCATTAATGCTTGGTGGGTCTCCTACCTTTATATTGTACTCCCAAATCATCCTCAAGAAGTCCCGTACTGTTTGAGGAAGGGGACCCTGAGTAGCGATGTAGGCCCTAGAGCCTGATACGCCCTGCGGATAAAACACAGCTTAAAGTCAAGATTAAAAGATTTCTCCCATTTTTAAAAACAATATTAGTCGCAAAACCGAACAAAAACTGCACAACATAAACATCGAAAAAAGGACGTCTTTAATTTACCTTGATGAAGTTGGCGTTAATGTAGTCGGAGTCATTTTTAGCTGTGGTCAGGGTGAGCTGCACTCTGCTGTGGTCAACTGTATTAAAAGAATATATGGTCACAACAGAGAGGTTCATCAGGGTGGGAGGGTCAAATGCTTTTGTGTTTTAATTATCTGATAAAAGTTAACATTATTAATTAACAGTATTAATTATATACCGAGTGGAGACCTGATTCTGGGGGCACATTTAGTCCTACTTTGGAGTGAAACTGTGTACTTGATAAACTGTCTGCTAACGTCAGGCTGCAGCTAGTGACTGCAATCAAGCAAGTCTTAGCTTTCAGTCTGTAAAGATGCTACGTGATGCTGTCATAAACAGGAATTTACACTTTTGATTTTGAATTTTTGGACACTGCCAGTGGTTTCGTAAGCTTGTGGTTTCTTTCTAAGTAGCTGTGGGGCGCACTAACCCGCTCGGCCATCTGCGCGCCCCTGTGTTTGCCTGTTTCTTACAGTGAATTACAGATTTTCTACTTTTGGTTGTTGTCTGAGTTGCTAGATGGAAATTATTGACAGTAATTGGACAAATGTGCCAAATTTATTGGACTTGATCAGACGAGACAACCTTGAATTTGAGTATTTTAGCAGTATGTGTATTTTTCCTTGACATCAGATGGGCATCTAATTGATTTTGAAATGATAATACATGTTTAAAATACAGTATTTAACAAATGTGATCAAAAACTTGACCTGTCAGATAAAAATTCAGACTTTGAGCAAATTATTAACCCAGAAAAGCACAAGTTTTTTCAGCACATTAGCATCCCTTTGCTTGCTAATATTTGACATATTCATCTGTGAAGTCTAGAAGTTTCTCAGTCTTGTTTGAGACTGACTTCAGGGTTTTCATAAATGCACTGAACCCACAAGGAACAATATCCTTGTAGCGGTTCTTCTTGACGTTCTCTTGCTTTTCTGCTGTCTTGGTGGAGTAGATCTTGTCAGTGCGGTACTTGGTTGACAGGTTTTTCAGCCTCTGGAAAAAAAAAAGAAACATGTAATCGTGTCGCATTCAATTACCACAATCTATTAATAATTCATGCCATGTATGTAAATGTCAGAGAGCTCCTTAATTGCCATGCAAAGCAAGTTCAAACACCTTCACTGCTAACTGCTGCTGAATGTTTTTGGGAAGGTAAAACAAAACTTGATGAAGATTACTGTTGGATGTTATAGATGGAGAGATTAAGATTATCTTAACTGTGAGTCTTTGGTTTTATATAATCATAGTGGCATTTTTTAGTGGCTGATGCTGATACCGGTTATACGAGAGCAGGTCTGCCAGTGGACGATATAAAATGCCAATATCACATTATGCGTTTTTTGTAAGTTTGTACTACAATTGGACAAACACGTTAAAAACATAATTGCTAAACTTTGAATATTTAATTAAATAAATTTAGATGGAATCATATTTTTCTTGGTTAAATGTTGCTGTAAGGAATTTTGGGTTTGTGTCAAGCAATTAGAATTTTTTCAAGAAAACTATAACATATGGTAAATATTGTGGTTAGCATAAAAAAGTCGTACACAGACTCATTATTCCTTCACATTAAAATCTAATATACATGATTTTCTTTCTGGTAGTTGGATTTAGGTTATTTTTAATGAATCAATTGAAAGACAGAGATGCTATAGATTGCTAGAAACGTCTGATATTGTCCGTATATCTGTCCACAATACAGCAAATTATTTAAGTATGAGGTCATGACTGTTTTAAATGCTGTGGATGGCTAATGGGAAGAATAATGGTGATATCCTCCCTGTGAGGGTTGATACAGATAGGAAGCCAATCATGTCAAAATGCATGATTAATCAAAGAAACTGATTAAGTCTGTCCCTTAATCAATATTTCTTTAAAACAGACATCAGTCTAGGTATATAGCGACAGCCCTAGTTTCTACAGAGAACATTGTATTGTGGTGGCATTTTTATGATACTTTCAGATCAAAAAGGGGTTCTGAAGGGACATCATAAGGATCACTGTTTTCGTTTTATTCAATCTTTTATTAATTATGGTGTGATGACTTCTGTTTTATAAGAGTTTGAGAAAAACAGGGCAAAAGGCTGGCTGTAACTAAGTGTGACAAATTGCATGGTCGTCAGACATGTTGGTTTTTGTTGTGATTCAACCCCAGATGACCAGAATCTATGACTCACTTTACTAGAAACTGACACTGGCAGAAAAAAAAACAGAGGATTTCCAGCTGGAATTTACTGTGCCGACAGTTGAACTCTCACATTAAATCACGTCATTGAACATCCATGCGGTACAGAATCTGTTCAGACACTGGTCTTTTTGTTCAGGGGCCAGCTCTCGCAGAACTAAACCGTCTGCTTAAGGCCTCGCGGACCATCTGCAGCGCTGACACCACAGAGTGCTGTTTGTTCACACAGGAAGTGATGCAACGGACCCCTTCCTCCAGAGTGGTCTGGGTGGGAGCAGTTTGACAGCAGACAGACAGCATGTGAAACACGCGAATCTGGCATGTCACCCATCGCCATGGCAGCCGGCCACAGATGATGTCATTTGGGGTTGAAGAGTTGCGAAGCACATGCGTGTTTTTGTGTGTTAATATATTCTCATGCTGTGTTTGCACGGCTGAATGATGGGTGAGAAAATGATCGTCAAAGTGAGACACACTCTAATGCATTTGCTCATGTCTTCCTTGTTGAGTGACTGACCTTAGTACAAAGAGGAAGCTCAAAGTGGCATTCAGGCTTTTAAGTGCAGCAGTGTGTTACTTCCCTTAGTTTGATGTCTTTGTAAAAAAAAACCTGGAGGTCTGGAAAACTTTTTTATTCTTTATGCGCCGACTCCAAAGACACAGATGTAATAATTAAAGGATAATTTCCCACAACAGAAGCCCTCCTCCACACTGAAACTGACATTTTTCACCTTAAATGACACCACACTTTACTCACTGTGAACTCCCCAGCGATGCCATTCGGTGCTTCATCGTCCCCCGCCTCCTGTCTCTCCAGCTGGGCCAGTAAGCGCCTTAATATCCCAGCTTGACTCTCCATGGTTGGCTGTGCTCATCCCACTATGGGACTCCTTCCAGAGGCATGTCAGGACCCAGAGGTCCTTGTCCAGGGGTCATGGATCAGGGTTGTCCAAAGCTTGAGTTCAAGGGCGGCAGCGCTTCTGTCACAGAGCACTTCTCTATTTGTAACTGTCGCATCAAGTAACTATTGTGAGGGAACGTGTCAACTGTCTGAGAGGAAGCAAGAGTAAGCTAACAGGTTTTGTGGTCAGATTAGAAATATTGCCGCGCCCCCTTGGGTGTCTTTCACAGGGTCCTAAAGTCACCCAATTCGACTGCATTAGAGTGCCACAGGGAGGGGACAACGGGGGAACACCCACACCCACAGATAGATTTGGATGCACGTTAATGCATAAACAGAGTCACGAACAGCTGTTCCCATCCAGAATCAAAGTGCAGCACAGGCCAAAAAAACCTGTTGGACGACATTCAAGGCCCCTGAGAGGAGTGGAGGAGGGAACATGTGGGTAGGGATGGAAGCAGAAGGAGTGGTGAGGACAGAGGATGTCGGGGAATCCTGAAAATCCTGATATTGTGAGCAGCAAACTTCCTCAACCGTCTGAGTCTCTCTTTTTTTAACCACTCAAGAGTATTCACCTGGTCACTTCTTTGCGAGCAGACATGTTTGAGACCCAGAAACTAAAATGACAGCGTGTAGGGGTTCGTTTCACTTAAGTTTCTCTAAGCTGAACGATTTTGTTTGTTTATAAGGCCAGGGTTGTGTTTTTCTTTCTATTTCAAAGTGTCCACTGTTGCTTATAGTCTTTGTAAAAATATCATATTGTGCACCCAAGTGTATATCTTGTAAGTCAGTGCGCATAACACCGATGTAAAGTGCACTGCAGTATTTAAGTTTGGTGGCAATAAAAGTAGGCAGGACCTCTTCAGAATCAACACAGGTCAAATGTTGTATGCCTACTTTTACTACAGGATTTTTCCACCGATATATTTTGAAACTCTTGACCGTAAACAAACCAAACCAATCATTCCCGTAAAATGTAAAATGTTTGTTCAGTTGGAAAGTTTGAAGAGTTCCACTTTTAATATGGGGAGGAGCTTTGGTCGGAGGAAATAAAGGCAATGTGTTGACTATGCAGGACTTCCTCTGTTATTAATAGCAAGTGCGTGTTAATAGGAGTGTGAAAAAATACTGACACATACCACATCTGTAACACATGTGACCAAAAGACAAAAAGCAAAAGATGAAATATGACTTTTGTGATGTTGAGGAAACACTGGAAACAGTCTTAGCAGAGCTAGCTCGTAGTTAAGGTATGAACCAGAAAAAGACTTTGTTGTCAGATCAGCAAAAACTGCAGTGAACTAAAACCAGCACTCAGCACCTTCATTAGCACCATGCTGACATCTAGTGTCACAGTGGTAAGCTTACACAAGAGGCCACTCATCAAAAAAGGGTGAAGTTTTCTCACAAACTGTATTTCACTGTAGGTAGACTGGATTAAGTCTGATGTTTCACTGAGAGACACCAATGGTAAAATGTTGAAGTACATGCAGGATGTGGTTTGTTATTGTCTTGTTGAAATATCTAAGGTCTCTAATATTGTGTAGGATCAATGGAGCCCCTCTAGGTGTGTCAGGTATCCATGCCATGGACTTTAATTGTACTGTACGCCAATATTAAGCCAAATGGACCTTCTTGTCTATGCATCTGTAGATGTGGCATCCATGAGTTCCAGAGAGAAGATCAAACTTTGATTTACAAAACCAGACAACAGTTTTGCAGTTTCTCTCAGTCCATTTTCCAGGGGCCCTGATGATTATAGCCTTCAGTGTTAGTTTTTTTCTCATTCCTTTCCCTCAGAGACTTATTTTATACTCATGATTAAAATACATGAGAGTTTCAGTGTCCCTGGAACACCTTTTGTTACATGTTACTGACCTGCTCTAAATTAGTCGGTGCACAATTTACTCTCTTTATTGTCCCTGTTCTACAGTTTTGAAGTCTGTTGATGGCATCAAAAATTTAAAATGAGAAACATTTTTCAGTGTCAGTCTTTTCTGGTTTCAATTTGATATCACAGTTTCCTTTTCTTGTAAACAGGTCTCAAAAATCTGAAATGAGGTGGGCTTTTGTAAGATGGGAAAGTGAGTTGGTTTGCATAGACATGCAAACCAACTCACTATACAGACGTATAGGCCCCCACAGGAAGCTACAGTCACCACAGTCCACCTCTATGGCTTCCTGTGTGTTACTGTTTTCGATGGTAGTTGGTATCAGAATGAAGACTGTATACCTTATTTTGCTTTTTCATGGTGAGTCATTTTCTATTTTTTTTTTTATTTATTATGAAACTTTTCAAAGATATATGTTTTAATTTAGTCAGAAAATAAAGTGAAGTATAAATTATAATGAAGCATAAATTCATTTTCATAGGACAGATTTTTCTCATAAATATCCTTTTAACCACTGTGATTCTTAAAAAAATAAAAGTAACTAAACAGCAAACCTAATTGGAGCTTAAAGATGAAAGGATAAGAACGTTTGTTTTTTACCTAATTTGAATGCAGAAAATCTGTTTAGCTGAGTCAACGTCTGCGTAGATATCCTGAAGCTCTGAACCTTCATGTTACCTAATATAAGTATTGTTACTTCATATTTGAAACGTGTTGTTTAGTCAACATGCTAAAAAATGCATTTTTCATACACAGAACTTTCTCAGGCATGAAAATAAAATCAAAATGAAATTTCAATCCTTTGATACTGCTCACATTTTACCATCCACAGCGCAGTCAGGGTCTGTTAGGACTGTGAATCCCTTCTCTAACAAGCATCTAGACCAAGTTTAGCAAACATGGAACTACAAATCTATTTGAATTGTACAATATAAAAAGGCTTATCTAAGTAAAAATGTATGGGCGGGTGGGTCGGTGGGTTGTTACACAAAAGAGGATTCTACCAAGGTAGGACAGGATGCCAAAATAAACTAGTGAGAGCACAGTCAAATTCTATGTAGGTGACCCTGAACTTAAAAAATTACATACATGTCTCACAAGAAGAATATAAAATCTATACTTTTAGGCAAGATTTGACTGGGAACAGCCTGAATGTACAACACTTTGTAGCTCCTGTACAAAAGATTTGCAACAGGTTCACCACGCTGTGAGAGACTGCAGGTGCAAGTCGTTCAACAGTGTCAGAATTATGTCACTTAGAATCTTTAGCTCTGATGATGAGATGCTCAAATCATTTGTGATTTTACTCTGAGAATCTAAGAGATTAGACCAAAAGCCTATCATGGATAGCTGCTGTCTTCAGGCTCTCAGGCAGCACTGCACTAAATGCTGCCGTGACAATCACTACATGGACTCCAAAATCACACCCAGAAACCATTGTGTTTGGACACATTTTATTGCTGCATGCACAAATACAGAAATGAAACTAAATATGAACATGATCGAGGAACACAAGCGAATTCTCTCAGTCAGAGACCATTTAGGATGGACTCAGATCAAGAGGAAAACTGTCCTGTGGTCTGAGGAATCGGAGTATGACATCCTGTTTAAAAACCATGGACATGTGCCGTCTACTCATGAAGTGAGACGAGCAGCTGCCCACGGGTCAAAAGCCAACATCTCGTAATGGTATGGGCATGCTCATACACATCTGGATAGACTTCAGTGCTGAACAATATACGGAGCAACATCTGGGGCCGTCCAGGAAATCACTTTTTCAGGAAAGACCTTTTTTATTTTAGTGAGACAACGCCAAAACACGTTCAGCTCATATTCCAACACTGTGGCTCTGTAGTAGAAGAGTCCAGATAGATAGATAGATGGATGAATGGATGGATGGATGGATAGATAGATACTTTATGAATCCAATCGGGAAATTCAAAGGTACCCCTGATGTTTTACATATTTCTTTCATTCTCTCTTTTAGCAAGTCTGCAACTCCAGTGTGACAAAAAGCAGATCACAGCTCCTGTTGGAGGTGAATTCATCCTCATTTGTACATATGAAACAAACCATTACTTGTACAGTAAAAAGTACTGGTGCCGAGGGGGGTCCAGAGACACCTGTGAGATTCTGGTGGATTCAGAAGGACGAGCTAACACCAAGAGCACTCACCGGTCTCTCGTTGTGGATGCACGACAAAGAGGGCTGTTTGTGAAAGTCACAAAGCTTCAGTTTGACGACGCTGGAGTGTACTGGGTTGGGATCGACAAAATTTATACAGACATCATGACTTCAGTCAAAGTGGTTGTCACTCAAGGTCAGCTTGAATACGGGCAGTATTAACGTTTATAGACTGCATCCCTCAAAAGTTCCCAGCTGGATGAGTTCTTATAACTTTGGTTTTCGTTTCAGTTCCAGTATCTACACCCAGACTTTGGCCTCTGAGCTCTCTGGTGAACAGATCTACATGTTGGGGGGAGCCAATCACAGTACGCTGCAATTGTGCAAAAGGCACCGCCATCCATTATAAGTGGTATCACAAGCGTGCAGTGATTCACAACTCACCTGACCTACAGCTGCAGTGTGGCAAAACAGTGAGAAACATCACCACGGATTTTTACTGTGTCGCTAATAATGACATCAGCAGCCAAAGGAGTGGTGTCCTCTCTGTGCAGGTGTTTCTGCCTGCAGACAGCGACTGCATCTATGTCGTTAACATCCAGGGTAAGAACAGAAGTCTTAGTGAAACCCAATGCAGAAATGGGGTCCACTGATGGGGTCTGATTCAAGGCTGTTGGGAAACTTTTATTGCACCCAATCAACGTCCATGAATTGTCTTTCTTTTGATTCATCAGGCCAACCTGTTTATGACTGTGCTGACAGAATGACCACCACAACTCAACCCACAACTCAACCCACAACTCCTTTCACCTGCCAGGCCACAGTGACTGTCCACAGTGGAGCCGCAAACACATCTGGACCTTTCAATGAGACTGACCAGTTTGTCAGCAGGTAGAAAACAACCGTTTCACATTTTCAAGGCAAGGAAATGCCTTCATTGTTAATAAAATGTTTGTTTTTTTAGGTCCTGGATGGGTAATCCATTGTGTTATACATTCCTGCGTTGGATTTGTTTCGCAGCCTTGCTCATATTCCTGTGCATATTTCACATATGTGCAAGAACAAAACCAAAACGTGCCAAAAGAAGATGCAGACACTTGGCTCAGAGACCTTCGCACCGCGGCTTTTAATTCTCACGAAGTCATATCAGCTCAGGAGGCCTTGGTTTACTATCTCCAATGTCGACCAGAGAGCTTTGATAAAATGTGAAAGATTATTTATGTTTGACATAACATCGCCATTGTGGTTTACAGTGTCTCAGTTTAACTGTTTTATCATATTATTTCAAACACAAGATGTCAACCTCTTTTTCTCATTCCCAAGCTGTTTTAAAGCTGTTGAAGTAGAAATGAACCATGTAACTTTTCTCCAGACTTTAAAGGAGTTTAAATGCTACACCTCTATCTCTGGAAACTCATCACTGAAATAAATAGTGACTTAGTAGGGAAATAACAGAAGACATGGAAATGTATAAATCAAAGTATGAATGTATGTTTGTGTTTAGGGTTTTGATGAATGCATGTAAATCAGTATGTAAGAATAAAGTATGTATGTATGCATGAATAAATGAATATGTGTTGTGCATGAATGCATGTCAGATTGTATTGATTAAAGTATGATTTTGTATGAAATATCTTATTTTGTCATACATTATTCTTATCCATTTCATGATAAATATATAAAACAAGCATAAAATGCTACAAAAATAATAATCTTGGCGTATAATAAAATAATATTTAAATCCATATTTAAATAAACAAACAAAAGTCTACATATAAAAAATTAATGATTGAAATGATAAAAATACATTTATAATAGTTATATAATATAACATTTTAAGTAATCATAATTAAAGTTATTGTTTAAACAGTAAGTTGAATATCATTACTCAAGGTTAAGGCTGATGTTTGTCTGTAATTTTAAAATTGTCCAATAACCGATCATATCAGTTAGTTTCCTGCGTCTATACTGCTCTAAAATCTTCTAAATGTATTCAACCCATCAGGTTTTGATATTATAGCTAAAACTTATAAACAAAAGAGAACAATATTGATACTTTTATTAAATGTGAGTATTATTTGTAACTATTAATGAGTGTCTGCTTAGAAATATCAATAAAAACATCAGACCTGGTTCTTTTTAAAACTTTAATGTGCAGTAGTTAATCACAAGTTTCTCAGGCAGCAAACAAGTTATATCAAAACTGACCACCAGGGGACGCCTTCTCTGCATTATCCTTATTGCTTTATCGAAGTGGGTCCTGAGCTCCAGATCCTGAAGTCTTCTATTCCTTGTGTTTGATCCTCAGGTGCCTGCAGGAAGACTGGGGACTCAGCGCTTCGTGGGACCTGTAGAGGTCAGCGTGGGTGAATCTCATATTTAGAAAATAAAAGGAACAAGTTCTGAGATTTATTTTTAATTACTCATCAAATTTCTTCTGGAAAGGGAACTTTTTCATGATGTTTTGATTCTAGTTTTCTGACATGCACTCAGTATTGTCTTAGTTAAAGTTACCAGCATTTAATGTAAAAAAAATTAAAATCTTTTTGATCTAGAAACCTGTGAGCTATAGTTTATCATGACAGTGCTTTAAATGATACAGTTGAAGAACTTAGGCCCTGATCAGATGAAATCTGCTCCCTTAATGGACATGCCATGTAAACTACATTCAAGGGTTGTCATTAGAAACTTTAGCATACCTCAAAGCTCCTCTTACAGCTCACTAAAAAGTCTAAAACTGACACTAACAAAACACTTAAAGTGGAAAGACTTTAACTTCACTATAAAACCATTAAACTTTAAGTCAAACGAACGTGCTGGGTACTGAAAAAATTCAGCAAAAAAAAAAAACAAAACTTCAAAGTATAGTATGACCAAAATATCAGATTTTGGGGTGAAAAAAAAAAGTAGATTTTAGGATGCAAAACACACCATAGTATTGCCTGATCAAAATGCCAATGTAAAGGATGTTTAAAATGTCACATTTTAGCGTGAAAAAAAAAAATAATGTTTTAGTCTGGAAAAAAAACGTCATAGTATAGTATGACCAAAATTTCAGATTTTGGGGTGAAATAAAAAATTAGATTTTAGGATGCAAAAACATGCCATAGTATTGCCTGATCAAAATGCCATAGTATAGGATGTTTAAAATGTCACATTTTAGCGTGAAAAAAAAAAATCATATTTTAGTCTGGAAAAAAACGTCATAGTATAGTATGACCAAAATTTCAGATTTTGGGGTGAAATAAAAATTGAGATTTTAGAATGAAAAAACATGCCATAGTATTGTCTGATCAAAATGCCATAGTATAGGATGTTTAAAATGTCATATTTAAGCAGGAAAAAAAAATCATATTTTAGTCTGGAAAAAAAAAAGTCTTAGTATAGTATGACCAAAATTTCAGATTTTGGGGTGAAATAAAAAATTGAGATTTTAGAATGAAAAAACATGCCATAGTATTGTCTGATCAAAGTGCCATAGTATAGGATGTTTAAAATGTCATATTTAAGCAGGAAAAAAAATCATATTTTAGTCTGGAAAAAAACGTCGTAGTATAGTATGACTAAAATTTCAGATTTTGGGGTGAAATAAAAAATTAGATTTTAGAATGAAAAAACATGATAGTATTGTCTGATCAAAGTGCCATAGTATAGGATGTTTAAAATGTCATATTTAAGCAGGAAAAAAAAATCATATTTTAGTCTGGAAAAAAAAAAGTCATAGTATAGTATGACCAAAATTTCAGATTTTGGGGTGAAATAAAAATTGAGATTTTAGAATGAAAAAACATGATAGTATTGTCTGATCAAAGTGCCATAGTATAGGATGTTTAAAATGTCATATTTAAGCAGGAAAAAAAATCATATTTTAGTCTGGAAAAAAACGTCATAGTATAGTATGACCAAAATTTCAGATTTTGGGGTAAAATAAAAAATTAGATTTTAGGATGCAAAAACATGCCATAGTATTGTCTGATCAAAATGCCATAGTATAGGATGTTTAAAATGTCATATTTAAGCAGGAAAAAAAAATCATATTTTAGTCTGGAAAAAAAAAGTCATAGTATAGTATGACCAAAATTTCAGATTTTGGGGTGAAATAAAAAATTAGATTTTAGGATGCAAAAACATGCCATAGTATTGTCTGATCAAATGCCATAGTATAGGATGTTTAAAATGTCATATTTAAGCAGGAAAAAAAAATCATATTTTAGTCTGGAAAAAAAAACGTCATAGTATAGTATGACCAAAATTTCAGATTTTGGGGTGAAATAAAAAATTAGATTTTAGGATGCAAAAACATGCCATAGTATTGCCTGATCAAAATGCCATAGTATAGGATGTTTAAAATGTCACATTTTAGCGTGAAAAAAAAAATCATATTTTAGTCTGGAAAAAAAAACGTCATAGTATAGTATGACCAAAATTTCAGATTTTGGGGTGAAATAAAAAATTAGATTTTAGGATGCAAAAACATGCCGTAGTATTGTCTGATCAAAATGCCATAGTTGGGATGTTTAAAATGTCATATTTAAGCAGGAAAAAAAAATCATATTTTAGTCTGGAAAAAAAAATGTCATAGTATAGTATGACCAAATTTCAGATTTTGGGGTGAAATAAAAAATTAGATTTTAGGATGCAAAAACATGCCATAGTATTGTCTGATCAAAATGCCATAGTATAGGATGTTTAAAATGTCATATTTAAGCAGGAAAAAAAAAATCATATTTTAGTCTGGAAAAAAAACGTCATAGTATAGTATGACCAAAATTTCAGATTTTGGGGTGAAATAAAAAATTAGATTTTAGAATGAAAAAACATGCCGTAGTATTGTCTGATCAAAATGCCATAGTATAAGATGTTTAAAATGTCACATTTTAGCGTGAAAAAAAAAAAATCATATTTTAGTCAGGAAAAAAACGTCATAGTATAGTATGACCAAAATTTCAGATTTTGGGGTGAAATAAAAAATTAGATTTTAGGATGCAAAAACATGCCATAGTATTGCCTGATCAAAATGCCATAGTATAGGATGTTTAAAATGTCACATTTTAGCGTGAAAAAAAAAAAATCATATTTTAGTCTGGAAAAAAACGTCATAGTATAGTATGACCAAAATTTCAGATTTTGGGATGAAATAAAAAATTAGATTTTAGGATGAAAAAACATTCCTTAGTATTGTCTGATCAAAATGCCAGACTATAGGATGTTTAAAATGTCACATCTTAGCGAGAAAAAAAAAAATCATGTTTTAGCCTGGAAAAAAAACGTCATAGTATAGTATGACCAAAATTTCAGATTTTGGGGTGAAATAAAAAATTAGATTTTAGGATGCAAAAACATGCCGTAGTATTGTCTGATCGAAATGCCATAGTATAGGATGCTTAAAATGTCACATTTTAGTGTAAAAAAAAAATCATATTTTAGTCTGGAAAAAAAACGTCATAGTATAGTATGACCAAAATTTCAGATTTTGGGGTGAAATAAAAAATTAGATTTTAGGATGCAAAAACATGCCATAGTATTGTCTGATCGAAATGCCTAAGTATAAGATGTTTAAAATGTCACATTTTAGCGTGAAAAAAAAAATCATATTTTAGCCTGGAAAAAAAACGTCATAGTATAGTATGACCAAAATTTCAGATTTTGGGGTGAAATAAAAAATTAGATTTTAGGATGCAAAAACATGCCGTAGTATTGTCTGATCAAAATGCCATAGTTGGGATGTTTAAAATGTCATATTTAAGCAGGAAAAAAAAATCATATTTTAGTCTGGAAAAAAAAATGTCATAGTATAGTATGACCAAATTTCAGATTTTGGGGTGAAATAAAAATTTGATCTTAGGATGCAAAAACATGCCATAGTATTGCCTGATCAAAATGCCATAGTATAGGATGTTTAAAATGTCCCATTTTAGCGAGAAAAAAAAAAAATCATATTTTAGCCTGGAAAAAAAACGTCATAGTATAGTATGACCAAAATTTCAGATTTTGGGGTGAAATAAAAAATTTGATGACGTTTTTTATCCAGACTAAAATATGATTTTTTCTTTTCACGCTAAAGTGTGACATTTTAAACATCCTATACTATGGCATTTTGATCAGACAATACTAAGGCATGTTTTTTCATCCTAAAATCTAATTTTTTATTTCACCCCAAAATCTGAAATTTTGGTCATACTATACTATGACGTTTTTTTCCTGACTTAAATATGATTTTTTTTTTTTTTTCTTAGGATGCAAAAACATGCCGTAGTATTGTCTGATCGAAATGCCATAGTATAAGATGTTTAAAATGTCACATTTTAGCATGAAAAAAAAAATCGTATTTTAGTCTGGAAAAAAACGTCATAGTATAGTATGACCAAAATTTCAGATTTTGGGGTGAAATAAAAAATTTGATCTTAGGATGCAAAAACATGCCATAGTATTGCCTGATCAAAATGCCATAGTATAGGATGTTTAAAATGTCACATTTTAGCGTGAAAAAAAAAAATCATATTTTAGTCAGGAAAAAAACGTCATAGTATAGTATGACCAAAATTTCAGATTTTGGGGTGAAATAAAAAATTAGATTTTAGGATGAAAAAACATGCCTTAGTATTGTCTGATCAAAATGCCATAGTATAGGATGTTTAAAATGTCACACTTTAGCGTGAAAAGAAAAAATCATATTTTAGTCTGGAAAAAAAACGTCATAGTATAGTATGACCAAAATTTCAGATTTTGGGGTGAAATAAAAAATTTGATTTTAGGATGCAAAAACATGCCGTAGTATTGTCTGATCGAAATGCCATAGTATAGGATGTTTAAAATGTCACATTTTAGCGTGAAAAAAAACCAACCTTTTTTTGGTCTGGAAAAAAAAACGTCATAGTATAGTATGACCAAAATTTCAGATTTTGGGGTGAAATAAAAAATTTGATCTCAGGATGCAAAAACATGCCATAGTATTGTCTGATCAAAATGCCATAGTATAGGATGTTTAAAATGTCACATTTAAGCGTGAAAAAAAAAAAATCATATTTTAGTCAGGAAAAAAACGTCATAGTATAGTATGACCAAAATTTCAGATTTTGGGGTGAAATAAAAAATTAGATTTTAGGATGCAAAAACATGCCATAGTATTGCCTGATCAAAATGCCATAGTATAGGATGTTTAAAATGTCATATTTTAGTGAGAAAAAAAAAAATCATATTTTAGCCTGGAAAAAAAACGTCATAGTATAGTATGACCAAAATTTCAGATTTTGGGGTGAAATAAAAAATTTGATCTTAGGATGCAAAAACATGCCGTAGTATTGTCTGATCGAAATGCCATAGTATAAGATGTTTAAAATGTCACATTTTAGCATGAAAAAAAAAATCGTATTTTAGTCTGGAAAAAAACGTCATAGTATAGTATGACCAAAATTTCAGATTTTGGGGTGAAATAAAAAATTTGATCTTAGGATGCAAAAACATGCCATAGTATTGCCTGATCAAAATGCCATAGTTTAGGATGTTTAAAATGTCACATTTTAGCGTGAAAAAAAAAAAATCATATTTTAGTCAGGAAAAAAACGTCATAGTATAGTATGACCAAAATTTCAGATTTTGGGGTGAAATAAAAAATTAGATTTTAGGATGCAAAAACATGCTGTAGTATTGTTTGATCGAAATCCCATAGTGTAGGATGTTTAAAATGTCCTATGTAGCGTGAAAAAAAAAATCATATTTTAGTCTGGAAAAAAAACGTCATAGTATAGTATGACCAAAATTTCAGATTTTGGGGTGAAAAAAAAAATTAGATTATAGGATGCAAAAACATGCCATAGTATTGCCTGATCAAAATGCCATAGTATAGGATGTTGAAAATATCATAGTATAAATAAAACACACAAACACACTGGGACTCTGTGTCTTTCTTTTATTCAGATCCTTATCATCCTACTTCCCAACACCCGAGTCTGACACAGAAACACAGAATCCTCTTCTGTGTCCACATGGCTTATCCAAATCGAGTTGAAGTTTTAAGTCCAGGAGCCCAAGTACGAAGATAAACGCGCGCGGAGCTCATGTCCCAGTATGGATGGTATCTGGTAGCGCAGTGAGGTAGTCAACCGGCACCCAATGTGGGTACCCCGGTTCGATACCCACTCGAGACAGGAAGTCTAAAGTTATGGGATGATGATAATTAATAGAGAATCCTTCTCTCTAAATAGAGAGTTCTTCTCTAGCAATAAGAGGTACTATTCATCACTTCTGATGATGATAAATAATAATAAAATCATCACTTCTAATGATGATAATCTGACCATGACTAATACTCTCCAGCCACGAGCTTGGATCAAACCGGCACCCGTTGGGTGTCAGTAGACTATCGTGCAGCGCCATTAGATACCATCCACACTAGGGCATGAGGTACGCCCGCTTTTATCTTTGTACTTTAACTCCTAGACTTTAAAATCACCAAGGCATGCTCAAGGGTTTGAACCCACAACCTCAGGAGTCCCAGTCAGTCTTCTTATCCTCTGAGCTATGCAGACGCGCAGGAAGATCCTGTTTATGAAAGGTTTACTATCTTAGAGGCCAGGCAACCTCTCCGTCCATGAACTAATCTGAAGTATTTTAAATTAACTGCTGACTAATGATACATAAAAGCTTTTAAGTAAATAATTTAAGTGTACCACATCTTCACTTTTAATGGTGACTAAAGACTCTAAACACTCAGTGAAAAGGTGAAATAATAAATTCAGACTCTAAACTTTACTACTTCAACCAGAAACAAAACTCAACATTAAAAGCAGATGAACGTCTACCTGAGGGGGACACAGGAGGAAAGGGGTTGGAGAGGAGGATGGGGAGGGTCTGACTAAAATAAAGTGACACGGTCACAGTGACATTAACTCTAAGAAGACAGATCTTAAAGCACCTCTGACAGCTCAATAAACAGTCTAAAACTGGCACTAAGAAAACACTCAAAGCTGACAGACTTCAACTTCACAGTAAAAACTTTTAAACTTTACTACAAACAAACCTGCTGAACACTGAATAGGACTTTAATTTACTCTTTACGCTGATCTATCTCTAGACACCTGAGCTGGATTTAAAAAGTTCACAAGGTCGAAAACAAAAGTTATTATCTGAGCTGTAACTACAAACTCTGTCCTGAAGGAGCTGAGCCAACAGCACAACCACCAGAGGGGGGGCAACACATTAATAAATAAACACCACAAACACACTGTGACTCTGTGTCTCTTTATTTTTATCAGACCCTCCCTGGAAATGCCAGACATCACATAAATGCACCAACATTTCCATTCAAAAGTAAAGATCTAAGGTCTGAAGAGAAGTTAAACTAGAAAATGGTTCAATCTGAACTATTTTAAATTAACGGCAGACTAATGATACCTAAAGGCTTTTAAGTAAATAATCTAAGTGTCTCAAATCTTCACTTTATTCATGACTTAAGTCTCTAAACACTCATTGAAAAAGGTGAAATAATACATTCTGACTCTATACTTAACTACCACTTCAACCTGGAACAAAACTAAAACATCATTAGGGAGACACAGGAGGAGGGCGAGTGGAGGGAGGAGGAGAAGGCCCCCCAACTCCAGGATCCACCGACGATGAGTCCTGAAAGAAAAGAAGGGAGAGTATTAGTTTGAAACATTTATTCCCACAAAAGACAAAAATCTGTGCTGAGGATGTCAAACTGGACTGTGGTGAGAGCTGAGAGAAGCTCTCAGGAAACTTCACTGATCAATATTTTTTTTTTTTCCGTGATGTCTTTTGAAACAGTAAAAATGAAAAGTTTTCCTGAATTTGTGCTCAATATCTGTCAGAAAAGCTGATATAAGTCCATGAATATCTGTCATTGATTAAACCTCCTACTGTGTTTGCTGTTATTATTCTTGTGTCAATAACATCAATGAAATATGGGACTTTTAACTCCAGTGTCAAATGTGATTCTTTCATGATTTTGTACAATAGTCACTGCAAATACACTGAACTTAATGCATAATTGGTGAACGAGAGAGAGCTCAAAATCAAGTTTCTGGACTTTGACCGCAATTAATATCATTAGATTCGAGACATCTAAATTAAAGTATTTCTTTAATTTACAGGTTTTTAGCAGTTGTTCTTGTAACTCACTATTTTAGTTCTTTATATTTATTGTTTCCAATGTTAAGTCCCCAGGACTTTCAGCTTGTAGTTTTTTTTCCCCTCAAATAAAAATGAGTAAAAACATTTATTTAGGTTAGCTGGAGTTTAAGTCACAATCTACTGATATTTCTTTGTATCATTATTTGTGAGGGGGTAATAAAATTATGGAGATGAATAATAAAAAATCTGTTTAGATTCACTCCTTTTCCTTAACAATGTTCACGAGCACATTAGACTTTAACAGGAGCGCGGATAGCCTGTTAGCATTAGCATTCTCCACTTAGCGTCTTCGTGTTTCTGCTCGCTTCTGGTTTACTCACCTCAAAAGTCACGATGCGCTTTGATTCATAATATGTTATCCTCATTCTATATCGCTCTCCTGTCTTAAAAATTTATAGCATTTCGATAAAAATGCTGACACGTTGTTGTTTGACGCAGTTAACGTCTGCACACCTGAGAGTAATCAGCAGCGGGGGTAACTTATACCCTCGGTAGGCGTGGACATGGCACTGAGTCACGTGACAAACGGATATCCGGTAAGGAAAAATTAATATTTGATTAAAACAAAACAGGAAAATACCGACATCAACACTGTCTTTATTCAGGTTAATTTTGGGAAACTTTTCAAATTAAAGGATGTATTTTTGTCTAAAAAACTGCCATGTGTCTGATTGTTCATAATAAAATTTGAGAATACTAATTTCCAGGAATTAATTCATAATAATTTGATCCAGAAACAGCTTTTTTTTTAAAATAACCATCATATATTCCTTAAGCTTTTAATTAACAGGGTTTTGTTTGTCTCTTCTACTTATCTTTTCTATCTACACTTATTTCCGTACTCACCTGTAGTGTATATGTATTTGTGTATGTATATGTACGTATACATACGTTTGTACTGTTTATGTTTATCTAATTGCTCTTATTTCATTAACAGCGCTCTGTGATATTTTATCTATAAATATACTGTTCTATCTTCATACCTTTGAGCAAGTTCTGTCACAGTCTTACTGACATTGCTCTTACCTACACTGTAACAGGCATCCAATGCAAAAAACTAATAAAACTGAAATATGATCAAATGTATTGAAATGCATTGTGTGTCAGGTTTGAATATAGATTTTTAATAACACTTGCTCTTTAAACTCCACTGACGGGGTCTGACTAAAGGCTGTTGGGAAACTTTTATTGCACCTGATCAACATCCAAGAAGGGCTGCCATATAAATGTCTTTCTTTTGATTCATCAGGCCAACCTGTTTATGACTGTGCTGACAGAATTATCACCACAACTTAACCCACAACTCCCTTCACCTGCCAAGCCACAGTGACAATCCACGGTGGAGCTGGAAACACATCTGGACCTTTCAATGAGACTGATCAGTTTGTCAGCAGGTAGAAAACAACTGTTTAACTTTTTCACATCAAGCACTCACTGTATTTTTCACCAAGGTGAGGAAATGCCTTCATTGTTAATAAAATGTTTGTGTTTTTAGGTCCAGGATGGGTAATCTATTGTGTTATACATTCCTATGTTGGCTTTCTTTTGCAGCGTTGCTCATATTCCTCTGTATATTTCTCATACATGCAAAACCAAAACCGAAACTAAAACGTGCCAAAAAGAAGAGGCGTGTGTCAAACACTTGACTTTCACACCTTCGTCTCTTACTTCTCTGGAGGTCATATCAGCTCAGGAGGCCTTGGTTTGCTGTCTCCACTGTTGACCAAAGAGCTTTGATAAAATGAAAAAGATTATTTATGAAGATTCGCAGACATAACATCGCCATTGTGGTTATCAGAGTGTCTCAGTGTAACTGTTGTATTATATTACTACACACCCAAGTTGTCAGCCTTCTTTTCTAATTGCCAAGCTTTCCTATTAGTTTATTTTAAAGCTGTTAGAGTAGAAATGATATCTCACCTCATAGTGGTTTAAACAGTGCTTTATAATTTATAATTTACACTATATTTTCCATACAACAAAATTTTTTTTGATAAAGGGAATCAGTAACAGAACTTGGAAGGCTGGGACAAGCAGCCATAGCTAATGATTAACAAGGAAAGTTAGCATTACAGTTTATTTTAATCAGGTCAAGCCGACACTGTCTGTCTGGGTGTTAGTTTTCATTCTGTTCCTCTGTATAAACAAGTCTTACAATAGAGTTTGTGTGACGTAATCCAGGCCGGAAAAGACAAACCCTCAGATTCTGACCACAGAGCAAAATTTCCATCATGATTTAACCCAACAAGTGTGGTAGACTTGAGTGTGGAAATTATAATGATGTAGGCCTGTGTAGTTCACCATGTAACTTTTCTACAGACTTTAAAGGAGTGTAAATGCTACACCTTTATCTCTGGAAACTTATCTCTAAAATAAATAGTGACTCAGTGAGAAAATAAAAGAACACTTGGAAATAGTTTGTCAAAGTTGGTTTGATTCAAAAAGGCGTGGAAGAAGTGATACACAGCACAACATCTAAACCTCTGTTTCCTGAAAAACAGAACACTTTGGATCCTATATAGACAAAAAAATGTCACAAGGGCTCATATTTTGTGTACAAAAACCATCACTAGACCAAGACAACACAACACAACACAACACAAGTAAGGACCAGTACAGACCAGCAAAAATAAGGGATGAAGACAGACTTGAATGGTCGTTCAGCCTAAATCGACAACCAGAAAAGACTAGAGTCAGACCAGCTGATGGCTTCCGGGGTTGCTGATCCTGCATCATATATTGAGTGCTAAGGTGCGAGTGGGGATTTATAACTCCACTACAAACAGAAATCAGGGTTTTCCCAACAGGGGCGTCCAGATTTTTGCAGTGGCGTTATAAAGTCCAGCATTTATTTACCCTCTCTGAGAGTTTTGGGGTGACCACTGTTCAATAAAAGTTAAAGTTGGGGGCATAACCTTCCCCAAACCCAACCCTGCGGCGAGTATATATCTGTGTCGGGGGTTAACAATCCTCCTGGTATGTCATTCAAAAGAGAAGGCAGAAACCTGATCAAACAGTCTCATTTGTTGCTCAGTAGGAAATGCATCATTTCTCTTTATTGAACCCACCAGGGTTTGGTCTATTACATCATACTTTATGAATGCTTTAAAACAAACTTCTCCATTGTTAACATAGAAATGAAGGCAAATAAAGACAGTTCATCAGAGGGAACACCGATTATAATCCATGTAGCAAATGTAGGTTTGACAAGGGACTTCAAAATCATCTTTTTTTCTCTCTTTCTGAAATCAAATTAGAGATTTTTCTAATTTAGTTTAACAAAATATATAATTAACCACAACTTCTAATCGATTTCTTTCAAGGAGCTCTGACAAAAGAAATTATTTTGATGATTTTGTTCACAGAAAGTTGTTTTATGTTGTAATGTGTTTTTAGCTCTTAAACTTATATTTTGAAGTTGATTTTTTTATGACTTATGCGGAGCATTTACTTTTACAAGCCACGCCCACATACTTCCGGGTAGACGTCCGAACATCTAAAAATTGAGGGCAGCGCTTTATGGAGTCATTACCCAAGTCAGACTCTAATAAGGTAAGTGTAACTATTGACCGTGTTTATTTTACTAATTACTTTGACAAAGCGTATCGAAAACTTGATGGTTTTAAGGAGCTAACGGAACGGAAACAATGGGTTCAAACATGCGCTAACTGATAGCTGCCTTGCTAGCCAAGCCTGTGTTGACCAGGGTCCGCTGCGATTTTAAAAACTTTAAGAACATGTTGATTAAATGTAAAAGTGGTGGCTCTTAATGACAAACACCAGGTTTTTTCTGACAAAGGTAAACTATCATGTTTTTCGGCATGGCTCATGTCCAAATTAGAGGTTTTTCTTCTATGGTTAGATCGCTTCTTTTATCGAGAATGGTTGCCGCCCACACTGTGTTTTCAGAGGTTGAAGTCTTCGCTTACCCTCTGCTGTTATTGATTTAATAGTAATGCCGTGCTGTCGTGTCTGTTTCTTTTTCTTTGGAACTTCTGCCGAATTTTCCAGAACGACATTTTGAAACAGTTGACTTGTATAATAGCTCGGTAAAACGCCCCACGGGGGCAGCAACACCGCATTTTGCTTACGTTATCAGAATTATAAAGAAGATTTGGCCTGAATCCATCTACACAAGTTTCGTTGACGCAGAGACAAATCTGTGGTGAAAGTGCATCTCTTTTAAACTAAAGTCGCCTTGAAAAACTGCGCACAAGGTTATCATCATTAAAACGATCCAGTAGAAGCTCTCATTTATCGTGAAAATAGCTACAAGTGAATGTATTTTGCGGAAATGTTTGATCAGTTTATCCCGAGTACCAACATGTTGAGCAATTAGTTTCCTGATTCTTCTTCTTTTATTTGTGCGTGTGTGTGTTTTTATAACAGGATTGACTCATTGACATTGGCCAGACTTGCCTGATCCCATCATGGCTGTCAGATACTTCTCTCTACTCTGCTGTCTTGGCCTAGCTTTTACTGCTCAAGGTGAGTAACAGTGGGGATAAGCTGGTGACATCCATATTACACACAAGCTGGTGTTTGGCCTTGAACTATCTTATCCCTCACCATTCTGCTTTTGTTTACCATTACAGCTCAAGACTGCTCAAGGCCTATTCCAGGAACTAACATGCAATTAAGAGAGAAAGACGCTGAAACGCAAGAATTTCCACCGGGGAGCAAAGTTGGTTTCACCTGTGTGATTGGCTACACCCCTGCAGGAGGGAGCCCATCCAGTGTTTGTACTGGCGGGGTTTGGACCCCCGTGACCCTGACATGCGAGAGTAAATATCACCTGTTTCTAATATTTGTTCTCTGTTTTGGAGCCTCTCTTTAAGTAACATAACTGTTCTTTAAGATAAGTTAAAGACAATATTTTGATGAATCTGTGGAGTCGTCTTGTGCTAAATGATACAGTTTTCTTTCACTAGGGAAGAGCTGTGGCTCACCCGGTGACGTGCTACACGGTCACATCGAGTACCATGATGGCACTGAGTTTGGTGATACAGCTGAGGTTATTTGCGATGAAGGGTTAGTAACACAGAGATAACTGTGATATTTAAAGAATTGTCATTGTATTATTATGGTGGACATAACTCTAAATGTTTACAGCCATTGTATTTAAACGTCATTATTATTATTTTTTTTTAGTTACAAACTGGTTGGTAGAAGTCAACTCAGTTGTGGAGACCAAGGCTGGAAGGGCAGGTTACCTGTCTGTGAAGGTTGGTCTGCTGTGTGTTAATACAAGGAACATGAGATAGTAAGATCTCTTGTCTATTTTTGCTTTAACCCCTGTACTTTTTACTGCGCAGTTACGAAGTGTGAGCCTCCACCTCAAATAGCCGATGGCGTGTATTATCCTGAAAGCGAAATCTATGAATACAGAGAATCTATCCAATACACCTGTTCGAAGGATTTTTCTCTCGTTGGATCCAAATACCGCTCGTGTTCAGGAACAGGGACATTTGAGCCTGAAGCTCCAACATGTAGCAGTGAGGATTTTAGCATTTTTTCCAACTTTTCTAAACATTTCCCACCGACTCTAAAAACCGCTCATTTGTACAACTGGAGTGAGTTACATCCATATATTTTTTTGTCCCTGAAGATATTAAATGTCCCAACCCAGAAGTGGAAAACGGTGATCGGTATGGAGGTTATAAGCCGTCTTATAAGTACAAGGACACTGTGCAGCACAAATGTACGACTGGCTATACTCCGATAGGAGACGATGTCTCTACGTGTGGACCTGATGGGAAGTGGTCACCTCCACTTCTACGATGTGAACGTAAGTAGATCAGACTTTTTGAAGTAACAATATAAAATTTTATCTGTATTATGGATTTCTCCTGAAATTTAACAGTGACTAACTGACTGGTATCATCTTTTTCTTCAGCTTTAAAATCTCTCAGGCTGCCTCATACTTGCATTAACTGACTGGATTCACACTTTAGAGCGTGATATATGTGCAGCATATTCAGCTTTAGTCCTTTTGCTTGCTGCTATCAGAGATTATTGCGGTAGTTTTTAAAGAAAGGATCCTGCTGCTGTGTTCTGTCTAAAGCTCTGCATCACCTCATGAGAGTATCCCTGCTTCATTAAGCTATGTCAGAACAATCCTGGACTGTAATCTTGCATGCACAAACTCTCACCCGTGAAAGAGCATGACACTTGATTTGGCCTTAGAAACTACAAATCTGGCTTTTTCCATTCCTTCTAGTGTTTATTTCTCTTTTCTGATTTGTCATTCCAGCTAAAAATTGTTCGCAACCTGTTGGAGGATCCAACATGGCTTTAGAGGACAAAACTGTACAAATATTTCCACACGGCTCCAGCGTTACTTTTGTCTGTAAAGACGACTTTGTTCCTGAGGGAAATGCAGTCATTAAATGTATGAATGGGGACTGGAGTCGTCTGGAACTCACATGCAAAAGTGAATATTCACACTTTTTTATGACCTGTCCCCTGATTTGGTGCTCTTTCCTAAAAGACGTTTAACCGGATAGTTTTCTGGATCAGGGAGTGTTTATTTCTCTTTTCTGATTTGTCATTCCAGCTAAAAGTTGTTCACAACCTGTTGGAGGATCCAACATGGCTTTAGAGGACAAAACTGTACAAATATTTCCACACGGCTCCAGCGTTACTTTTGCCTGTATAGACGACTTTGATCCTGAGGGAAATGCAGTCATTAAATGTATGAATGGGGACTGGAGTCGTCTGGAACTCACATGCAAAAGTGAATATTCACACTTTTTTATGACCTATTCCCTGATTTGGTGCTCTTTCCTAAAAGACGTTTAACTGGATAGCTTTCAGGATCAGGGAGTGATAATATCTGCTGAACCAGTTTTTAAAATCACTGTGCATTCACTTTGTGTCAGTAACTCTCTCAAGATTACCATGTTGTATGTTTTTTCATAGGAACCACTAAACCACCAAAAACCACTAAAGGACCAGTTACAGTCGGCCCAGGTGGAAAAGGTGATGGTGATGATAAGACAGAGTCAGGTAGAGTCGATGTTGAGTCCTTTCAGTGTGTTCATATGAAGCAGTAATAAAATTTAAAGGGGGCTAAAAAGAGCTTTTTAAATGGTACTGGCAGACTCTTAAATAGCTGAGTTTTAAGGGGTAAAATGTGTCGGAGCAGCTGACGATAAAGTTTTGCCGCTTTTTGAGTAAAACACAGCAGTCATAACACTTCATGTTATCATAATGCTCTGCGACTAACCTTTTCCTCAGTAATCCTGTGATGTCTGGTTGTACGACAAGCAGCTTTTCCCCCCTGAACCTCCTTTTGTTTGTTTTTTTTTACAGGCGGTGGAAATGACACTGCCAGAGACGCGGGGATTGCTTTGGCGGTCGGTAAGTTTCAACCTCATCCTTTAAAAGAGCTGAATAAGAGACATTATTATGTATTCATTGATGGTAAACATATTAACGCACAGTGTTTCTTTGCTGCGGTTTGTGTTAACTAATGAATAACACATATTCTTCAGTTTTAAAGCTCCTGTGAGGATTAGTTAACCGGCTATAAAATGAGCTGAAATTAACACTGATGTCTGTTTGTTACCTGTAAAAAGGATGAACACTGTCAGAGATGAGATTCATGTGTTAATCTTTTCATTTCTGATGTTTGTTACTTCTACAGCTATTCTTTACAGAGAATTTTATTTATTTGTTCTTTCCAGTCTGATTTTTTTACATGATCCTTGTTTTTTCTCTCACACAGTTGCTCTTGTTGTTGCGGTGCTCGTTTTAGTTGGAATTCTTCGTTCAAAAAAGAAAAAGCAAGGGTAAAATGTTGTTTTGTTGAACTACGCAGGCTAACACTAAACCCTGCTTGATCCCTCTGTGCCTGTGAACATTTCCTTTACGTCTCTATTCCAGCATCTGTTATTTTTTTTCCAGCATCTTTATCCTGTCCGGCTTTGTGATGTCCCGTGTTTGGGCTTTCTAGGACCTTTTGATCAAAGTTTCTCTCTTCGCCACACACTGTTGATGTTGTCATATTTGGCTGCTTTGAGAACTTGAAGCACTCTGACTGAGTCGTGAGAGCTGTGCCAAGGGCTGTCAGTTTTCACTGGAACCAAAGTTTGTCTAATACCTGGATAGAAACAATGGGTTTAATTTGCATGGGCTCAGGTTCCATACGTACTCCCAAATCCAAAGTCCAGACTCTAGAGGAAGACAATGAAACCTTTTAAATGCTTAAAAAAAAACATGGACAGAGAAAAACTTGATGGTTCCTCACTTGTTAATGCCTGATGTGTCGACGCCAAACGAGGTCATCGGTCTGAATTTGTTCTCTTCTCATTTGATTTCTGCAGGAAAAGGAAATGATAATTGCAGAAGTGACTCATACTGAAACCTCATTTTTTTTGAGTGGGGATCAATTTTAGCAGTTGATCATAACTCTTAAAAATTGAAGACTTATAACTGTTACTCATTTTCTACCTATGAAAGATAAATAAACCAAAAAATAAAAACTTAAAAAACACACATTTTATATATATCAAAAAAATAAAAAAATAAATAAACCTAAAAAAAAAAAACACACTTTATATGTATATAAAAAAAATAAATAAATAAAAATAAACCTAAAAATACACACACTTTCTACATATCAAAAAATTTAAAAAATAAACCAAAAAAAAAACACGCTTTCCACATATATATATATATATATATATATATATATTTATACACACAAATAAATGAATAAAAATAAACCAAAAAACAAACCTAAAAATACACAAACTTTCTATATATCAAAAAAAAATAAAACAAAAAAAACACGCTTTCTATATATATATATATATCAACAAAAAAAAAATAAACCAAAAAACAAACCTAAAAAACATACACTATATATATATATATATATATATATATATATATATATATATACAGTATATATAAATGAATAAATAAAAATAAACCAAAAAAATAACCCTGAAAATACACACACTTTCTATATTTAAAAAAAAATGAATAAATTTAAAAAACCTGAAAAAAATGAAACCAATATTTTGTTTTAAATCCAAACTGTGTCGAGTTTCTTTACTTGACACCTTTTATATTATTAAGTATTCAGTTAACTAAAAGGCCAGCAAGCGATCAAAATATGACAACAGAGCATTTGGTGGTGTACTTCGCTCTGAAAAACCAATTATGTTTAGTCGAGACCCCTCACACTGCACTGTCTTTTTTTCTCTCTTCAGTTTCCTCCCTCAAATGTTTTGAAACAGCACGCTGCAAGACACTCCTTTTATTATGAAATTCTATAAAACCCAAACCTTCCTCTTCCACCAAACTCTGTGGTGACCTGCTGCTTTCTGCTCTGTTTCATTTTGGGAGCGCTTCCGTAAAAGTTTGTGCAAATCAGCTACAAGAAACGAATTTATAGAAATCTTAATTTCCGCTGTGTTTGAGGAAGCGGCTTCCTCTGTGACGAGTGGTGCTCGAGTGTGGTCTTGTGGTCGAGTCAGGCTTCTTTCCACTTCCTGCAGCTTGTCTTGCCTCTTATCTGCCTGGTCGGTCGCACAGTTAGCGGTGATATTGATAAGTGGTTATTAAATTGCAGTTTTCAGAAAGGCTGTCCTGAAAATGACACGAAGAACGATGACGAAGAGCAGGCGCAGCTCTGAAGTAGGTAAGAAGACGGAGCACCGAGCACTCTCAAACCCCAGAAACTCATCATTTTCAATCTGTCTATCTGGCTGTGATGATCACTAACGTTAACATTGATGACTTTTCTTTCCTGCTCTTTTGGGATCGTTTTTAACCAGCTGGGACGTTTCCTACTCCTCCTCTTTTCTCTCCTTGTTCACAGAGTTTCTTTCTAAATGACTGTGATGTCTTCTCTTCTCCTGTCTTGCAGTAAGCGCCCTTCTGTTGGTCCATAACTACTTGGTTTGAAAACATCTGAGTAAGAAGAGGACTGCCACTGGACTAGTTTTTGAATGTATTCGCTCAATCTGCCAGCATGAGGGTGCCGCAGGCTCACAAACCACCCCCAAATAAAGTTTCTGAACACGAGCCCGAGATCGCAAATCCTTAGTAGGTTTGGTTCAACCTAAACATGCTTTTAGGGTTCTCATTAGTCACTCCAAACTTCTTTATTTTAGCCCTGCATGAGTCTTAACAATGATGATTGGGTTGCCTGTAACCCCGTTCATAACATCACTGCAGTTTTTTGTTTGTTTTTTAATTATGAAGGAGTGAGTTTTATATTTTCAGAGTGACATAATCTTGCACTATATTGATCCGCACAGCTCAGCTTGGCCAATATCGCTCAGTTACACCAATTACTCAACCAGTTTTCGTCTGTCTATCAAAACAGGTGGCTTCTAGCTGATAAATCTAGTCTTGTAAATGAAACTTTCCAGACAACAAAGATAACAGCGGGATCTGTCAAACATTCTCAAACACGGTGCCTGATCACGAGGGAAAATGTCTTTGCCTTATTAATGAAGAAACTGTCTAAGTTCGTTGATTGTTGTTTCTCGTGTTTCGTCCTGTGAGTCGCATAAACATTAACCCAGAAAAGTTATGGAGAGCGAACTTCGGTTTAATGTTTGTGCAAAGTTAAATATTGGCACATAGTGTAGCCTAAAAGAAAGCGTTTTATTACCAAGAGAAAAATTCAGCAAATGTTTTTTTTTTTTTTGAATATCAGAATTATTTGATTTGATTTATATCTCTCTCAGAGTTTAGGTGTTAAGTTGAAACAAGGAGCATACTTTAAGTATTAGGCTTCAGACCCGTGGCTGATGTTTCCTGGAGTCCGACAGACTGTGACTTCTCAAGTTTTTGCACTTACTTTGCTTTACTTTTGAAATCTTTATTTATTGAGCTGAAATTTGTGTCAGAACATCTCATCTAACAGTTTTTGTATTGTACAGAAGCAGGTGAAAACTGCTTTCATTTTGGCTTTACTTTTTTTGTAATCAATAAAATAAAATGAAACCACTGAACCAAGTCTGACCCCTGTATTGAATTTGCTGTGTATTCAACATGAACACACATCAGTCTCTTTGACCCAGATGCTGCGACTTTTTAACAAACAACAGAGCTGGAAAAATTGAGGAATATTATGTGAAAGTAAATTTTTATTTGTGTTTATGATAGAAACAAAGTGTAACATACAACAATAAATGTCAATGTGTCTTTACTAATTTGTCAACTTTTAATATGTGTAGTATGTAGTTATACCAACTTTAGTAATGACCACACAATAGCAATACACAGCGGTCTGAGGAGCCACAATGATCATAAATGTTCTTCCTTGAGCTGCGTCACCCCGCTGCAGTCTGTAATGGACTGGTCAAGGTCTCTCAACAAACAAGCGGCTGCTGGAAGAGAGTAGGTGAGTTGTGTTTAGTCTCTTTGCTAAAGAAATTAGTCAAAGTTAAAAAGATGTTTGGTGGCTGGGACCCTATATGTCCTGTTGATGAAGTTAGGTGCTGTTCTGAGCATTATTTGTGGCTATAAAGTGGCGTTTTGGTTGAGGTTTGTTTATGGCTCCTCAGACTGCTGTGTATTGCTATCCTTCGGTCGTTACCAAAGTCGGTATAACTAGAGATTCTCTCAAGGGGGCTTTCTAACTCGTCATTATGGTGTGTTTGACCCTAAATTAATTTTGCACCGGAATATCCCTTTAAGCATTTAAATTAAATGATATTTCACAAGTAACCCTGTATTTTCATTTTGGACAATATACTGAAGTTTTACAAAGGGTTCAAGTTAGAAATAAGGTCTGCTGAGGTAATTATGTTATGAAATCTGGCATTTGCAGCAATAAAAAAACCTTCAGGAAAACTATTTATACTTCATTTGTCAGTTAAAGATAGAAACTCGACAAGCCTCTTGTGGGTGGATATTGCAAATCTGCATTTTGCTATGAAAACATGTTGCATCTAGGATCTGTGCAGGGTTGAATATGACTGTAAAGTAAGATATTTATGACCATGACTTCCATCCATTAGTGCAAACTGAATCAAAAATCAACTGATCTCTTAGATTACACTGCCACCTTGTGGATTTTACAAAGAACTACAACACCATTCATGTTACTTATGCTGCGTCCGAACTGCCCGCTCGGATACTACATGCTACTGCTACGTGCTACTGCTAGATCCTACTCCTACATACTAAACACGTTGGCCCAATTCGGACACACTAGACGAGCGGTGGGGAAAGACGACCCCCGCAGGCAGAGAGTAGGTACTGCGCCCGTGCAGACAGTGGTAACTGAAGCCCCTCATCTGCGGGCCTGGCTGTAGTACTGCAGCTGTGCAGTTTAATGATGGAATAAGTGAGCTTTACCTCCATGATGTCGCCACATATTTGCTCATAAAATGATTACTTGGGCAAATATGACACCATGACATGACAAAGAGATACAACCGCACATTTTTTAGGACAGTGTGTGAAGTTACATGAAACTTACATCTGTACTGCTGCGGTCCCGCGACATGGTGCGCGCTGTTGTAGCCAGCCGGCGTTCGCGATACATTTAAATAGGCAGAGCAGCTGGTGGCGCTAGCATCACATGCGCTTCTACAACTTTTAAGAGGACGAAGAAGAAGCCCGTGGTGCATTTTGGGTCAGTAGCATGCCCGTAGGATGCACCGAGACCAACCTACAATGTGGGCGTGTCTAGTATCTGAAGTAGTATCTGAAGTAGCATGCTACTCGCTCCGGTGGCCAATTCGGACATGCTAGATACTACTTCGACTTCTACTTCGACTACTACTTGGCAATTCGGACGCAGCTTTAGACAGGTTTATAGACCATCACCCAGAGGTAATAGATAAAAACCCAAGTGCAGTACCGTGTGCATTTAAAGGCGCTTACCTTTTTCATTTAATGCATCTTAATAACGGCTTTGCTGCACTCCAATGGAAACGCTGCAAAAAAAAAAAAAAAACACTGACTGTAATACTTCTGCATTTTTACAAAATGAGAAGAAGGAAGAGGTGACATCTTTATTTAGGTGTGTGAATCTGGATCCAGAAGGCTCGGACAGATCCTGGTTTGGTGTTAAATTGAAGCTAAAAAGCTAATCCAGAATCGGTAAAACAAAAGCCACACCCTGGACGCAGGTACGACGAGAACTGTCCATCACTGTAACCGATTTCAAATGGTGCTAGAAACGGAAGCAGACTCTGAACACCAAAAGAAATCAGTCAACCTTGGAAGAGGACAAAGCGTCCGAGCCGTCCCAACCTGCTTCAGGGAGTCGTTTGTTCTGTCCGGGGGAAGTCGTCTCTCTTTCTCTGTTCACCTCTCGCAGCTGTTAGCCGTCGAAACACACTTCCCGCCCCAAGAACACTGATTTCAAATGGTGCTAGATAGATGACATTACTCTAAGCCACCATCTGAAACCAGCTTCCAAGAGGGGAACTTCTGACATAAGGTGTCCTTCTGTGCCGTGACGCATACTGGACCTAAAAAAGAAAAGGGGAAAAGGAGTATAAATAGCAGGAAAGAGTGGGTAAATGAGCAGACATTTCTGCCTTGAGGAAACAAGATAAAGTGACTCTCCATTAAAGTAGATGAAACACTATTTTTCACTTGATTTAAGGCATTTTTAAGACGGCTGCTTCGGAATAAATGGAAAGAAAAGTACCTCAGAGAACATGAACTAAAACGCTAACATCTGACTTTCTTACTTCCCACAGACCTCTGTCAAATACTTGATTCTGATTGGTCAGAACCTCTTGTTTACAATTTCACCTCTTACTGTTGACAGTTTGAAAAAACATCAGTAAACAACATGCAGGATATTCTTGATATACTACTCTCAATCTATATGGATATGTAGGTTGAATACATACATAATCCATTAAATAAAAAAAAGATCAATGTTTAAATGTGCAGAGATTATGGTACTAAATTAGCTCTATTTTTCAGCAAAAGGTTAGGTTATATATGTAAAAACTAAAATCTAGATTTTGTGTCTAAATTTAAAAATCTCTGTTGAAAAAAAAGGTAATTTGCTAATAGTGTCTCAGAGAAAACCCCACATTTAGAGAGGAGGTTTATCCTTTCCATGCACATGTACTGATTAGAATATTCTGTTGATGGAAACAGTATTTTTAAAAAGTTAAATTGTCTTACAAACGCAGTAATTTAAACAATCTGGGATCTCTGTGAGAACAACAACTCTAATTTTCTAAAGTGACACCTTTTTTGTGGTATCTGCTCTTAGTGGCCTGGTAATGTGGTAATGACGTGAACTTTAAAGACAGAAAGCTTGGTATGCCATTAAGCCATTAAAGATACTGAGTATTTACTGATATCTGGGGTCAGATTTGAAGATTAAAACACTCCCTTGCTCACTTCTCCCATTGATGAAGTGATGGTGGCCTTTAAGGACAAGAAGCTCCTGTGACTTCATTAACAGTACATACAGTATAGGGTCTTATTATTACTTCATGGGAATGCAATCAGACTGAGATGCTATGGCAGAAGAACTACCACGTCTAAAAGATTAATATGGTGATTATTACTTAAAGGAAATGATAAAGAAATTATCAGAAATGTTCTTCCTTGAGCTGCGAACCCCCAATTCAGTCGATGGACTCGCCTGGAGGTCTCAGCACAAACAAGCGGCTGCTGGAAGAGAGAGGGTGAGTTGTGTTTAGTCTCTTTGCTACAGAAATTAGTCAAAGTTAAAAAGATGTTTGGTGTCTAGTACTATCGCTGTGACCCTATATGTACTGTTGATGAAGTTAGGTGCTGTTCTGAGCATTATTTGTGACTATAGAGTGGCGTTTTGGTTGAGCGTGAGGCTCTCTGTATTGTTATCTGCTGTCATTACTTAAGTTGGTATAACTAGAGAAGCAAGCGGTCGGCAACATTCATCTCGAGAGGGGGTGTCTGACTCTGTATGTGTTTGACCCTAGATTAATTTTACGCCGGAATATCTCTTTAAGACTATTATATTTGATTTCTCCCAAGTACATCCAGCTAAAATCTTCACACTGTACCTTTAAATTAAACTGTAAGAAGACACTCAGGTTTCGTCCTACCAGGGGGGCCTCATGTGGTTTCAAGAGTGTCCCCAAACATCTGTGTTGTATTTGTAATAGGATACAACATATTAACAGCAGAGCCCTCCATTAAAAAAGATCAGTCTGAACATGGTCCAAACTTTCTATAACTGCCAGAGCACTCTTTATAAATCTAGGCTGAAATATACATGAGTAGAAAAAATAATCACTATTTTAATCACCTCTATTTTAATGACCTTAAAAATACCTTAAGGTCCCCAGGGTAATACCAATCCTGTCCAAAGAGGGCGTCATCTGGAGGCCACACCATATGCAAATAAAGTAATCAGCCTTTCCTAAACAGAGGCTCATTGGTCTCTTTTATGCTGAAGTATTTCTGCGCACACTGAGGCTTCGATTTATTCTCTCTCTACTTTCCTCCTCACTGTACCGAGATGATGATGATGATGTTTCGGGGAAGCTTGACAGCATCTTGGAGGCTGTCAGAGACCTCAAACGCTTTGCACTCGGGGACGGTTTAGAGTCATGCTCATGCCCAGAAAGAGGCTCGATTCTCTGACCCTGTTTCAGGCCAGAAACTGCTGCGGATGAAGAGGGAGTGAGTGAGAGAGATGAAATGGAAAACCACTGAGAAAGCACCAGAACACCTCTCTCTCTCCTTCTCTCTCTTTCACTCTGTCTCAATCTATTTCTCTCTAACACGCCCACACCACTGATCCGATACTTGATCCAAGCTTGGTGGATGTGTGAAGGGCCAAACAAGAACAGACACACAAAAACAGAGCCACTCTGTGTGTGTGTGTCTGTGTGTGTGTGTGTTACAGGCTCACCTGCAGGCCTCTGCAGACAGACCTCCACCAGTCCTCTCCTCTCCTGCTGCTCGCCGGAACGGTAAGATGGATGCTGTCATTCCTGCTCTCTCTCCGTCCACTACAACGAGAAAAGCAAGGAAGTGGCAGTCAATCGCTGGCTTCAGAGCCATGACGCAGACACGCAATTATAATACAGTGAGAGAGAGAGAGAGAGAGAGGGAGAGGGCGGGGCGGGTGCAGGTAGTGGCCAGTTCACTGACTTGTTGCCAAGTGCTTCAACAAAAGTACAAAACAACTCAACTGCTCCTAAAAATCGATTTTACCTCCCGCTGTAACTCTTCGCACTCTGGTGAAAAGACGGCGGTACTGCACTCCACTGTCATACCTCTAGAGAACACACACACACACACACACACACACACACACACGCCCTCTTTCACTTCTTCATGTTTACAACAAGTGCCTCAAATTTTACGCTCTCAAAGGTGATTACAGCCAAATCTGAGGAAGCTTCTCCCCAGCCTCGACTTTGATTTCCACGGCAAGAGGAAGGACAAAATCCCCACCGCCTTTACGAGTCCTTATCAGGCTTTAGATGCGCCACACTAAGCCATTTTTTTCTGTCTGGGACGCTCTGGCGTGTGTGAGTGTGAGTGTGTGTTTGCACTGTAGCCACAGTGACGGCTCTGATCAGAGGGCCTGTCTGTCCGTAGGTGTCTGGTTCCTCCGCCTGGCTGGCTCAACCCAACCCCGTCAGTTTTCTTTTTTCGGGTTGTTTGTTGCTTGTGTGCCACTGGACCTGTTGTGTAATGCTTATAAAAGATTTAAAGGGACAGGAGGCCTTTGGAGAGCGGTCAGCGCTGGAATCAGGAAGGAGCTGTGAAGCACCCCTGGGGGAAATCCACAGGGGCTGGATATCTTCGCAGTGGTCATTGTTTACAAGGAAATAGAAACATAATCCCGACGGTTCGAACAGCTGAGTGAGGAAAGTGTGGCGTAACATGCTCTATAAGCAGTTTTGAAGATTATTCGACCGGTTCTGAATACAATTGAATGCTTTTGAGTAAACATATCATGTATTACCTGACTTTAGGACAGCCTGGGTTATGTAGTTCTGTCACTTTTAGGCGTCATGTCCATTAGCGCTGCTGTTTTTCTCCCTCTGGTAGCATCTCTTTTCTATTCAAACTGAGGCCGGTCCAGCATTTTCAGCTCTTGGCGTCAGCTGGTTTTGTGCTGAGCTCTCATCTGTTGAAAAATGTTCAACTTTCGGAGCGCCGCCGCGCTTGTCAATCTCGCTTCTTTATACCGGCGTCCAATCGCAACCAAAACGGGGCGGGACTGCTCACTGCTGCTCATCATTTCTATCACTTCTAAAGCGAATATGAAACAGACAGAAGATTTTCAAACAGACTGAGGGACGTGAGGGTGCCACGGGACAACTTTGGTAACCTAGCAACAGTAAACGCCGGTGAGAAGCGCTCTGAAATTCAGATTGCGGACGCTGCCAGCATAGAGGACAGACTTTAAGGACATGGCTGCTTACGCTGTGTGCTGATATGAAGCCCTCAAAAACCAGTTTAAAAAGACACATGAACAGAAACGTGAATCGAAAACAATTACATATAAAACAACTTCAGGCATCCCACTGAGCAACAGACAGCTATTAGACGTCTAGTTTTTTTTTAGACCTAATTTCAACCGTCTAGATTCTGTATATTCTTAGACTGAATTTAGATGTTTCACTTTAACCCATAATTCGATAACCAAAATAATAATGATAGTCGTTGAGCAAAATACAGTGTAGTAAAGATAAAGCCCAGATTTAGACTCGGTCCAAACTTGGTCTAAATTTAGACGTATAAAAAAACTCTCATTTTTAGACCTGTGGTAGCCTGATTTTAGACCCGTCGTCTCGGCTACATTTCGACGTCTATTAGACCTCTTTAATGCTCAGAAGGATCATACAACTCAGTGGTTCTCAACTGGTGGGTCCCGACCCAAAAGTGGGTCACGGACGCGTTCTGGTTGGGTCACGAACAGCTGGTCAAAAAAGTAAATATTTAATGCGATATTTATAACTTGAGTAGTTGTCGTCCTCGTGTTGTTCCCTTCATGTGCTCTGAAATGCACTTTACTCAATAAAACAAGTGGATTTATATAAAGAAATGAATTTGCTCGGTTTGAATTCTATAAAAGTGGATCGCGACTTAAGAATCATGTGAAAATGTTGGTCCCAGAGTAAGACCAGTTGAGAACCACTGACACAACTTCATTATCTGATACTTTCTTTTTCTTCTTATAGCAAAAGAAGTGTAAACAAAACACAACCGGAGGTGTTGCTGCCCCATGAGTAAAAAAAATAGGTCGTCTTTTCTCAGGCAACAAGTGCAGGTGAGATTGTAGGAGGCTAGCTTAAGCTCACCTGAGCAGCCAGAGAGTTTGTTTACTTCAAAAAACTATTAGCAGCTCTGAAAATACTGACACTATCTTTAAAGACTTTGAATCCTCAGTTCTGAATATTCTTGTCATTATCAGGATGAACCTTTTAAGTCCAATCGAGCCTCAAAAGCCCCTAAAGATCCTTCTCCTGATTGTTAGGAGCACCACCTTGGATTCAAAGTAAAATCAAGAGTCTTATAAGATGCGCTTTCAGAACTTACGCATAATGCACAGTTATAAAACGAGGTGGAGAGCTTCTGCTAAAGAGCCATCTTTGCTTTGCAGTAATCTTCACAATCGGAAAACACCGAGGCGGCTGCAGTTCCCTGTGTGTAATACTATCAGCACATTTTCAAAAGAGAGCCGGAGCAAACAGAAAAAAAAGAGAGAAAGAGACGCTGACTCGAGAAGCCAAAGCTGCAATGCAGACCAGAGGCAGCCACACGCCGTCTTGCATCATCCCGGAAAATTGGGATCTTTCAGGTGTAAGGACCTCCAGCCAGGAGAACAAGAAAATCTCCGACGTTTAAGGATTTGGAAACTTTAAGGGGTTGTCAGGCTCATGGCAGGTATCAGTGTCAGACACGCACGCTGTGGTTCAAAGTGAAGTGAAAGGCCTGGATTAGACTTCACTTTACAGGCCTGAAAGTTTGCAGTGAATTCATAAAAGAGGGAAAGACGTCAGGGGAGAAACTCAGAGGAGAGCGCCGGAAAGTGATCGCATAAAATTTAGTATCGTAGGGAAAGGTTTCGGCCAAAAGAGTTGATGAAAGTTTTACACCCCTACTGAGAAATTACAAACGACAAGTTCCTAACTTCCCATGATACTTCTGATTTCTCCCGGAGCCTGAGGTTTACACACCGAACTGGAGGAGAAAAGGTATTTATGGAAATGTCAGCGTCAGCTTGTCAAACACATCAGAACCACCTCATTAACAGACACACAAGCAGCAACGTTCTTTGTAAAAACACGAGTGATTCATCGCTTACAGGTTCCAATTATCATGAACACACATCCTCCACTCGCTGTTTAACCAACAACCATGTGACGGCTCGACCCGTGTAAACACACGCACGCACGGCTCCCATGTATCCATGCAAACTGTTCCTGCAACCACAACAGCTTCGTGTCAGAGACCGACGCTTCTAAACCAATCAGATGTTGAACTCCAGCTGCTCGCTCGTACTAAGCCAATAAAGAGCTGCTGTGCGGCTTGAGGAGCCTGGGGAGCTCCACCCAGCCAATGAGAAGCCAGCTTTGGCACAATGGCCTCTGATGCAGCAGCTTTAGGAAGTCCAGTGCATGAGAACTGGAGAGGAGCCAAAGGAAGAGTCACCAAGAGAGCAAGGTAAACAACTTCTCCGTCTTTCTCTCACTCGGTTCCCCCTCTCATCCTTTTCTCTGTCGCTCTGATCCCGAGCCACGGCATTTACCCCCTTCCTGCTCCTTTTCTCCAACTGAGAGAGAAAGAGAGAGAGAAAGAGAGAGAAGGAGAAATAAACAGATAGAGAGAGGCTCGAGCTGTGTACTGGTTTGAAGAGAAGTCCAGCCCAGAAGTGTCTGCGTCACCCTATCTGTCCCTCCTAACTACGCAGAAACAAATGTATCTTGGGAAGAGTTTTGCCAAATCCCAGCAGCCCTGGAGGATGAAAACAAATCACATGACTCGAGTGCCGCCGGCCGTAGACACTGAACTCATTTGTTGTCTGACAGCAACATACAGCTGGATGCTGACCAGTCTCTCTCCATGCTGGCCCTCCCCTTTAACTCCATCAGGAGTTAACCACAACAAGTAGGCCGGCCGCCAACAGTCCGAACGCAGACACATGGATGTACATATGTAGGTGCGTACAAATATTCCACTCGTCCCCGGACTGAACAACAAACTCGGTCTGTCATTTTTGGAAGCTGCCGTACCCGCCCCCCTCCCTGGCTGCGTCTTCTATATGATGGCACATTTAGGGTATAATGCTGTTTCATCACAGGTCGGCCTGCACCACACATGACTGTCTTCACCGATCTGCACAAACGTGGCCGCCCATCCTCCTTAAGGTGGCAGAAAGCGATGGTCAAATTCCTCGATAATTCTCTGAAAAAACATTCCTGACGAGAGCTTCGATGTGATATTAACAAGCCTGCAGAATATTCCTCTGTTAACCCCTTTGTCGCACCTCTGCCCACCCGACACACGCACGCACCTTACCATGCTATCAAAACACCACCTAGAGAAACTGTTACATCTCCAGCATCCATGTTGAAACTCCCAATATCAGCTCACAGGAACTACACACCACGAGCAGACGCACACACTCTCACACACACACTCGCGCACACAGATATATAATAGCGACAGGCAGAGCAGATCAAAACTACCAAGGAGGAAGAGGAAGAGGAGGAGAAAGCGAGGTTCGAGGTTGTCCGAAACCATTGTGTCCACTTCAGGTGGAAAACTCGATGACTCTGGGCTTCTGTTATCTCGGCTTCTGTTTCTCCTGACATGAAAAAGTGACGTAGCAACTAATCCAAAATCTCTCTCCCTCACTCTCTGACTTGCTCTCCCTCCCTCTCTGTATCTCCCTCTCTCTTTCTCTTTCCCTCTCCCTCTTTCTGCTTGCCTCTAAAAAACACACGCACTCTTTATTTTCATCTTGTTGCAACAGCAGAACTGCTATTAAGACTGCTACTTCGATCTAACACATATACACAGAGACAGAGCAGATCCCCGTGCACGCGCACGCACAGTTGTGCACATGCGCGCATGATCACGCTATCCCTCTTCCCCAGTGTGACGCAGCACTTAATTCTCTGTGCTTTTATACCACTGTTGTGGCTACACAACGCAACTTCTTGATCAAGCTGAGCCACAAACACACTTGCTAGCTGCCACACAGGGCAAGTGAGCATGAGCAGACTGCAGTTAAAGGGACCCTACCACCACGGCTCCCTGTCCCCCACTCTGTGACGCCGCTGTGTCCCCATTTCCCCCCGTGTCCCCTTATAATTGGGTCTCTCTTTCTCTGTGTTTCTCTCTCTGCCGGCTGCCCTCCTCTCTGCTCTCTGCTAGAGACGCACTCTGGCTCCTCCGTCTGTGAGGCTGAGCGGACTGAGTCTCCTCGATCACCTGACAACCCACTGGTTTTAAAGGCACATCACCAGCTCGTGTATCAGTTGCATAAGCGCTAAGATGGTCTTTTTGCTTTTTAAATACGGACTAAAAAAGGGTTTTCACTTTACTAAAAATCGACATAAAAAGGAGAAATACTTTATAGAGGGATTTTTCTCTCAAAGTGTTTTTATTCACGAATTCTATGTGCAAAAATGATTCATGTTTGGTGTCGGTGCTACCAGTTTTTAGCCTCCTGAATAAAGGAAATGCCATAAAGGACATTAAAATAAGACATGACCGACCATTAAAACCACACTCTGGCAGGTTATCAAGATTAGGCTGACCACATGCACACTTCCTTTTTCAGTCCTGGGTCCTTCCGACCACAACTCAGCTCTGTTTTGAATCAAACTCGTATCCAGATTTAGACTAAAAAACTAAGCAGTGTTCCTTTAAATTAGTGTAATATTTTTGCGAGTGTGTTAACCCCAGGGATGTAGCTGTCCCTTTAAAAAACACTGTGCGTCTCTGTCATATAAATAGTCTGTTTTGGTTCAGTCAAAAGCCGGCCCGGTTTATTTTAAGAATTTAGCTCTTTGTAGATTTATCTGATTGTTCACATACCTTGATCAGATGATTCTTCATTCGTTATGTAATTCAGACAATAGAGCTGAGGGGAGATAAAAAAAAAGAGAGAAGTCTTCTTAGAGTGCAAAACCAAAGCATACGGCCCTCACAATCAACAAGCGCTGATAGATCGCTTCTGACTCCTGTCATAAATTTCAGTCAAAACAAATGTCAAACTAGACGAGGCACTTTGGCTGACCTGTTCGGCACCACAGCCGTGTGATTGCTGCAGTCGCCATCTCAGGGGTAAGGCGGCAGACGCTGCGAAAGTGAAAGGAGAGAGGAGAGGGACAGAGGGGCTTTGAGGATATATTAATAAAAACAGGAACAATTTCACTCGGATATTTAAGGCACAGGCTTTAAATCAAGAACAGTCTCAAAAATACGGGCCGTTACTAGCCAAGAGGGAATTATTGGGCTAATATTTGAGTCCCTTTTGTTTGTAGATTATAAATCAAGATGAATTATCAAGTAAAATTAGCTCATTTGTGTTTTTGTATACCGCTGCTAACGCTGCAGACAATGTCCAGCAGGCACAAAGCGGAACAAGCTGGGCTGTGTCTCTTTTATGAGCTCGTCTGTTCTCAACAAGGCTGTGCTTATTAGGTCCGTCTGCATTTCTGAAGCACAGAGTCCCTTTTATATGCTAAGCTGAAATAACTGCTTTGTTTCGGCTAAACAAAAAGGTAAACAAAGTTTTTGTGTTTGTCAGCCCACCACTGCTGCACCTATTTATTACAGAGATATGTGACAGTGTGCACATTCAACAAGTGCCTTAATAAATTATTCATACGCTTTAAAAACTTGGAAGAATACTTCCACTGGGGACAACGTTTATTCAGACGACGACAACTTTTGGCCAGAACTGTACGATGACTGCGTTTCGACTATATTTTTCATGCTGCAATGCAGCCCGGCTGACCACCTAGACTTTGCAGTTTTACATCGTATTTCAAAAGGCTTACTCGAGCTATTAAAGCACAACCCATTACCTCTATTGAACAGTATTAAATTTTCAATTATCCCTCAGTTACAAGTCTAGATTTCCATCTAACATTTCACACAGCTGTAAATTTCCCTGCCTGCAGCGTTCATAGCTCGTGATGTCCTAATTCCCCCACCAGAGCCCAGGGATCTGCAGCCCTCAGCTTCACCTTACAGGAGAAGAGAAAAGGAGAGCATCGGTAAAAGAATCAGCTTTCACCCTCCGGCTATATGGCAAATGTAAGGGATCTGAGGGATCAAAGCATGTTTGCTCTGAGAACACTGGTAGATGCTGAAGGTATCGATTTGAGGACGGAGATCTATGTGCTCCACTTGGATAAAGATGTCCTTGGTCTATATGTGCGTCCTGTACAAGCGGACTAGAGCAGCAGCTAGAAATAGGAGTTCTAGTAGAGCTCTTGACTTTGTTTGGTGCTACTTCTCCTGCCAAGAGGAGTGTATAAATGATTTAGCTTTTTAAATGTATTACTTTCAAACAAACCGACCGACTCATGCACTATTTACAAGTTTACATATCATTCTGTAATCCAGTCGCTTCTACAACAGCATGGATAATTTATGTAAGCACAAAAACAATGACTTCTCAACTCCACAAAGAGAGTGTTTGAAATTAGAGAAATTGAGTTTTAATTTACTGTAACCATTATTTATGTCTTTCATATGAAATATTTGTATTTTAATATTCCATTCTTGTACTAGTTAAAGGTGCAGTCTGTAGTTTGTAGCGGCATTGAGCAGAACAGACTTGGTGAAGATGGAATATAATATTTGTCAGTATGTTTACATTTGTGTATAATAACTCAGACATAGGGATGTAACGATTGCCAGTAAAATGATAAACCGTGGTAAAATGTCTGACGGCTAAAACCACTGTTTCAAAATTTTATTACCGTAAAAACGGTGTGATACTAATCGATTATTGTTGCTCAATATTTGTTATTATGTTCATGTTTATGCCACTGGCACATTATGTTGTACTTTGTTATTACTAGTGTTGATTAGCTCTGTCTCTTTTAAGGCCCCATCTTTAATTTTTAAGCTTATTTTTCCTCTGTTATTTAAGGTTGAGGAAAAGTTAATTCTGCATGTTATTTTGATTTTATTTTTTTCCAAAGTAAAATTTTGTTAATTGATTTTAGGGCGTTTATAAGTACTTTTTAAACATTTTGTGTGTATATGTGTATATATATATATATAGTTATTATATATATTTCAATGTAATCCAATTAAGATTTTTTAAATTCTTTAATATACATATTCTTTTCCCCTCCCCTCCCTCACAAAAGTATTTTTGTAAATTTTTTTTTTATTTAATTATTTTTGTTGTTGTTGTTTTTGTCACTCTGTTTTGTTGTTCAATAAAAATAAATAAATAAAAAAAAACATATTTCAACAATACCGGGATAATATTGATAACCATGATAATTATAGTAACAGTAATTGTGATTTGTGAATTTTCATATCGTTACATCTCTACTTAGACATAAATCTTGTTTCGCTTTAGGTAGCTAAGCGTGAGTCTTTTATATCTAGAGGGTCTCTTGCAACGGAAGCGACTTTCTTTTTTAACCAAACTTGTTTTTTTATTTAATCAAAGGCAGTTACGTTGATTGACAAAAGAATGTCAATTCTACATGCTGTTGTGACTAACCATGGTAGTTGGTGGGGTTATAAAAGACAAACTACTACAACTAATTATAATAAATCCCTGACTCTATGTTTTGAATGCCAAAAGTAGCGGCGCTAATGCATCCATATGCCCGATCTAAGATAGTGTATTCTTGACAGACTGTAGCCCCTAATGAGAGCAGCAGTGTTTACTGTGACAGTGGTTTGTGTTTACCCAGCAGCAGCAGCAGCCATGCTAAAGCTTTAATGATACATCCAAGAGCCGTGCTGGTCCTTCCTGTCTGCTATTTATGCTCTTCATCCAGTGGGCAGTGTGTTAATTTTAGCCATGTCATCTATCAGCCATGCCTGTTCCACTTCCTAAACCTTAATCTCTCCCTTGGAAAGCTGCCATGTCAGCTCCATTCATATTGTTTTGGGCCTTAATGGAAACAATAGGTCGAGTTCCTTTATGCTTCTACACATGCATTTACTCAAAACAAAAAGGTATTACATTTTTCGAAAGGGCTTTATTTTGACAGTCTAATCGTTTTTGCTATTACCCGTTTTGCAGTTACCTCTCTGGGGAATGCTAACAGGCTCCCTCTGGGGGATGTCTTCGCATGTTCCAGTATCGCGCACTGTGTGAGAGGAGACGGATCTCATAAGCTTAATCCTGGGCTGCCCCTGAGAAAAACACAAGGGTTATTAAAAGACATATCAGACATACTATGTGGTGAATTTAGATGCTTCCCACAGCTCAGCAACCACTGTAAACAAAGTGTGAGAGCTGTGACCTTTGTACAGATATAACACTTTGATCTGCTCTATTGTAAACTTGTGTTATTTTTGGTGTACTGTGTACACAACAGTAATGGCACCCTGCCGTTAAAGAAGTGCAGCTCGCCTATCAGATGCAGAATTTTTTAAAACAATAAATAAAACTCGAAAGCAGCTGCACTGTTGTGTCGTTCCTCCTGGACGCTGCTGCGTGTGTTTTTGTGGCTCTTACCTTTGCACTGAGAGTTGAAAGTAATCCTCGCTCTCCTGTGTGACAAGAGAAATAGAAATATTTATCTGGGAGGCAAGCAATTGGGACTTCAAAGCTTTACTTTGTTGTCCCCTTCTATTCTTCAATTTGTTTATTTCTCCAGAGCGCATTCAATCCAACATTTGCAAAACATTTTTTTGCTTACTGGTCAAATGGCTGCGGTCGTTTTGGAGGGTTTTACTTCAAGGGATATCAGGCCATTCGACTCTGCAGCACAACAGATGGATGACACAGGTCTACTTGTCTCTAAAGTCTGAGCACAGAGGGAAAAAAAAACAAAAACCAATCAGACTTACAAACAGCTGTTCAACCACACTCTTTAAACACGCATCAATACCTTTCAGTTTAATACCCGTCTTATTCCGGGGATATTATTCCTAATGACTTTCTGCTTCATTCAGCACCAGATGGAGGACTGCAGAAATACGCCATCCTGTGTTAAATCCGAGTATTGCTTCAGGAGGGTTTGTTTACATCAGGAATAAAAAGTGCGTATGACATAGAAACCTCTGGATGGATGGAGCTGAGTCAAGGCACTGACACAGCAGGCGCACGCACTTTGGGAAAAAGGGAAAAAAGTGAATCTTTCCGGAAAATCAACAGCATTTCTACTTCTGCGAACAAAAACAAAATTACATAATTGTAACTGTGAGAAAACAATTGAATGAAATGCGCACTGATTCGTGATTATATGCAAATAAAGTACGTCTGAGTGAAAAACAGCAACAAGCACAATAATAGAAAGGCACTCTGACAGGTGCGACACAAAATATCACGATGCAACCTGAAAAAGTTGCATAAAAATACAGTTTATGACCCTTTGCCTCATAAATGTAAGATTCAACTAGGTTTACATTTAAGTAAAACTTTAAATCAATCACCTCATCAACTTATATCACAAGCTAATCAATCAAAATCAAGTCAGAGTTGCTTTTAACGAACAAAATGGCAAAAACATTTTAGATTATTAGAGACAGAGTGAGAATAACAACATGTACCTCATGAATTAAATGACTACGCAATACCGCATGGATGCTCAGACCAGACCACTCACTCCTGAGGTAAATTCAAGTGCGCAACATCCTCCTGCAGCAGCAGCAGAGAGCATCCAGCACACCTCTCCTCCTGTCTCCTGTATCCCACCCTGCTCAACAAGAGGGAAAAATGATCCTCAAATGCGCTCAGACATGTTTTATAAGAGAACAGCTGACAGCTAAAAAAATACCTCCCTGATTTCCGGGTAACGTTGGAAACTGCGCACTACATCGCATTAATCAAAATTGCGGACATGCGTAATTCTTATTCGCTTTTGTTAAGAAGGAGAAAAAAACAACGTGAGAACAGTTTTGAAGAATTAAACAATGATAAAAAAGGATGATTTAATGCTTAAAAATATCACATAACACGCTACTTTGGAAGGAATCTACCTCCCACAATAGACGCACTGTAGCCTGTATCCATAAAGATGATGGTGTATGATTCACTGGAGCAGAAGCTGGATGTAAATAACCGATTAAAAAAAAGGGGATAAAGGTGAACTCACCGAGATTGTCTCTTTCGCAGCAGGTTGTGTGTCTGTCTTCTGACTCCTCCGTCATTCTTGGCTCAACAACTCCTCTTCACCCCCAATTCCTCTGTGGTCCCCCCAGCACTGATGAGAACCCTTGTCCACTTCCATCGACATTTTTCGCAGCAACACAGCCAAGGCCACGCCCAGCCGCGCACACCCCCGTTCGCTGATTGGACGCTCCCCCGAAAGACCTACATAAGATCACGTGCTCGTGACGCATGTTTACAAACAGGCGCAGAGCAGGAAGAGAGTTCAGACGTTACGAGAAGATTCTAGTCGAAATGTCGTTATTTTTGTCCCCACCTCGATTTAATTAATATGGTTCGGTTGTTTTAAGTTATTCTGATAAAATATATGTTTTAATAATAGTTTTAAGGCAATTTCTAAGCCCAAGAAACGGTTTTATTCAAGTGAAGTCAGCTCATAGTCTGTTTTCTGGAAGTTTCTTTTTGCATAAAAGCGAAAGCTTGCTATCTGAATCCATTTCTAATCAACAAAAAGCTGTATGTATGTTGATTATAACGTCCCAATCTTTATCCTCAGCGAATTATAATTCATTGCAGTGAACTATCTTGATGCGGAAGTGCGACGTTTGACACACTTCCTAGTTGACACCCATTTACGTGTTTGATAATAAAGTGTGCCCTGAAGGTTTGTTATTTGTCTTGTATAATATATATCTATTTTTTAAATAAATACACTGGACTTGCAAAAACGTGGCTTCTGTACTAAGCTGACCACCATTACCAATAACACACTGCAGTATTTCAGGATAGGGGAGAGTGGGGTAAGATGAGTCATTTTTCATATTTTGGATCACTACATCAAGGCAATCATAGTTTTGTCTCTAACTAGTGTATCTGTGTATAAACATAACTGTCTTGATAATACAGCATGCCAAAAAAGTGGTCTCCTATGGTCAACTTACCCCGTGTATGGGGTAAGTTGACCATAGGAGCGGGGTAAGTTGAGCCGTATCCCTACTACCCCCCCACTCTCCACCCCAGCCCTCCCTCACCTTCTCTCTCCCTAAATAACAGTCACGTCTTCACATTCATGTCTATTTTTATCTATTATACGCAGTTCAACTGGTACAATAATTCTTTTTATATTTATTTCATATAACTGCTAAGAAGCTGTTTTGTAAAAACTCATTTGAACATGAGAATCAAAGTGATTCAGAACATTCACAGCTGTATTTTTTTAAAAGAAAAAGTAACAAATTTCAATAATCTGAACTGAAACTCTGATCCTCTCATCAGACTCCTTTACGGCTCAACTTACCCCAGAACTACTATTATGAGTTTATCAGTCCTCTAAGTTAAAATGGTGGACTTTTATGTTAGGTTTTGACCTCATGTTGTAGCTCATAGATACCACAATTGATGTAAAACATATTTAAAATTATCTTTTTTGGTCTGAACACAATTCTAACAAAACTCATAACAGACTAAATTCACTTTACAGAGTAAAAAATGTTGTTTTGTTTTTGAAATAAATGTCTAACTCCTTCACCCATGTGCTTCTAACCTTCACAGACTCCATGAATTGATGCCCATCTCCTAAATATTTGGTCACATGATCAATTTTCTTTTACCATTTCCAAGCAACAGTGGAGTGGCTCAACTTACCCCACTCTCCCCTAATCTGCTGAGAACCACCAAGAATCTTACTGCACTAAACATGTTTAAAAAAAACTGTAAAAATAGTCTTTATATTTCCAAAGTGAACCTTAAGTAATGTTACCAAACTTTTTAAACTTTAGTACAGCTAGCAGTTGGTACAGGTGAAGTTAGCTGTTAGCTTGTACTCTGGGGCCATTAGCAGTTTAACCCTTTCATGTCGCAGCAGATACTCCCTCCAAAATGCTACCAACGCCATTTAACCACCGTTGTTCTTGAAATTTAGACGGTTTTTGTCTTACCTTTCACCCATGTGCTTCTAACCTACACAGACTCCATGAATTGATGTTCATCTCCTAAATATTTGGTCACATGATCAAGTTCAGCTTACTTTTTTCTCTTGTAATCTTCCTTTTAGTCATTTTCATCACATTTAATATAACCATACAACTATACACACTTATCCTTATCACTAATACCATAAACAATAACTTCTTGCTACTCTGACAGTACATTTCTGTATATTACTCTACTGTCATCCTCACTGCATATTCATCCTCATCCTCATATGTTCCTTAAAGCTTGTTTGTATATCTGTCAGATGCTAAAATACAGTTCACTGTTCAGTATTTGTGCAAAAAGCAATAAAGATTATTCTAATCCAGACAAATCTTACATCTGGATTTTTGTGGTTTTCCCATTATGTGTATGAGAAAAAGCAGGATGGATTCACACGTATATAAAGTTTAAAATTTTGTGAACACTACTTTTGAAATAATTTAAATAGTTTAGCTTGACATTTACATTTTTTTGGGGGGTTCTCTTTAAATTTGCTGTTTTTCATGTTGCCCCCAGGCCACAGCAGGGGGCATCCTAACCCAACAATGCTACACTCAAACCTCTCTTCCCTCTGTGTGCGTCACTCTATAGGATTTTTTTCTCTTTTTTTTTGCCTGAGCTGATATAAAACACTTGCAGACTGTTGTGTCCATGCCAGTTTCTTGAGCTTGTTCATGCAAAATGCTACTTCCATCTGATGTTTTAGTGGGCCGCTACCACACCTTAGTTTTTATACCAGCCTGATAAATTAAACCTTTTCGGAGAACTTTGTAGTGCGCAAGTAAACTTTTGTTTTGTCAACATGGTCTACAGTTTACTGCAGGGTGTGATGTCCCTTCTGTGGACAGTTAACTTGCATCACTGGAGAAAAAAAAGAGACAATGCTTTCCAGATTGTTTCCCTTCAACAGATGTTTGGAATAAACGACAGCAAAGACGAATGTGCAGGAAACAGACGGGATACCGATTCAAGTTTCTGTTGTTATTTGCTGTTTAGGTGTCTATGGAGACAAAATATTAGATTGCAAGGTACTTTCTCCTTTCTTTCTTTTTTCCTTTTGATTTCCTAGCACAGCCCCGTGTTATAAAGACGCTTCAGGGTGAAGTTTCTGCATTGTACTATGGAAGGGTTAAAAGCATAAATATTGAGTACAGTCTCAAGCCACATATGCATGACAAGAACCTTCAATTCTTCAGCACCTAAAACAAATTTAAAGTAACTTAAATCATGGCTAAAGTTGTGAACTGTCATTTCATAGTAATTAATTAAAAACTACCCAGCCTTTGACACAGCTGTCAGATGAGACATTTGCATGCAGGATGTGTCTGGTCACTCCCTCATGCGTGCACATTAGTCAGTGGGGCCCCATATTTGTCTTACAGTGGACCCCTCCCTTAATGTGGATCCCAGCTTTTTAAACTGCATAGTACATCTCCCATGGTGCATGTTTTTTTTTTGTCAAAGTATGCGAAAGTATATTCAGTTTCTCTCCGGTTTCGTGCGTGTTGGATTCTGAGAGGATGTCCGTGTAAGTGTGGGCGGATGTAAACTTCTGCTTTCATGCGAGGGTGTTGCATGAGAAAAAAAATATCCTTTCACTGCTGCCAAGTTGTCAAAAACATAAATCCAAGAGTTCAAGCGGAGTACACTTCTGTAACCTCCTCTGATCACTTAGACCTACCAAACTGTTTGTAATATTTGCCTAATCAGGAAATGGTAAAATGTTTGACTTTTCTGATGGTTGTGTTGATTGCTCCAAATGAGGAATAATTGTTGTCTGGTTAATTATGGCACGTTATCCAGCCAGATCAAAAGACTTTGAAAGGATATTTAGCCAGCTTGTGTCCTGATGGATATGTTTCCTCAGCTTTGATTCAGTTTGTGGCTCAGTCTGTTTTCAGTCCTGTAAGGTGATTTCTTTCGCTGATACACAGATCACTTACTAATCTCAAAATCACTACAGACAGCTGTTTTACTGTCCTCCACAGTAACCATATATTTACAGACTTGTTAAGTCTTTCCAGATTCAGACTCTTGCAGGAAGCCAGCTCTCTGTTCATCATGGGATGATTTGATAATTAAATTAATCTGTTTCAGATACTGAGGTGGTATGTTGTCAATAAGCCATTGGGACTGCAACTTACAACTGATCATACAATTGAGAAGGGGAGAGTGGGGTAAGATGAGCAATTTTTCGTATTTCGGATCACTACATCAAGGCAATCATAGTTTTGTCTCTAACTAGTGTATCTGAGTGTAAAAATAACTGTCTTGAGAATATAGCATGCCAAAAGAAAGTGGTCTCCTTCGGTCAACTTACCACGTGTATGGGGTAAACTAAACTAAAACTAAATTCACTTTCAAGAGTAAAAATTTTTTTTTGTTTTTTAAATAAATGTCTAACCCCTTCACTCATGTGCTTCTAACCTCCACAGACTCCATGAATTGATGCCCATCTCCTTAATATTTGGTCACATGATCAATTTCTTTGACCATTTCCAAGCAACAGGGGATGACTCAACTTAACTAGTCTGTTGATAACCACCAAGCTTCTTACTGCTCTAAACATGTTTAATAAACTGTAAGTATAGTTTTTACATTTCCAAAGTGAACCTTTAGTAATGTTACCAAATTTATTGAGCTTTAGCACAGGTAGCAGTTGGTACAGGTGAAGTTAGCCGTTAGCTTGTACTCTGGGGCCATTAGCAGTTTAACCCTTTCATGTCGCAGCAGATCCTCTGTCCATAAAGCTACCAACGCCATTTAACCACCGTTGTTCTCGAAATTTAGACGTTTTTTGTCAACAGGGTCACTCACCATCGTCCTGAAGCCCCCAGGGTCTCTTTCAAATCTTTTAGGAAAGATAGAAAATAGTCCGTTGGCAGTTGTCGACAGGTTCACCGGGTATCAGACGACGGTCGGCCATCTTTGTTTTGATTAGCCCACCATAGACACCTGACGTCTATAATATGATATACCAAACGGGATATTATTTAACCCTGTGTTTTGAGTTTAGAATTTCTATATTAAATCTGAAAACCTTTCCCTTAAATTTTCCAAATATTGTTTACAAAATGGTAGGTTAATATTTAGGGGAAAGAGGATGGTCCTTGGCAGTAAAACTTTCCGGTTCCTCTCTTGAGAACTAGAAAAAGAGAAGTCATTATTGGACTTAGATACTTTAAGTGGCCATGTATATAATTTAGAATGGATGTCAGTGTTGTTGTTTAACTCCTGGATGAGTTAAAGGGAAGTTTTTGTTGATTAAATCCCCATATTCAGTTAAAAAAAACAAATGGAAGGAACCTGTTGTTATACTACCCCCCGGTGGCCATAGTAGTTACTGCAGGTCCAAACTGCCTCTTAGTGTTAAATCTTTCAAATCTCTGCTTTGTGAGAGTGAGAAAAGTGTTTTTCTTCTGTCTTTAAATATTTCCTGTCTTAATGTTTATTTAGTTTAACACTTTTGTATGCTTAAATAGTTTTTGGTATCTCTTGCATAGTTTAATATTTGTTCGTTTTGTGTTTTTGTGGCATTTTGAAAACATTTCAAATGTGGAGACTCTGAGTCATCACATGGATCTGCTTTTTTTAACCACAATATTTCAATTACAGCACTGAAATTATTCCAGCAAAAACTTGTAAACAGAAGGTCCACAATAATCACATAATCCAGGGAATTTAAAAAGTGAAAACATGTGAACAGAGATGAGTGTGTGGCTTCAGGGAGGTCATGTCATCCAAGTCACAGTTTCCAGTCTTTATCAACACTGTTCATGATGTTCCAGAGAGGAAGGAAGCTGGTAAACATTCCTTATTGTATTTTCTCCTCAGGAATCTCAGACAAAGAGGTTCAAACATTATGCAACAGACATCAGAAAGTTATGAGGAGTTTGCAGAGGATTTATGCGCAAGATTCTTCTGTTGAAAACTATAAAATATTGTCCCTAAATCTTGCAGGAATAAAAACATAAAGCACCTCCCTTGCGAATGATTCCTTCTTTTATACCTGCAACCTTTTCATGAACCTGAAAGGTTATCGGAGTTTGATTTTCATCACATACTCTCTCTGCAGACCACACCCTCTGACCTCAGGGTCTCAGCCGGTCTCTTGTGTCCTCTCCTCCACCTCCCACCCTTTCATTCCACCCAATATTATCTTACCATCAACGGGTTTAGAAGGGGCGTGCTTTGGCACGGAGAGGGAAAACATGACGTATTTGGCAGCTGTAACTACGCTGAGGGGGGAGACACCCCACAATAAAAACAGCCAGCTGAGTTTTGTTCGTAATCCCAGATTCCACTGCACATACACGACTTTTGGCCGGATGGAGGAAAAGAGAGGTGGAGAAACTGAAGAGCTGGATGAGATAAAGGATGGGAGGGGAGCTGGCTGGAGCTGAGGGATGAGTGTGACATTGAGGGAAAACTGTTGAGGAGAAGAGTTGGAGTGAAATACTTTAGGGGTACAGGGGCCGATGGGTGGAGAAGAGTCAGATCAGCAAAATGAAAGAAATAAACAAATTCTTATGCTCACTTTGATTCCTCAGAAAAACCAAAACATCTCTTTATTTTGAAATCCCCTGTGGACAGATTTCTGTTTGAAAAATGTTCACAACAAGACCGATATTTGGGATGTTATTGCAGCACAAATTAAATTCCATTCCTCTTTGGTGTATTGGGCCTGAGGCACCAAACCCAGAGATGCATATCTCAAAGACATATTGTGTAGGAGGGAGAAAATATTGATTTTTATTGTGTTTGTGTTACTTGATTAAACCGACCTTTAAAGTTTGATAGAAGAGAGAGCCTAGATAATGAGTAAGACAAGAGACAACATGATAGTAAAAGTGTGCATGCATCTGCAAAATACACCAAGAAGATCATCAAAGGAGCTTTTTGTCCAACAGGAGGGGTGAGCATGCGAGTAACTCAAAAACTGATGAGGAGAGATGTAAACTGACATTTGCAGCGCCTGTTTCAGTGTGTAACATAACATCTAAAATGAGCATCCGCCTCAGAGAGTTCAAAGTCAAATAGGTTGCAAGTAACAGAGATGTCAGAGCGCATTAACATAATAGGAGTGTGCATGTCTGCTGGGATTTACACGGTTTAAATTTGCACCCTGCAGCAGTTGCTCGGTCTCAGATTTTCAGTGACCACATTCAACCTCACATATTTCCATCCGTGCTATGTGCTTTTTGTGGCCGCTTTATAGTGACTGCATATAGTGACAGCTCTTCAGTCCTGCAGCGCTGTTTTCCTTGTAGGGCGTGGAAGGAGACAGGAGCATGGGAGGAATCCACATGGGACCCGATCTTGTGATGAAAGCGGGGCGTGTGCGTGAAATGGATGAGAAATAAACATGTCTGACTGTCACATACAGTGACCGCTGACAGAGAATGAAGACGCTGATGGATGCAGTGAGTTGACGCCGAAGCGACACGGTGCTCTTGAGTTTGTCTTGAAGACAGCTGGAGGAAGTTTTCACTGCCCCACCCGAACTGTGAAAGACAAAACAGTGTGAAGTGATGTCATTACTACTGCTCATGCAAACCAGCTGTGGGACCATATGTGCGGTGTTTAAATTCAGAGTGTGTTAGAGAGCAGATGTATGCGTGTGTAAATGAACATGAACATCACTCTTTGGTATTAAACCTAAATGCCCTTTCCGCTCTCTCTTACATGACTGATGGTTTTCTTGTCATGACAAAAGGCTGAGAACAAATCGAAAAGTCATTTCTTTATTTTTCATGTTAAATCCAATTCAAATCAAAGGGTGCTAGTAAAATGAAACAGTCACATTGGAATGTTAGCGATTAAAAAAGATACAAAGAGAAATTGAAGGAAAGAAAAAAATCAAGGAAACATCCCGTTTATTCACCAGAACGTTTGTCTCATAAGTCCAGTTCAGAACATTTTTATCGTGTCCCGTCAGATTCACAGAAGAGTTTAAAAAAAACAGGCATGGGTAAAAAGTGTGAAGAGTCAAAACGTCCAGGATGGAGTCAAAAAGGTGACGTTTTAGTCCCAAATATGAGCAAAAAAATAAAAGGTTTTACTCAAGTAGTAGAACAAATTTCTGACTGTCTTGCTTTTATCTCATGATTGATAAGTCTTTGTTAAAAATAGGGCTGGGTGATATTATATTTAGGGTTGGGTATGGTTTGATTTTGAATGATTCTCTATTCTGATTCTTTAAAAAGGCAGGATATTATAAAAAATTGCATGGTTTAAATGAGGGCGCTAACAGGACTTTTTGGATGAAATTTCTGAACTTCTCCATGAATTTTTAAATCATATTAACTTTTTAAGAACTTTACTATGAATTTCTCACTGGCCTATTTCCAACCGGTATATAAATATCATTTTTTGTTGTCAGGTCACAAGGTCACAAAGTACAAGGGCTAACGTTAGTTGGATATTTACTCCGGCATTGAAACTTGGAATCGAAATTTAAAAATTTTAACCGTTCCGGGAGAATCAGAATGTTATTCCCAGTTTGCATCGATGCTCGAGACTTGATGCCCAACCCTAATTATAATAAGTATTTTAAGAAACTTTTTATGAATTAAAATCTGGATTTTCTCTATCTTGAACAGACGCATGCAGCCGAGTGGGAAATGTGTCTCACTATGAGATGCACAAAACCTCTACAGTCCACAAACACCCTGTTGCATGACAGAGACATGGTGGGAAGCTGATGCAGTTATACTGCATGTGGCTGAAGATGTGACGCCCACATGTACAGAGGAAGAGCTGAAATTTATCCACATGCTTAAATCTGTCAAACCCAAGTATGTGCTAACCAGCTGCAAGTAGAGAGAGCCTGAGAAGATGTCTTTTTATTCGACTACAACAGACAGGTGGTCCAGTCATGCAGTCTCATAATAATTTATTTACCTATTTATGTTGTGAAAAATCAGAGGTTTTATTTTTAGGTCATATCGCCCAGCCCTATTTTTGTATAATCAAACAATCACAGATTTTTGCGACTATTTGCTCCCGTCTCTGTGATCTCTGACCCAGTGAAGCTTTTTTTAAAGGCACTACAGAGGAATATATTCTAACAGAACATGAGCCATGAAATGAATTATTTTTGGGGGACATAATAAACAAATCAAAAACAAGACAAAAAAGTTACCTTATTATTCACACTGCTCGATAGAAATGCGATATTAAAAAGAGCATATACAGTATATTAAAAAGAGAGTAACGCTGACAAATGGATGGATTTGCTTCGCATCTGAGGCCTTTCCGAGTCGGTTCGTCACACAGTCAGTCATTCGATTTTCAGTAGCGACTGTATCAGGGCCTGTTAGCTTTGTGACTGATTTCACAAATGAAGATACAAATAGAGAAAATGGAGTCATGAAACCTTCAACACTCCTCCATCCTCACTATAAAAAACAGCGAAACATATGATGAACCATCACTTTGTCAATTTTTTTTTCTTTTTTACAAAAATTCTACATTTTTAACGGCTTATGATACATGCACATTCAGACTCAGCAGTCGCTCACACACACACGCACACTCAACGTCACCGCCATCAGCTGCTTCGCATAAACCACACAGACATACAGTAAGCGAGATAAAATGTATGGATATACACGCTGCCCATGCACAGTACTGTTGCAAGCATACACACTCAAGTGAGATTTAAGCAGCACACACATGCACACACACTCTCACACTGACATTATCAGTGACTCAATCCATAAACTGCATGAAAGAAATGGATGTAGCTTCGAGGATGACAGCTGAGATCTCTTTTTAAACTCGACTAAATCAAGCAGAAGTTGGCTCGCTTGGTGTTGCCCCCTGCTGGCCATAAAAAGAATCTGATTTAAAGCAGAAAACGGGAGGCTACATCCACTTCTTATAGGTATTTCAGTTTATGACTCAATCAGACAAACGAGAGCTTGATGAATTTTCTCTCTGAGGAGTTTGTAAACAGATTTCAAGGCAGTGTGATTCATTTCCTGCATGTCTGTCATGGCCTTACAAGAAACTCAGAAACTTTATGTACTTGCGCTGAATGAACTGGTCGAGGATTTATTGGAGCTTTAGAAAAACCACATGACGTGCAGAGACGTAGCTGCAGTCATTATTGGAACCAGTGCTGATTAATCCGAACTCTCTTCCCACCCAGAGCTGCCCATCTCCTGTCATCCCTCAATCCCAGCCTCAATAACCCAGGGGGCCCAGCCTTCATCACCATCAACATCATGCTTCACCAGCACCGTCATCATCATCATCATCATCAGACTACTTTTCCTGATGTGGATTGAGGCACAAAGCCAAAGAAAGAGGCAGTATGGAGAGTGTAACAAGAGGAGCAGTGATGTATAAGATTTCTAGTCCCTGAAGTTCCCTTAGAGTCCATGTGTTTGGGCAGGAGTGGATTCAAAAGAGGGGCTGCATAGGCGTGTTTGTGTGTGTGTGTGTGTGTGTGTGTGTTTGTGAATGTGTGTGTGTATGGGTGTGTTTGTAGGGTAGATCCTAGGCTGCAGTTATTTGGGGACTATTTCACAGCTCGGTGTCTGCTGTCTTGGCGGTGGAGGTGCCGTTGGTGGGAGGGGGAGCAGGCTCGGTCTTAGCTGCCTCAGGGGACTCGCCGTTCACGCTGGGTTTCTCCGGGGTTTCTGGAGGGGGGTTGAGGGGGGCCACAGATACGAGAGTGTTCCCCTGGTTCTCCTGATCCGCTGGATAGGCCTCCTCGGACTGCAAACACAGCAGATATGAATCTGTCAGCGATGAAAGTTTATGTAACACGGCCGCACAAGCCTCTAAATCATGACGACTACTTCTTAATTACAGAGCATGGATCAGGTCATGATTTAAATCTAAGCGGGAGTTTCCTCAAACTCGAGATTACACATGCAAGAGTCCATATGTGTGTGTATCTAAGATGAAGCATAAATGAGCCTAAAGTCTCTTAGTTATTCAAAAGCTGTGCTTGGAGTATAAAATAAATCAAAACAAACAAAACATCTCATTCCCTTTAAGAGCCAAGAGTGCCTAAAGGAAGTGTTGTTTCTATTTACATAGCAAGACTTTTTTATTAAAGGGATATTTCGGTGTAAAATTAATAAGGGTCAAACACACCATAACACTGAGGTAGACACCCCCTCAAGAGATGAATGTTGCCGTTCGCTTGCTTCTCTACTTATACCAACTTTAGTAACGACCGCACGATAGCAATACACAGCAGTCTGTGGAGCCATAAACAAACCTCAACCAAAACGCCACTCTATAGACACAAATAATGCTCAGAACAGCACCTAACTTCATCAACAGGACATATAGGGTCCCAGCCATAGCACTAGCCACCAAACATCTTTTTAACTTTGCCCAATTTAGCAAAGAGACTAAACACAACTCACCTACTCTCTTCCAGCAGCCGCTTGTTTGTAGCAAGACCTCAGGCCAGTCTATTACTAACTGCTGTGGGGTGACACAGCTCAAGGAAGAACATTTATGATCATTACTTTATCATTCCCTGGAAGTAACAATCACGTAATAATCATTTTGCACTGCAGACACAGTAGTTCTTCTGCCTTAGCGTCTCGGTCTGATTGCATTTACTTGAAGAAATTATCATAAATGTTCTTCCTTGAGCTGCGACACCCCGCAGCAGTCCGTAATAGACTGGCCTGAGGTCTCGCTACAAACAAGCAGTTGCTGGAAGAGAGTAGGTGAGTTGTGTTTAGTCTCTTTGCTAAAGAAATTAGGCAAAGCTAAAAAGATGTTTGGTTGCTAGTACTATGGCTGGGACCCTACATGTCCTGATGATGAAGTTAGGGGCTGTTCTGAGCATTATTTGTGGCTATAGAGTGGCGTTTTGGTTGAGGTTTGTTTATGGCTCCTCAGACCGCTGTGTATTGCTATCATGCGGTCGTTACTAAAGTTGGTATAACTAGAGAAGCAAGCGGTCGGCAACAATCATCTCTGGAGGGGGTGTCTAACTCTGTGCCATGGTGTGTTTGACCCTACCTCAATTTTACGCCAGAATATCCCTTTAAATGCACCAAGCTCAACCTCCTTCCACTGAGCCCCTCAACTACAGAAAACACACACAGAGCTCACTGTATAAACTTTGTTGTTGCATGGACTGAGGTATGCCCTCTGCAACAATCCTCTGCATGGGAAAAAATCTGGGACTTTCCAAACAAACACAGATGTGTACATTTATGCATGAGGCTCAGCAGCACAACTTCATCAGCTTTTATAAAACCCAGAATGTACCAACAGTGTTATAAATGTACGGCTCAATACTCAATTTCATTGCATCAGGAGGAAAATGAAACTGATACCTGTGCTGCATGTCCAAAAGAAGCACATAAATAAAGCCACATGCACACTATTGTATCCACTCTCGTACTATTTTACACAAACACGTCCTCTAATGTGGTTTGTATGTTGCACTACAGCTGTGTCTGGCTGCTAGATGAAACGGTGAGCTCAGCAGAGGATGAAGGCAGCACAGAGCAGGGCGTGGGTCTCTGGATAACACACTCTCTCACTCTCTCTCTCACTCTCTGTATTTTCTGTGATAGCCGGCCAGCAGCGCTCCCCTAATTAAAACCTTGGCGGCACTCCACTCCAAGGGAAGGAAACAGTGCTGTTTTGATTTCAGATGTAGTAAAACATGAACCTTGCCCGAGTAAGGGTATGCATGGTGTTACCGAGTCTCTAATGGGAGATGTGATTGCAGAAACCTCCAAACACAGGGCGAAACAATTACACATGCATGATAAAACGCCTTCAGGTCGTGAGGTAGGCCGCTCTCATTGGTTTCAAAATGAAACAACAGAAAAGTAAAACTAGTCACTTCATAAATAATCTAATTCCTGTAGATTTAGCATTGACACGTGAACCAGAGAGTCGGTGAGTGGGGTCTGCTGAGGAAACACACAGTTTATTACAGTACAGAGGATTTTCTCACCAGCTTCACTGCCTTGGAGTCACCCCTGCGCTGACATTTGAAGTAGCCGATGGTGATTCCGATGGCGGCAAGCAGACCGCTGACCAGGATTCCCGCCAGGACAGAGGAACCTGATGAGGACGGGGTCTCAACGTTTGTCACGCCCAGCTGCAAGAACAAGAGATGAAATTTTAAGGCGTGGGCACGAGAAAAAGTCTGAGCATTTTTACTCCAAAAGTCCACAAAATTTCAAAACTGTGAGACCCTAAACTTTTCGTGGTTGTTTTTTCACACAGTTCCTTCCGTAGTTTAAACTTCATCCCATTGGAGGGGGTGGAGTTGATGATGCGTTCAAGTAACTTGGAAGTCAGAAGTCTGAGCTGGGAAAGACATCACACCCGTGTTGCCAGCGCTAAGTCCGACGAAAGCAAAATCGGAGGTGGAAACAAGATGGCTACATCTACAAAAGTTAATTTAGCGCTTTCCTTGTCCGAATATAAGCAAGGACAAGGCAAGTGCTAAGATAACTTTCGTAGATGTAGCCATCTTGTTTCTGGAGCCGATTTTACTTTCGTCGGACTTGGTAACTGAAACGCTATTAACTCGGACATCTGACTATCGAGGTAACTCGGACGCAGCAAGAGTCTCAAGAGGCGAGGTACATCATTATATCTGAATTTTACCTTGATAACTTAAAGCTCCTGTGAGGAACTTTAGTTTGTGTCAATTTTGGCGCCCCCTGTGGACAAAGCAGTTTTTGCTTATCTTGTCCTTTACATGCTTCTGATAGAAAATCTCATCCTGCTGACATCTGTCTGGTAAATTGTGAATAAAACTTTCCCATAGTTTAACAGATGCTCATGAATTGAGAGTAAATGACGTCTCAGGATCTTAAAGGTACAGTATGTAAAATTTGAATATTTACCAGTTGACTGAGGTGCTCCCTTGCTGTACTTATGAATATTTACTTTATTTCTACCAAATCTGTTCAGCTAAATACTAAACTATACCTTTGAATAAAAGATTTAAGAGTTTTCTTTTTTTCCTTTGTGACCATAAAAGTTGCAGTTTGATCGTTTTGGTTGCAGACATTTCATCATTTTCTGTTCACTTTTCTATTTTTCCAAATGGACAGCCAAAACATAATGGTACCAACAGTATTAAGTACACACTGTGCTATAAACAAGTTTTATTAACTGTAGAGCGAGTTCAGGACATTGGATTCAAGGTTGCAGGTCTTAAAATGAAGGTAGTACTTCCTGTTTTTTTCGTAGTAATTCAACCACAACATGATTATATTCAAGCAAACAACCGTTAAATCTCTAGTACCTTTTCTTTCAATGCGGCGCTCTGGAACACATCAGCCAAGGTACTCAACTTGGCTGCAGGGGCGACAAATGTTGGAAAAGTACCAATTATTTCACTTCATCAGGTACAAGTAATGGTTTTCACTGAAACCCAAAAGAAAAGAAACAAACACGCACCGTCGTCACTCGTCGCTTTCAGTGTTTTGCCGTCTTGGGTGATTTCTAGATTACAGTTTTCTTTGTTGCACCAGCCGGCAGGATTGTCCTGGATGATGCGTTTTGTTGCTTCCTGTAGAAGAAGAAGAGCGAGGGATGTAAATCTCATACTTTTGCTGACAATCTTTTAAATACGCTCTGGACAAGCCTGGACAAAAATCACGTTTCACAGAGGAACTGCAAATCTGTTTTCACCTCTTCTGGGTGATCAAACTAAGATGTCTGCCTGAGTTTTACCTCACTTGTCATCAGCGCTGCAAGGCCTCGTGTGCGTAATGGAGACAAAACGCAAGTTGGATGGAAAACTCGCTGACCACACCTTCTTTTTTCCCACCTTAGCCCTGAACTATGATATCACCTCATTGCACAATTTGAAGCTCAGAGACTTTGGGAACACTGTTTTCATTTCGTGTAATGTGATCCAGACAGCTCTCAGTGTTCCCAGAAGACCACTAAGAGCAAAACCCCCGAATCCTAAGTTAGTAGGGAGTGGGCCCACAGCTGGACTCTGCTTTAACATCCAAATATTTGAGGTGGGGAGGAAGAATCTCCGGCAGAATCACCCCACTGGAGCCTCTTCCCCTCTCCATCTGTTTGCATGTCACTGGTGACCCATAACATGTTAATCTCAGGAATTCGGCATTGTCTCAGACTTGGCTTTGTGTCACCTTATGCAGCCTTATAGTTGGAGTTCAGATGAGTTAAAACATGTAATAAAAAAACTAAGATTTAATTTGATAATGGAATAATGCGCAAAAAAAAAAAAGGAGAGAGAGCGAAGCATGTTTTTTATTTTCTGTCATATTAGACAGTGACTTACATAATCACTGACGGCTGGGGATTTGCAGGAGTATTAAGCAAACCTCTTTTTGTTTTCCACTACTTCAGAGCATCTTTGTTTTATTACACTTCTTCCAGTGATTCAGGACTTTCACTCCCTCTCTCCCGAAGAGAATAATCTTCTTATTCCTTCTCTTTCTTTTGCTAAATCTTCTTGTCGACATGTATTTTAAACCAAGTATTCTGGCGCTGTAGTACTAGTTTCAGGTTGAGTTGGATAGATGACTTCTGCAGATGGCGTTGGCTCTCTTGATGATACAGTAACAACCCGTATAGAGGCTCAGTGGAGTATTTGGACCGGGATTTGACCTGCTGCTTCCTCTCAGTGCACCTGGACTAGCATACTGCACAATTTAAACATTTAGTATTTGATGAGCTGGAGGCACGAGCGGTTTTAGAAATTGATGTTATGTAAAGTTTGGAGTATTTTGTTGTGAGTTAAACACATGAAAAACACATCCATGTGCATCCACACCCTCACTACTCCTCCTTTTGTCCTGCAGACACTAAAGTCAGAGAGGAAACATCAGCCCTCCTCTTCATTTGTCTCCCGCCACAAACACAGCCTCATGATTTACAGCGGCTGAGGAATGTCTGAGAAAAGATCCGCCTTTATCGAGTCCATGTTTCCAACTGTAGCTCTATAAAACACATTCGTCTTTTCTTTTCCAGCAGAGTAAGCCACTTTTTCTGGACCTCTTGTGTCTCTTTTCTGTCTTCATTACTCGATCAAACAGAATAGTTTTTAAAGCAAAACTTCTCTCTCTGCAGCTGGAGCAAATTTGTTGATGAGAATTTTTTTTTTTTGTTGCAAATAAAGTTGTTTTTTCTCGTATGGGACCAGTGCTGGAAGTTGTAAGTTACATCCCAGGGACATACCGTACAAATGCATCTTATTTGGATTAAAATGCTATTAAACTCTTAATTTGAAAGGGAAAAAATGTCAGATTCATTAAAAAATAACAAATAAATATGTGAAGAAAGGATGTAGATCTGCAGTCATACTTTATGATATAGTAATACCCCAAATTTGAGGTCTGAATGCACCTCTCAGCGCCACAGTAGGCTAACTAATTAAACCTGCAAAAGCTTCACATCGTCATGGAAACTGCACATTGCTGAATACAATGCAAATCTGCACACAGACACCCAGATTTTTATTCTGGGAGGCCAACTAAAACAAGTTGTATCTCATACACAGGGATAACTCATATTCCAGGTTTTACGGTAATTGTTCTGCACACAAAATATTCGAATTCTAAAGTGCACAAACTTTTCGATTTGCAAAAAAACTTGGATTTACAGGGAAAAACGTTCAATTTGGAGAGTTTTTTATTCAAAGAAAAGCTCTTCTTTATAAAAACAAAAGCTTTTTGACTGCAGCTTCCCTTCTTTTCTACTCTGTTGTTTGCAGACTGATGAGTTTTGCCTCCAATATTTACCTTCAGGCACAAATGTGTGAAATAAGTTTCCACATTATGGTGAAATAAGACACTACTGAAATAGTATTCAGCCTTCACTTTAGTTTCACTGTTTTCTAAATGATGCATAACCAGGTATCAGTCCAGGTAGCAATATTTTTTTTCGAAGGAAGGTAGGAGAATGTCCCGCCTCCTTCGCCTCTGATTGGCTGTGAAATGTCATCACATGCTCAGGCCGAGCGCAGGCTGTCGGCCCTGTACAGACGATGACGCTTCACAGCTATAAGGAATAACCAATGGGAGCCCAGCATTTCAGCCAATCAGAGGCAGGACCTATCTACCCTGACAGTCATACAGGGTTAAATTCTTACTCACACAGTCAGTCGTTTCCACTGAAAGCTTGACGGCACTTTCTGAGATGTCCTCCTTTCCAACACACTTCACATCAGGCTGCAGGGACATAAAAGAAAGGTAACCACAACATCAGTCAAAGGTACACACACACACACGCTTCGTACAGAGACATCTGTTCAAATGTTAGGCAGCATAAAATCTGACATGTTTAGTCTTTATTTGAGTGGTGTTGTTTTATGCTGATGGCTCCCAGATGTTGAAAAGTCAGGAAGAAGAGATACGCCATCTGAACACTGTAAAGAGACTCACCACAACTGCTTTTATAATTTTAGGCTGCTCTGTAGCTGCAGCAGTCGGGACTTTGTTGTCAACATTAGGGGCGTCGGTCACAGAGGCGCCTTTATCCAAATCCATTATAAGACTTATAACGGTTGCAAACGCGTCTTCAGGGATAACAGAGGCCGCAGGACCAGCATCTCCAGCATCAGTCGGGGCGGCACCTGCATCTGGAGCGGCTGAGGCGTCTGGAGCTGCGCTGGCAGCTGAGCCGTCCGTTGCTAAAACAGAAAAACAGGGGCAAGGCTATTTTACTCAGGCAAATGTTAGCTGCCATGTTTATTAGCGGCTTCAAAATCATCAATTATTTCATTTGAGTTTTAAACATGGAAAAATTCACTAACCATTGGTACGCTAATGTTACTGTTTGCTAAAATTTTCTGCCTTACCTATAATTTTGTGTAACAGTATCGACAATTATGCTAGCTAGGAAGTGTATGGCTGTTTACTTTAGCTAGTTTCAGACACTCGCTTTAATGGCGGCTATTAAAATGTTTACTTCAAGGTAGAGTTTGCAGTATATTTAGAAATATAATCTGATAATTACAAATATCTTCAAATCAAAAGTGCATGAATAGCGATATCACTGTAAAAACCTAAATCTGGTACTAAAGTCTGATCAAAGCTCTTACCTGGAGCATCGCTTGCAGGTGCATCTGTAGGATCTTGACACTTTACACCATCTGCCAAAAAACACAACATGAAACAGTTAAAGATGTTGACTTAATGCTTTTAATGCACACAGGATTCAAGGTTTGGGACATAATCAGACTCATTTCACGTAATTTTAGCAACCTGCTAGCCCCATGCTTGAAAAAATAACAGGACTGCGCTTATAGGGACATCCCGAGGTAAAATTAATTCAGGGTCAAACACACGATAACACTCCAGAGATGAATGTTGCCGACCGCTTGCTTCTCTAGTTACACCAACTTTCATAACGACCGCACGATAGCAATACACAGCGGTCTGAGGAGTCATAAACAAACCTACATATAGGGACCTAGCCACAGCACTAGCCACCAAACATCTTTCTAGTATTGCCTAATTTCTTTAGCAAAGAGATTAAACACAACTCACCTACTCTCTTACATCAGCCACTTGTTTGTAGCGAGACCTCGGGCCAGTCTATTACGGACCACAGCGGGGTGACGCAGCTCAAGGAAGAACATTTATGAGAATTTCTTTATCATTTTCTTAAAGTAAGAATCATCATATTAACCATTTTGCACTGCAGACACAGTAGTTCTTCTGCCTTAGCGTCTCGGTCTGATTGAACTTCCATGAAGAAATGATCATAAATGTTCTTCCTTGAGCTGCGTCACCCCGCTGTGGTCCGTAATGGACTGGCCCGAGGTCTCGCTACAAACAAGTGGCTGCTGTAAGAGAGTAGGTGAGTTGTGTTTAGTCTCTTTGTTAATGAAATAAGGCTAATTTAAAAAGATGTTTGGTGGCTAGTACTATGGCTTGGACCCTATATGTCCTGTTGATGAAGTTAGGTGCTGTTCTGAGCATTATTTGTGGCTATAGAGTGGCGTTTTGGTTGAGGTTTGTTTATGACTCCTCAAACCGCTGTGTATTGCTATCGTGCGGCCGTTACTAAGGTTGGTATAACTAGAAAAGGAAGCAATCAGCAACATTCATCTCTCGTTGGGGTGTCTAACTCGGTGTTACGGTGTGTTTGACCCTAAATAATTTTACACCGAAATATCCCTTTAAATAATGTAAAAACGGCCTGAGTCTAGATCTAGAGTATTGATTTGTCGGGTGAATGCTAATCTGAATCATTTGTGTGAGCAGGAATTCATAAGACAGTAGTTTTGAGGGAAACAACATCATTTCAAAGACTGTTCCTCCCTGGTTCTGGAAATGAAGAACCAGTTTCTCAAAGATCCTCTTCAAGCCCCCCTCTCAAAGTTCCCATATCTTTGGGAAGTACTACCTTTTTAGTGGTTTCAACAATTGCTGCAATCAAAGAGCAAACAGTTCTTGGGGAAAGTTCTTAACTACACCCTAACCCTAACTTGACCCTGACCAGACAGTAATGTGACCTTGGTCTTTACCTCAAACTGAGGGGTCACTTTAGGAGACAGAGTTTAACAAAAGAAAAGCAGAGATCCACAAAGGGACGGTAAAGATGTGGAGTATTTTGGGATCAAGTTTCCAGCACACGCCCGGTGGAATATTCGTTCCATTCGGGTCAGGGCGTGAGGTTTGTTTTCAAAAGCTTGGCCAGGTGAACCCGACCTCACGACCGACACAAAGACGCTCAACCGTTCTCAGTGGTCTTTATTAATAAGTAGTCGCAGATGGGGGGAAGTCTCCCTGTCTGTAACCTGTGCACACAAACAGCCCGGTCAAAAGGTCGCTGCCTCCTGACTTCACGTCCCTCCTGTGGCGGCGATCATGTTTCTGTAATAACCTTGGGATTAAGCTGGGTGGTGCTAAAACCTTTCAGGCATAAGACGGTTAGGAAAAGAAGGAAAACATCTCTGGGTTCATTTGAGGTTTTCCAAGGTGGATGGATGATTAACCTTCTCGGGCTACCATTAAAAATCCAACATCAGATTTATATCATGACTCGCAAATACCCGTTAATCCAGTTTATCTAGTAGACTATCTTTTTATAGGGCAGGCATTAAAGCTGGACTTCATTTTAATGCTGCAAAACCAAAGCTAGGAATCCAAAGCAGCATCACCAGCTGCCAAACTAAACCTGATCCATAGTATAAATACGAGGCTAACACAGACAGCAGCAGGGTAATCTAATTTATCCAACGCCACTTTCCCCCTCCTGGAAACAAACCAATAAAGTGTGTAAACAGCTCGAACCTAACCAAAACTATGCTGCAATCAGAGAAAAATGTGTTTGCTGCACCGCTGTGGATATTTACCTCAAATTTGCAATCCTATAAACATGTCTGACTCAAACACACTCTGAATTAAGCAGGATTGTTAGCACCCCAACAAAAGGTACAGTCATCCAGCTGGCGAGCGCCCACCATGATAGCAGCCTAATGAGTCCAGATCTATGTCATGGATTGTGGCGTCAAATCTCGTCCTTTTTAACAGGTCTGGTTGGACGTAGATCCTAATGTTTCGTTTTACAGCTAACTGACTTTGGCTGAAGCTTTTATGACTTTTTCTTCTTTTTTTAACGGTTATTTTTTGGGCGTTTTTTTCCCCCTTTAATTGATAGGACAGCTCCCTACACAACAAACTTTTTATATTTAATAGAGCAGTAATGTTCGGAGAAAATATTCAGCCTCTTCGCCAATAAATTAATCCGGCACCTCTGCGCATATTAAGATTTTATGAGGACAAAAAGTCACTCACCGCTTAGATATTAATGTATTCTATTAAAAGCTTCATTACATATGTTTTAACGCTTTGACCAATTTATGTGGAAGTATAAATAATTCAAATGAATGGGTCCTTGTGTTTCAAGAAAAGACACTTTCCACATTTACCATAATGCTCATAAATACAGATGCATGTGCACACTGCTAACATTAAACTTTAACATGTCTTATCCCAAAGTCCTTCGATTACAGCAGCGATCAGGAGACCACCAGTGTCAGCTTGAGGTTATGTTGGAGGTGATTGATAAATCGAACGAATACAGAAGTTTTAGGGTACTTGGGTTTTGATTCCTATTTTTAAAACTTCTCCCTTTTATTTCTATTTTAATCGCGTTATGCTCGTACGAAACCTTAAATACAGAGTGGCAGTTATGGGATGAGAGGTGACGAGACATCCACGATTCCAAGGGGTAGTCCCTGATTTGGATGACCTGTTCCTGGCTAAAGCTGCCCCCGGAAATGTTCCCGATTTTAGCGTTTTTAATGACTGAGGAAAAAATGCTGCGTGAAGACTAGAACAACACTTATTATGGTAGCTGGTTGTGCACGGTGAACCGCCTCTACTTCGCTCAAAGAATAAAAAAACCCTCAGTCATTACCTGGCTGAACTTTTGTGTTCTAATTGGTCGAAACTACTTAACCAAACGAGTTAGTGGCAAAAAGTCCACCATCTTTCAACTCTGCCTGTTGACACAAACTTAACTTATAAGTTACTATAATCAGGTGCGCCTTATAGTGTGAAAAATATGGTAAGTTTTTGTCTGTTCCTGAGAGACAAGAAATAATGGTGTTAACTGACGACACATGAAAGAGAGAAGAGATCCAATCATGTCTGATATGAAAAAGCAGGACAGGATGCTGTCCTGCAATCCAGGCAACAGCAGCAGAGCTGGTGAGAACAATTGGTAGCCCAGGCTTTTATTCGCTTCAACCAATAAACTTGCTCTGCTTTTTGGGATGGTTGTCAATTGGAGACAGGATTGTAATCAACTCTGTCTGGTAAATATTTGGTTTTCATTGTTTCAGTTTATTGAATAAATATGAAGTACGAAAGCAAAAGAAAAAACAGCTTTTTATAGAACAGACACCAAGAAAACAGTGTGTAAAGGTTTCGAATTGAGACCTATCTTTGTCAAAATGTGCACCCAAAAATTATCACTGTCTTTAATTGGGAGTGGCCTCTATTAGAAGTTTTACGGTATTTTTGCAAAGAAGCTGCAACCACTGGTAGAAGTGATGTTAAAAGTTGTAGTATCTTATGATTAGGATCACAGGTCACTGAATCCTCTCTAACGTGTTAATGTGAGCACATGTTGGCTGAAACTAAAGTTCAAACACAGTAACACTCAATCAGTTTGGATAAAGACACTTCAGACGACCATGTGAGTAATGTCGGTGTGTTTCCAGCGCGGCCCCTCAGCGCCAACACGAAGCCGAAGGACCTCCAGACTCAACACAAACACAGAGGAACATACATAACACTCCCGGTCGGTCTATGAACACAACAGCTCTCCCTCTCTGGAGACTTTCTGACAGGTGAGGAGAGCACAAGGTCGAGGCTGCAGTCAGCGTAACCTCTGAGTTCCCTCTTTCCCGTCCTTCTTACTGAACTACATCATGTGGATTTCCTGCTCTGGCTGTCCTCCTTCGAGCTCTCAGCCTGGGTGTTCCAGTCTTAAACGTGGTGTGTGGTTATGTAGCTTCAGTGCCAGATGTAAGTAACTAAATCACGAATTAAAGAGAGGAAACAAGATGAGCCAAGAAAGCTGAGAGTCAGGTTCGAAGCGGCATTTCTTCGCCTGTGGTTGCTGCAGCGTAAAAGCGGGTCTTAGGCGGGGTATTGCATCAGGGGATGAAAAATGTCGGTTGATGCTTCGAGTCCTAAAGCCACTAACTATTGTTTTGCTTCGCCTGTGAAGGTTTACACGACCACAAGTGGTGTTGTTGACACGCTGCTGGAATGCAGAAACTACCGAGCGAGCAAACCAAGCTGTTCTTCATATCCCAACTTTAAATATCAGGGGAATTGAAGCAGCCCGAACACTGTAAACATATCAGATATCAGGCTCGTAAATAAAGAGATGCTAATCTCCTGGAAGCCTGTTGAGAATTTCACAACTTACTACATTAGAAATACACAGGATTGGATTGACAAAGGCTGTTATAAAGTTGGCAGACCTTCACCAAACTACATCTCTTACTGCTCGAGTAAATCTCATCTCAGACACATTAAAAGCTCAGACGCTGATGCATCTCAGGCGTAATCTCTCTGTTGAGTGTTGGATCGAGTTATTTCATCCAGTCTGAAGTGAACTCAGGGGAGTACGATGATAAGACACAGGGAGAGACCGTCTTATCATCATTTCAGAGAAGTGAAGATGCTTTGAAAGTCGTGTTATTTTACACATAGTCCTGTTCTTCTCAGACAGCCTGCTGTCAACCCTCCTCGTCACCGAGGGGGAAAGCCTTCGAACTCCCACTCGTCCGCTGAAAGACACACCCAATGACAGAGCTGGGGAACGAGGAGCTGTGAGAAACTACGATGGAGGGAGTTAAGCATGAAAGATTTGATAAATATGTCCTTTTTTTTAAGTAGTCATCTGTAAGACTTTGTTATTGAGATATAGATCATTATCAGTCCATTAGCCAGTCAATAATTTAACATTTGCACAGCCCAAATATCTAGAATATGTTACCTAGCAGGTCTCAACCACTTTATCTAACATTATTTATGGGTATCAACATGTATGCCCAACATGTGGGAGCACTTGTCTATAACAGGATGGGAAAATCTTCCTTCAACAGGCAGAAACCTCGAGCAGAACCAAACTTTTGGTGAACAGCCATCTGCTGCAGCTTGTAAACATGAACATTTACAATCTGCCATGTTTAGGTTCTCTCTCCTGCAGCTGTTATTGTGCCAAAGACCCTGAGTCTTCACCAGGGAAGAGTCACGTGCCCCAGGAATGGGTGGAAAAGAAACTAAGTTTACAGTTTATATATATTTTTAGGATTTTTTTATTCATGAATGCCTAATTTCAGTTATTTTGTTGCCTCATGGCACTTTTCCTCCCTCCCTTTGGACATTACACAGTTAAAAATAAAAGAAAACTACTTGAATTTGTCATGTATTGTCCTATTTTGATATTTTTTGATGAAAAGTACTTTGTGTTCGGTATATTATTTCAGGTAAAAATCACCCGGTGATAGTGATGGTGTTACTGATTTTAGCGATAGTCTTCGAGGGTTAAGCCATGACAGTGTGATAATAAAAAAACCAATGCTGAAGATTACCAAAAGTTTGATGTATTAGAGTCACTTGCATGACAATTTTTATCACTTAAAATCCTATTCATGTGGAACTAATATGCCGTTCTAAAATGCAAAGTATGCCAGATATAGAGGCAGATCAGTGTCTGTAGCAGCACTTTTTTAAAGCTTTTCTCCCTCCCTCCAGTTTTTGCTGAGTTTAACAACCAGGTCAGCAGTAAGAGGTGGTACTTGGAAGAGCTTCACATCTGCAGAAAACTTCACATTGCTGAACATGACTGAAGTCTTCATTCTGGGCCCCAGAGGGAAAAATAATCATCTTTTCTAGTTTTTCTTACATTGTGTGAAACATTTATTTTGTCGGGAAACACTTGACAAATCAGAGAAAGTGCTGTTACATTCAGTTTGAAACCTAGCTCTAGGTCCACTCCTGCTGCACACGTCTTGGTTTGAGCGTCTCCGCTGCTGAACAGCTGCTAAATTCCCATGTGTTATTTTGGCCGGGCCAGGGTCACAAAAACTTCTGCTACTATTATTCTGTGATTGTCTGCCGCTCTTGTTTTTGTTGGACCTGCTTTTAAAGATGCTGCTTTGCTCTGGAATCTCCTTTTGACCACGACTGTAGTGAGTACAGAGCTCTCAAAACCAACCGAGGCTAAAGCCAGAACTACAGAAACACAATCAGGGGGTTGAAGGGTTTACATTTATTAAGATAGGCTGTTAGGATGTTAATTCTCAGCCCGATCATCTCATCCATCTTTCATTGCACCTTCGATTCCAGCGCCCAAACTCAGGGTGGGGACCTTAAGGAAAATCACAGTGGAAGCAAACATGCACCAGACTAGATGGGCGCAGTCGGAGTACAAACAGGGGACAGCAGCTGCACTGATTCTCCTTAGGGAGCCCCTCCTCTCCCTGCACATGTGTTGTACTGTCAGATAGCTGTGAGGCTTCTGACATCATGCAAAAAGGGGAAACACGTCAGCTCCAACTCTAGAGATTTGAGTTCAACCTCCGCCCAGACCGCGGAGACGACACCTTGGCTGTCATGCAGTAATGAAACACACCCTCCTTTTGGTCTTGATCCATACTTTCTGCTTCCAGATGTGCGCAGAAGACCCTAAAGTCTCCCTCTCAACCCTGTCTTTCATTCCCTAAAAGGAGGGACGTCACCGCGAGTTAAGCCAGGAATTCCTGAAGTTTCAAGGACCCTCGGGGGATTCTGCAAAATGAGAAATGCTGAAGACGGGGAGGACTCTCTCAGTGGCTGATGGGAAGGAATTAAATAAGACAAGAATGCGACCAAAATGTATTATTTCTTAAATTAATTTGTAGTTTTTCTAAAGAATTGTTCAATCTGTGACGCCTGAACCTGGAAGAACTCAAGAAAAAGACGATATGAGATCATGCTTGGAGTTACTGCTGTAAAAATGACTTATTCCTGGAGCTGCTGTCAACATACTTTCAGTTGTGTAACTAACTCAATTAGAGAAGATTCAACCTTTTTTTCCTGTAAAGGTTTAAAGAAAGGTCGTTGAAATCAAGTGAAAAATACCCTGGAAAACTAAAGCTAAGAAATCCACTCCCACGCTAAACCACACTTAATATTATGTGTATTTAATCAGTTTTTGCTCTTATTCGTATGACAGGATAGTACAAAACCTTTTGTGCAATCTGCATTGAACAGGAGACTCGAGTTACTCAATCTTGTATCTTAGCTTAACAGCCAGAATCGAGTTATGCTTCTGCAGTACCAAATAGTGCCACAAGGCGGTGCCCCTCTCTGTTTTGTTACCCATGGATGTTGTCGCGATCCAACCGAGAGAGAATTATCGTAAGTGACGTTTTGGTCTAGGTTGTGCCTGAATTTTGGGGTTACTACTAAGTCGCTAATAAACGCCCGTTTTCTCCACCTTCACCAGACACATTACAACCATCGAGAAAATGGAGTTTAAGTTGTAAGTATGAGATAAAATAATGAAATAAATGGCCACGGCAACGTATAACTGGATTAACCTGCAGGAGGACTAAAGAAGTTGGATGTAATCTCACTGATTGGCAAACAGTTTGACGATGCAGTCCTGAGTTGGATAGATTTTGACTGTTCCTGAAGTGTTTTCTCACCTTAACACTAGCTGGTTGGATTTCTGTGAAAACAAGCAGGAAATTAGGAGCTTGGGAACATCTCCCGTTACAACGGATAGAAGGGAAAGTTGGGCTTTTAGTGCTAAGAAAGCAAACGCAGCGCAGCAGCGAAGCGGAAAGGAAATAGTCCCCTTAAGGGTTGTGGTCTGTGACCATTTAACTACGCTTCCTTCAATCTGTGTGGAGTAAACGGCAGATATTGTAGGTTAAATTACCTACAAAATATTAAAATAACATTGAAAGTAGCAACACAGTTAAAGTCAAAAAGAGAAAAAGTTCCCACCTGTTTCAAAAGGCAACAAACTAACATATCGAAGACATAAGTTGAAAAATTACTGAATCACAATAATAGTAAAACTGTCCTCCATCATTGTGTTAAATATTAAAACTACACACAGTCTACCTGAGTGTTTCCAGCCACTCTTGTGACATCCAGATGGTAATAAATGGCAGGAATTCACCCGCTCCGGTACCTGAATATGAGACCTATTTTTGTTTCTGCACCGTCGGGTGGCAGAAGTTGACTTTTTCCATCCCACCCACACCCTCTTGTGTTTTTACACGAGACATTGGAAGGTAAAAAATAAATTTAAAGGGAATTAACTGCAGGATTGTGGAATGTTATCAATGCACATCCCCTGCGCAGGATGTGGCTATCGCTGCACGCGGTATGCGGTGACCTGTGGGAGCTGCACGGGTCAACATGCTGCGGGCCTGCAGATAACACACACAGGCACACTCTGCTGGCATTACATCCACACTTTGTGTTATCACGGGGCTGCAGGACAGAGTCTATCCTCATGAAGTGATTATTTTACTCAACGTATTGCTTCAACTTTCCTCTGCTCTGATTCATTGTTGCTAAAACAAAAGAGTGAAAAAACCCTCAAGAGGGGAAAGAAAGCAAAGGAGGGAGCATGATTGATAGCAGCTACCTACCGTTGTTTTTATTCCACCTCTAATTTTCTCATTAAAATAGTTTCAGCAGAGCAATGAAACTCTAACCCTGTGTTTCCAAAACAGTCCATCCAGTTTGTTAGTGCGAGGATAAGAATCTGGAAGCAGCAGCTGCTTTAAGAGCCCATGAGCTCGCCGCTCTCCTCCTCTCGGTGTCAGAAGAACCAGCGCCGGGTTTGCAGTCAGCAGCAGATGGTCATGGACGGATTCCAGCTGCTGTTTTAACGTGAAGCTGTGCGGGGAGAGGTTGTAAAAAGATATCGAGAAAAAAAAAAAGAAACGATGGACCTACGCAATCTGGCTCTGATATGATTAAGGCCGTGGAGCCAAAGTGGGAGAGGAAGATTGAGAAACAAAAGGCTGAGAGCTTTCCAAGAGGGGGAAAACCAGCGCAGAAACATGCTGATGTTGATAAACTGCATATGCATGATAGAAAAAGAGGTGTCCAAGAGTGGGAGCTTCAAGAGGAGCAACAATTAGTCTTATGAATCTATGAATCAAAGCTGCACAATAATCATAATGAGTATGTGTTTGGTGGTGTAAATTGGCATTGTGACGAAGAAGACGTGACAGACTGCCAGTAAGCTAGCTGACGCACCATTTCTATTAATTTCTGTAACTTTTAATTTAAAGGAGGTAGCATAAAGGAAATGAGGCAATTAAAACCCAAGATAGGAAAAATAAAGGCATAACAAACAATCATTTTATCTTCTCCTGCAGAGTTTCGGTCACAGGGCCGCTAATAAATCTGAATAATATCAGAAATGGATGACGATGTGGGCGGTAATTGTGTTAATTAGTTCGGTTTATGAAAAAATAACAGTTTAAAACAAAATATAAAGAATATGTTTTCACAGGAAACAGGGACGTACAATCTTAGTTACTATTATCATTGTCATTATCATCATTATTATTATCATTATTGTTTTGTTATTTTCACTGTGGTGATCAGAGCCGATCCGAGGCATAAGCGCGGCCAACAGGGGGCCCCCAAGAGCAATCAAAATAAATAAATAAATAAAAAATATTAAGGTATGTTTGCATGTCATGGAATGTTAATCAAAGAGATTTGTGAAGGTGTGTGAATGATCAACAGTCAGTATTATTGGCAGAAATAGAGAGGCCCAGAATCTAATTTTAATTAAGGCCCCATTAAGGCTTTTATTGTTATTATTATGATGATGATAAATATTATTATTTAATATTACGATACATATAAATCATTAGTGTAGGAGAAGGGGTGGGACTAGATAAGTCTTGACTCTTTTTTGAACATGGATAACTTTCTTGACTTTTTTATATGTTCAAAATAAACTTCAATCAATCAATTGATTAAAAGTTTTCCACAAATATTGCAAGAATAATCCTGATTTTTACAGCCACAATAATCGTAAAGAGAAAATCTGATATGACGTTGACTGTTTGAACCTTATCTTTAATTTTAAAAAGTGCAAATGTTGGATTTAGATCGACTGTTAAATGAAGATATATGAGCTAAATAATAACTAAGGTGCTTGTTTACATTATTACCTCCTCTTATCTTCACTTCTGGAGGACTCTGCCTCTCTGAACACCTAAGGATCCAGAAAAGGAGAAAGTCCTGCTGAAGAAGCGTGCTGATGTTTGTGTACACATAAAAAAAAGTGTGCAAACTCAGGAAGACGAGAAGCACAGTCTTGTGTTTTCAATTAAGCAGAGTAAAGCCTGGCCTTTTACTGCGCATTATTTACCAGGAGCAATTATTCTGGCGGTCTAAAGGCCCATTAGGTGCTCTCTCCCCTTAGGTAAACAGAATCCCCCCCTCCCTGGCTAAAACCCCTGCCTGGTTTCTTCTTTTTTCGCTGGTGTTCGGCTTTACGTCGTCATAATCTTGGATCAATCAGCGCGCGAAGGATCAACGAGCCAGCGTGAAAAAGCACAGATGACACAATGAGCACAGAGGACGTCCAAGTTCTTGTTTTGGAATCTGCAGAGATCTTCAGGCTCCTCATTAGAGCCGAGCATGGGGGTGATTTCAATCTGAGCGGCCATATCTGGAGTTTCTCCGCCTCGCTGCTGCTTGTCCCGCCAAATTTTCAGGGACTGCAGAAACCAGAGAAGAGGTTTTTCTCTCTTTCTTTCTTTTTTTTTTTTCTAATACCGCCTATATGCTGGTAAAAAGCAACAGCTGTAAAAGTGCAGCAGGGCGCCAGGGGAACAAGGAACAATAAGCTCACCAGAACAGCAGTAATTGGAAAAGGAAGATTTGAACGCTAACTCGGCGTCTGCTTCTCATTAAGACTGTTCCACTAGGTAAATATTGTTGCTAGACAATCTATTTCTCCGAGTCAACTCCTTCTCCTGGATGATCATTTAGTCGGCAGCGGCGGTGGCTTTGTTTTCATACGACTAAAGTGTTTTTCTTGGAGTAAATTGGAGATAATTTAGAGAGAAAAACACCTAAAAAAGCTCTTTCATTGTTGTTGTGATTGTACTTGTTAGCGGAGGAGCGAACAGAGCGGACACCGGTTTGTTTAAAACGGTTTTAATGATTTCGGCTCGCTCACGCGCGGGAATCAGCGAAGCGTTGGCGCTCTGACAGAACACAGTCTCCAGGTTTAATTACTCAGCCGGCTCACGTGGCTCTTCAGCCATCGCTTAAGGCCCGAGTGGACACACACACCCTGCACTGACATAAGAGCGCTATCTGCCAAAGGCTTACGTAAAGGGAGGCCCACGCCCTCCTGAGGATGACGTGAATCCGACTTTAACATCACAGCTTGGGATGGGAGGAATGCTGGATGATCGCTGAAGGCCATGGGAAACAGAGCGGCAATATGTTTGTGTTGGAAAGAGAAAGATAAAAACTTTGCAATGCTGGATATTTATCCTGAAAGTGACATTTTCTATAAAAATCAATTAGTCTTAAAGGTCTTCTGTCTTTTTCTATCTTCTGCATTCGCTCAGTCCGGTTCGTCTGATCCTGAATGGTCTGCATGATGTCAGGATTTCTTAGGATTTCTACAAAGCATAGATTATTTTTTTGCATGAAGGGAAACATGCACAGCAAATTTGGAATCTCCCAACCGCGAGCAAACATCTTGGTTTAATGTGGTTGGATTCTAACAGCAATTGTCACAGCTCGTTCAGCTCCGCCTGGAGGCCCCCGCCATCACAAAAGAAACAAGTCAGAATGGATGAAAAGCCCGAATGAGAAATGCAAGATGTTTTTCCCTTTCTTCGGGGCAGATTGAAAAAGCTCGGGTTTTCCCCCCTCTGAAATCTTTAGAGAGAGTTTATAACATACTCCAAGAGGCGCTGAATGACATCATCTAACTCGCAGCCCATGCCCATTGCAGCGCTGCATATTTGCACGCCTGCATAACTTCTGAATGACAGCCATGGGAAGCGAGAGCATAAACTGGATCTCTTTGCCAGGGAGTCATGGCTGCTTATATCTGACGGGAATGTTTGTAAAGATAAACACATTTACGAACCAAGGACAACAAAGTCTCTCATCCTGTGTCCCCACCCTCCTCTCACTCACTGCTCTCTCTCTCTTTTAAAAATATGAACTCCTCTGCAGATGTTAGAAGTTTTAAAGGTGCAGAACTTTGGTTACTTGATGCAGACATGCATGCATGAGAAGACACAGAGGGAGCGATGCAGCCAGATCTGGAAAGTGGATTTTTGTACCACAATAGAGCAGCTCTTGAGAGTGAACTGCAGCTAGCTAACGAACCTTTTAAAGGGATATTCCGGCGTATAATTAATTTAGGGTCAAACACACCGTAACACAGAGTGAGACACTCCCTCCAGAGATGAATGTTGTCGACCGTTTGCCTCTCTAGTTTTACCAACTTTAGTGACGACCGCATGATAGCAATACGCCTGAGGTCTCGCTACAAACAAGCGGCTGCTGGAAGAGAGTAGGTGATTTGTGCCACTGCTCAGAATGGGCATTTGCTTTTTGTTTGTTTGTTTGTTTTGCTTCCTGCTTGGTACCAGAAAGAGCCCTGATTAGTTGTTGACAATGCTCATGCCGTTGCATAAGGACAGACTTCAGGCAAGCAGGGATATTAAAAATGTTTTATTTTAACGCAACACAAAGACGAGAAGAAGATCAAGTTTGATAACCATCTAGACTAAATTACAGAATCACTGGAATTGCCGCAACTTTAGAAAGACTTTTATGATTTCAATCTGACCCTCCTTAAAAATCAAAGTTCTCAAAGTTGAGTATTTGAAAAATTTAGGTAGATTTTCTTTGCAATGTATTCGGCAACAAGGCTGTTTTTGGTCAGAAACAATATTTTCCAAACTGTAAAAGATGCTGAGCATGCCTGACAATCTTCCAAGGAAATCTGCACACTCAGCTGAAGCTTAAAAACACTGTGAGGACTGCATTTCCCATGAGCACTGTGGCTACTCTTGCAAACACGTGCATTTGTTGTGAAAGCAGATGAAAGGATTGCAGATTGTCTGTTTGAGACTCATTTTCTCTCTCAAAGATGAATTTTTGCAGATTTGATTTGCAGCTATATTAACTGTTTGCAAAACTTTGCAAACTCTGATGTGTCATTATTTCGATGCCACTTTATGAGTTTCTTTGCTTTACAAGTAGATAAAGACTTCATAGATCCTCTCTGCTTTGTTGCAGGACAGGCTTACGGTCAGCAGCCTTGTCCGTTTGCCCTCATGACATCACTGCCACCAAATCTAATGTGGCATTGATCGAGCCCCGTGATCCGGGACGATTTCACACTGGGAACGAGACACAACAAGGCTGTGCAGCAGTAAAACTCCCCCGCATTAATCAGGAAAGAGTGACTCGACAAAGGCCTCTTTATTTGGATACAGGCATCCAGAATGAAGCATGAAACTTTAAAAATGTCTGACTGAATATTCAGGTCACCCAGGCAAGACCTCTGACCCGTACACCGCCGCAGAAACATAATCATATATTGTCAACGAGGACACAGATTGTGTCTTATGACTCGGTCGGTGACGCAAAACGCATCAGAAATGAAAAACAAAAATAGCTGCCCCGGAAATGCAGATGAGCGACTCAGCACGATATCACTGACAGGATGTGGATGCAATAAAAATCTGCATGCATCGAAAATGTGCTCCGACGTTGCTTTTTGGAGCTTTATGCGATCATGCCTCTGCACATTCGCACCACGGCGCCAGTTGAGCGTCAAGCATGTAGCAGGTCTGTGCGATAGGAGGACTTCTGCTGGATGTGGTAAAGATCTGAGGAGGAGGTCAGGGAGTTGAGGCGACACCCATGTGATGATCCTTAAGTAGAAATCAGAAGCTGTATGCTAAATAGGAGGCAAGAAAGTTTGTACTAATGTAAATTATTCATCGTTAAAATGCTGCTGGTGTGGAGGAAATGCAAATACGGCAAAAGGCGAGGAAGGCATGGGTGTAACCTTTAAGAAGAAAAGCTTCTTAATGGGAAATAGGGATGAGTTTGATAATAAATAAAGAATGCATCACTCATTTATCGTTGGGAATTAAAATTTCTTGGTGGGGCGTATTCAGAGTGATGATTAGATTTCCATGTAAATCTAATTACCGTCTGTTGAGCTGCTGATGCAGACGCTATGCGGTTGCGCTTTTATTGCGCAAACTACCAACATGTTCCGCCACCTCATGATTTTTTTCCCTTTTAAAGTAAGTCTGGTTATTTTCATCAGTCTGGGATCCTCCTCCTCATCTTCCCGAGGTCACTCCAAATATTTACAGCCCCCGTGCCCGTACATGGCAGAGCCCCAAACGGAGTTTCTGCAGAAGTCGTCACACCGAGGAGCTTAAGCAGAAGTAGTCCTGCTTTACAAGCGGCGAGACGGCAACACCGTCCAAGCCATACATCACCCTGCAATTAGCATCAACCCTCAGAGTGATTCGGAGTGGACGACCCAGCCTGTCCACAAACACACAGATACACACAGAGTCGTGTTTACGTCTCATCAGGGGACCATAAATTGACCTATATTCTCTCCCAAGAGACGTAGCCAAACATTGACGATAACTCCTTACGACCTTATCGAAACCTTGATGGATTTGTATCCAAAGGGAGGATGGAAAGCCATTTTTGTCCCCAAAACACGCTCAAACGCTCAAACACACCCACACAGTTCTGTTTATGTCTCTCAGGGGGACCTTATATTTACAAACATCCCATCCTGCTAATCCTCCGAGTATAACCTCCTCTTCAGTAACTAAACATCGATGTTTTTGTCCCTAAAAAGAAGATGGATAAACCCTGAACGATTAAAATTAATATGCACACACGATCTTGTTTACAGCTCTTAAGGGGACCACACATTGGCTGGCATTTTCCTTCTGGAGACCTTATTTTACCTTGACTCTTACCACCGCTATCTTGACCAAACCTTGATATAATTGCCCCAAAATGGAAGGTGTAACCCTACAATGTCAGTGTGCAACTAGATTTTTACCCCCTCAAAATACACACAATCTTGTTTACAATTCTTCAGGGGACCAAACATTGTCTAGCATCTCTTTCTTGGAGACCCAGCCTAACTTCAACCTCAACCAAAGTTCTGAGTATTTGTCCCAAAAGGAAGGCGGGTCCCCTCAATGTTCCCGTGGAGCCAGATGTTTGTCCCCAAACTTGCTTGATAACTTTGGAGAACCCTAACCCTAACTGGGATAAAATTTCTTGGAGTTTCTTCACCTTAAACCAAAAATCATATCATAAACATTACAGGGATGATCATTAAAGTGGGATGGGTCCTGGTCTTGTTTACTTCACATAGAGTAGGAATGAATCACTGTTTTGTAGACTTGCACTCGTCCTAACTACAAAATCTCTTCTTTATCTATTAAGCACTTAAAAACTACTTAAAGTGCACTGATTTATGGTATGAGGACTAACATAACGTCCATAAAAGAAGGGTGGATCTTGATAATGTGAGGTTAATAATTGCAAAACACAAGATAACATGGCACTAAATGGGCGCACCCTCTAAATCCTCTTACATCTATGTAGAAACATAATTAATGGCACTATTTTTCACATCAGTTAAGTCATGAATGCAGCTTTCAGACACTCCAATGTGCATTAAATCTCTTTTTGACTAACCGGAGTAGTTTCCAGGTAGTTTTTAAAGTCATGAAGTTAGTTTTTTTTCAGCCTGTGTGGGGTTTGGATTCCTTCACCCCACATTCAAACACATATTAGCCCCACCCAGATGCACTTCAGGATGTAAAGCATAATTATCCTCAACTGCAACTTTCCACTCCTGAGCAGACTCTTTGTGTCTGCGGCCACTAACCATGCCCCTGCGTGAAACCTCGAGTTAGAGCACATCAAAGCAACCCCCCCCCCCCGAGTGGTTTGTAAAAACTACTGTTGATGTAAACACTCTGACGGAGGGAATTTGGAGGGATAAACAAAGAAACAGCCGAATTCAATCTTTCTTTTTGGAGTGAATTAAACACATAAAAGCAGATACTATAAGCGATAATTAGAGGAGTACTCACTGCTGAGCAACAGAGTGCAGAGCACCAGGATTCCTGCCATCCTTCCCCAGAGCCCATTCATTCTCCACATGTGTGCAGCCATCCTCTCTGGTCAGACTCGGCAAGCCGGCGGGACTGTGAGAGAGTTTTTTAAAAAAAAAGTGTGTGAAGGCCGGGGGAGTCAGGAGTTTCCTGTGAGGTCTAAGTGAGCGGGACAGACGAGCAGGATAAAGCCTGGCTTGTGTTCTGTTGCAGCTTTATATGGCCTCACTCCTTTGGCCCCTCTCTCTCTCTCTCTCTCTCTCTCTCTCTCTGCTGTTTCCACACCCCTTTTCCTAACTGCCTGTTAACCCGTTTCCCCCAGTGCAACCGTCCCTGCCTCCACCCTTGTGTGCGTGTTCGTGAGTGTGTGCACATGTGCAGAAAAGCACCAGAATGAAATAATGAGACGTTTGCGGTGAAACCTGACATCCTGCGCAGCTTTATCTTTGCTGCAAGTTTGTTTCCTGGTGAGAGTCTGCGACACGTTCAAGAGGGTTTGTAACGGTTTCTGTGCAGAGGTTGCACTCCAAGGAAGTTTCTACTGATGCTCTACTTCTACTACCAGCATTGTGCTTTGTTTTGTTATTTTGGAGATCCCACCTACGACATGTTGTGTACACACGTCGCTGAAAGGCCAGTGAAAACACATGGCGTCACACACAACTGTTGGCTCCAGCTTTTGTGTGTCCCGGGACAGATTACAAACAGTATAATGAGTCATTCATCGAACCGCAAAACCACACATGCGCGCGTACAGTCCAAACTCGCACTGACATCATTGACACACACGTATGCTATTTTGTAATCGCACCACATCAGCAGAAAGCGACAAAGTTTTAGCGCTAACGTTGGGAGTGTGTGCTGCTGGGTGTTCACCGCTCATGTTTGCGCTCAGAGATGGGCCGCTCCAGAGACCGGGGCAGCCAGGCCACATCTGGAAGCACTGCAGTCCCACCGCTGGGGTTTCGAGGACTGCCTGGAGATTTTCTTGTCAAACAATACGACCATATGAGGCTGAATGAAGCCAAGAGCAGGATGGTGTCTGGGAACTGGCGCTCCAGCTGGTCGTCAAGTACAGTATGTTTTAGAGGAGATACTCCTCAGAGTTTGTTAAGGGGTCTTTAAAAGCATTAAGAGTTAACTCTGCAAGCTTAAACTCTCATCAGTCTTTAAAGTTTAATTCCCAAATTGAATTTGTATGAATTTTTAACATGCATATTCAAAAACTGACTCTTTGGCTCAGTCCTTTTATCGGCATTAGGGTGACCATACGTCCTCTTTTACTCGCCATGTCCTCTTCTTTGGGGACTGTTCGGGTTTGTCCAGGAAGTTTATAAAATCCTTCAAATGTCTGCGGTTTTGTACGTAAGTTTCGATTTTGTGTCACATGGATTTACTAAGTCAGAAGCGTGAAAAAGACACTCGATCCGACCCAAAAAACTCTCAAAATTGACTTTGCGCGACTCCGTGACTCCGCCCCTGCGTAGTCGTGTCAGAATATGGTCACCCTAATCGACATACGTCCTTAAGGCTAAAACATACAGGATGCGTATTTGGAGCGTGGCAGCAGCGCTGTGTATCACGCAGCAAATAGGTTTCCATTCTTATCAATCCAGCAGAGCATGCAGGACGCGTATCAGCTCTGTCGCAGCATCGTATCAAGAGCAGCTCTGCTGAAGATACACGACAAGTCTATTTTATGCTACGCTAGGCTTCCAATGCGAAGTCCAGCACGAATACTGTGTATCAGTCCGTGTAGATGAGAAATACTTCCTGATTATGGATTTATTAGTAACTAAGAACAATCCGATGGTCAATCCCTGATCCATGTGGACCTCAACAGGACTTTGAACTGCTAACTCTGTCTAAAGGTAACAGCACAGCACAAAGGAACATAGTTTACTTTATTAAACACGAGTAAACCTGTAAAAACCCAAACTGTAAAATCACGTTGCTTTTCATATACAGTAGAGGCTCAATGTTCACTGAATTATATCCAAATTAGCAGAAAACAGACCGCAGAAAGGAAAAACAACCTGTTGTGAGCCTGTTGTTTCTTCTATACTGAGCCCAACTGACCGGGGCTGCACTACGCTGCTGCTACGCTCCAAATACGCATCGTATATGCGATACCAAATGCTGCTCTATGGAGCAAAGCCGGAACAAGTGCAATACGGTTTGAGTATATATCTGTTAAACTACCAACAAGAACTTCATATTGCATGATATGCCAGTAGGACAAACCAAAAATCCAAACCAAGTACAACATCGGACAGGATACTAAAATAAAACCGGGGTGACGATGACAGTCTGGCAGAGAATGGGTGGAAACACCAGAGTTTACCTTCAGGTCAGGCTAACTGCACAGGTGTGCAGGGTGAAAAGGTGGGAAACAGAACAATAACGGGAAGTGAATCAATCCAAAAAAAAAAAAAAAAAGGAAAACAAAATAAAATCTTGGCATGATATGACAGGAACAGCTAGGATCACACTGACTGTACAAACAGTGATAGTAGTAGCAGACACTGGAAATCTTATAGTTTAAGGTGGAGCTGCCGGCCTGAACTAGCTCTCAGACATCACTCCGTTTATTCTGCTGTTTTTTTTTCTCACAACCAATTTAGAGCAAAATGATTAAAGAGGAAATAAACCAAACAGAGCTGGTGTGAAAAAGTCAACAAAGTTAATTCATTTTCATGGCGGCTTTAATCTGTCGTTCCCATTTTTCATAACTTCAATCACGAATTTGTTCCCGACTGTGATCACATTTTTCTATTTTTCCTTTTTGCTGCTCAAACATTTATTTTTGATTACCTTCAGTTAGGAGTGCATCTGATGGTACAACAAGAAACAGGGTTTCAGCATTATCACGAGACTTAGAGACCCTCGAGAGTGTTGTTTTCTCCTCCCCAGGCTTCAAGCTGCTCTGCTGCTGTGTTTACAGCTTTGTTTACTTTGCACTGAACTTGTTACACCGCTGATTCTAGCTGACACATCTATATTTCATTCCCCATCATTCAATGTTTCATGAGGTGATTCTAACTTGTCCACAGGGGGCGCAATAGTTCACACAAAGGGGGCTTTTTCAGTCATTTAAAGTAAACCAAAAGCAGACATATGTCGATCATCCATCTACCTATCAATCCACTATCTTTCACTTATCCAAGGTTGACCCAAAACTCCCTCTTCCCACCTCTTCCTTTGGGATCCCAGGGCATTGGGGGCGGTCGGATGCACAACTTCTCCAGTGGACTCTGGGTCTCCTCTCAGTTGGACACGCCCAGAACACCTCCAAAGAGAGGCATCCCTATCAAAAGCCTGAACCACCTCAACCAACTCCTTCAATGTGAGGGACCAACAGCTCTACTCCAAGCTCCCTCAGGATGTCCAAGCTCATTTTGGTCACTTAGATAGACTGGTAAACCAAAAGCTATGCCTTCCAGCTCTGCTCTCTCTTTTTGGTGGTCCAGTGCAACATTTCCAGTACTGCTAATGCCACACTAATGCATTAGCAGTACCTGTAAACCTCACAATCCATTTTTTCCTCACTAAAAAGTCCATTACAGAGTGATGCGGGGTGACGCAGCTCAAGGAAGAACATTTATGATCATTTCTTCATGGAAATACAATCAGACCGAGACGCTAAGATAGATAGATAGATAGATAGATAGAGAACTTTATTAATCCCCGAGGGGAAATTTGGTAAGGCAGAAGAACTACCGTGTTTGCAGAGCAAAATAATCAATATGGTGATTATTACCTCAAGGAAATGATATAGACATGATCATAAATGTTCTTCCTTGAGCTGCGTCACCCCACATTCGTCCATAATGGACTGGTCTGAGGTTTCCCCACAAACAAGCGGCTGCTGGAAGAGAGTAGGTGAGTTGGCAACATTCATCTCTTGTTGGGGTGTCTAACTCGGTGTTACAGTGTGTTTGACCCTAAATTAATTTTACGCTGGAATATCCCTTTAAGACAAAAGGTTTACTCCCCACCCAGAGAGAGCCGTCCACCTTTTTCCTGCAGAGAACCGTGGCCTTGGATGTAGAGTTACCGACTCTCATCCGATCTCTTAAGCGTTTCAGTAGTTTGAGCTTTAGGAGCTCTCCAGTTGGACCAGACCTCATGGATCAGCCTCCGCTCATTCCCTGGACCTCTTTTGGCTGGTACTGACCTCTGCAGATCAGGAACAGCTTCCCCTTTAACATGTTGTTATTTTGCAGAAGGTTGTCTTTAAACAGTCTACTCATCTGAACATGAAGTATGAGTAGACTGCTTTTGAGCATGACGGGAAACATTTCTGGAGAATTTAACTTACATCTCCTTCACTCTCTCTCAAAGTTTCTTAACATTTGACTTGTTCTGGTTTGACAAGCACAAAGAAACTCTGTGCAGCGAGGGAGGGCACTGCAAGGACATCACGAGGATCGGCACATGGTAGCAGAGACTCTGACCCTCAGGGACCTGTTTGGGTTTTTATGTGTTATGAAGTTATTGGTGTTTTCTGGATGGAGCTAACGTAGGGGCATGACCGACATGAGACCGTACAGGCTAACAGGGGGAAATATGCAGATATTTTTAGTCACATTTAAAGTTCATGTTGCTTTGAGAGCACTTAAAAGGGACCCTGCGGCTGTTTTGAGTAATAAACCGTTACTTGACCTTATTCCCTTTTATCTGCCTTCCTGCCCAAGGTGTTATCCTCTTTCGTGATGTGGTATGTTATGATATCACATGCTAAATTCCAACTGATTGGTTTTGGACCTCAGTAAACATTGAAAAAAAATAAAAATGCGCATTTTGAGAACAGCTTCACCAGTTTGTATTTGTTCTGATTCACACTTGATACCTAGATCTAAAAGTTTGTGTTGTGAGTCAACCATTTTAACAAACTTCTGATGCTTTAAACTTGTTTTTTTTTTGTGAATGAAGCTCCAGAATCGTTTTCTTTTCACCTCTTTTCAGTTTAATTCATTTAAAAGTAAAGTAATTGTAAAATCTGAAAGAAAAAGTCAGCCTTTAATTCATAATATTGAGTGATAATGAAATAAAGCCGCCAATTTCTGGCCAGCTTATGGTTAGTGTAGCTTTTACATATTTAACTTTTACGGCTAACAGTGGTGTACTCAAGCCGTTTAGGGGCAGGGGCAAAAGGATTCAAAAGGGCACCATGAGCCACCAATGCACAGAAGACTGTAGTTGATGAAGATCTGTCTACAGCAGCATTTTGAGGACTTTTTTTTATCAGCGCTTCATTTTCTTTCATTCTGTGATCATGAGGTTGTTTCCCAACAGAGCTGGTTACATCCTTTTTAAAAAAAAACAACCTTTTTATTTTGCGGTACTGGGTAATAAGAAGCATGAAGGTCAGCTGGAATAGCTGTTCAACTCCTGATCATCACAGCACAGAACATTACTGCTATGCCCTCAAGGTTCCTGCCGGCTAAAGGAAGTTTTTCCTCTCCACTGTGATTCGCTAAATTCTGCGAAGTGTTACGCTCATGGAGTTGAAGACGGGATAGGAGAGGGTCTGATCTGAGGAGATGGGGCTCAGTCTTATCCCATCTTTGTAAACAGAGTCTGCTCTATACTAGCTTTTCCTCGTAAAGCGTCTTGGTGGAAACACTTGTTGTGAATTGGCGCTCTAAAAATAAAGATTGATTGATATTTCCCATGGCAAGGGCCCATAGACTGTATAAAGAATGGACGCCGTCTGCCTCCTCGCTGGGTTAAGCCACTGTGAAAACAGCACCCTCTGGTGATGGGCTGCAGTATAGGTCATAAATCCCCTTCCTCCAGCAATCCCTATGGAGCTGTGGACAAACTTTAGAGACTAATAACACAGTATATAAAATTTTCTCCCCCCAGCTTAGTATAGGATATACAGTCTATGCAAGGGCCCCAAAGTGGGGTTAGGGTTATCATATATATCAAGCCGAATGATTGCAGTCGTCATTTGGAAATTGGTCAAACCTGCATAATTATTTTATGAAAATTGATACTAGAATAAAGCTGCATTCCAGTTCTACTCGGAAGTTGGAATTTCTGAGCTCCAAGTCAGAAATTCATCTGGAACACCCTCTTCAAGTCGGACAATTCTCACCAACCCCAACGTCAAAATCCAAGATGGCAGCGCAGTGTATTGACAGTAAAGAGTAACAGTGAAAACTCTCATAATGTTTTATTTATTAGCACTTCTGTTTTGTTTTGTGAAATTAAATAAGTGGTTTATGTTGGACTGCCCAATGTCTAACTGTGGACATGATGCTATGGTGTTTGTAAGGGTAAAATACTTTGTTATGGGTTGTTTACAACTGGTATAGCTAACAACATCTTACAACAACTGACAACGGCTAACTGCAGGCGTCCATCTTGGTTTTCTGACTTGTTAACTGAAACGCTGTCAACTCGGGTGTAGCGTCATTCCCAGCTCCGACTTCTGACGTAACTGGAATGCAGCATAAACAAGCTGTTGAGCTTCTCTGGTGTTTGAATCGCCAAAAATAAAATCTCTGGAGGTTCGTGCTTGAGTTTGAGATTATGACCTTACCCTGAGGTATGTTATCAAATATGACGTTACATTAAATCACAACACTATGTGAGCTTTTCAACTTCCCCTCCTAACTTTGATATCAGAAGAAAACTACGACTCTTACATTTCATACACAGATCTGTCATGAAAGCTGATGAGGACATGTTGATATTATGGTGTTAACAGAGAAGTAATCTGAGGTCGTACAATCTTGGATCTGCGCCACGATAATCAAATCAATTAGATAAGAGCAACAAACACGCTTGGAAAGTCAGGGGCCTTTCCTGCTTTTCTCTCATTCATGGGGTTGTAGAGGGGATTAGGGGAGTGATTGCTGGGTCACTCTGCTTGGAGGGACATCAGTAATGATTTGACCAACGGAGCGGAGGAAATGATGAAAAATCCTCCCTCTTTGTGCGATGACACCACCGATGCCTCTCCATTCGGCCTAATGGGCTCCTCTCCTCCCTCATCATCCTGTTGACCTAACCATCCATCGCCACTCCCACATCTGAATTCCTCGTCTGTTTCCTGCCATTCTCCCCGTGCACGGTTTGTCCCAACAGCCAGGCGTCCGTCCACCGTGCCCTGCGTGTCCTGAAGTGTGCAGACAGACCCTGAGATGACCCCAAACCCACGAAAGACAAACATGGAAATGTATTTATACTCACCTTTGACCTTGTAGCTCCTGGTATCTTGTTGTCCATCCTTCCATGTCCGTTATATAAGACCGTGTGAAACTGGACTGGCCTGGGTTGAGGGTTTCCGCAGTATAGTGACTCTCGTATCCCATCGGGGGACCTGGGTGGAAAGAGCAACACGGGAACAAAAATAAGAAGCACCAACATAGTTTGAAAACACGGCCTGACCTCTGTGTAACCACACAATCTCTGGGCCTCATAAAGAAGGGAGACAAAACCACCAGAGCTTCAAACACTGGTCTGTAAACCTCCTTTCTTTTGGACTGAAATCGGCATTTATGCAGGTTTAAGGTTCTTCTGTGTCCTCTTACTTTGGTGTGTCCATTTCTTTTACAGTCCAAGGGCAAATCCGACAAAACAGACGTGACTCTGTAGTGGAATTCACCGCATGGGCTCTAAAACTCCATACCATGCAATGAAGAAACTGACCTCTGAGTTCACTTAGGGGTGCTAAGACAACATACAAAATTAGACTTTCCTTTTGGGAATCATGGTATCATGGTCATGTGGGTTATTATCAGCACACAGTTCAGAGCCAGGGTCTTATATTTGGGTGGCACCTCGATTGCTGAACACTGCAGGCTTTGAAAAACCACTATCCTACCATCCAGATAATGACCCTGCATTATGTGTATGTGTATTACAGCAGTATGGCTCTGAAGTAGAAGAGTCCAAATACTTAAAAGCTCTTGTGAGGAGCTTTTTGACATTTGTAATTCTCCTGAAATTCACATTGATGCCTTTTTATGATATTTAAAAATAAACAAGACCATCAGGGACAAGATTGACAACTTGTGTAGTATCAGTTTCCATGAATATTCACGATAAATGTAACATCTGAGTGCCAAAAGTCAGCAGGATGAGATTTTTTGTCACCTGACATGATTTAATCATGGATCAGACAAGATACACAAATACTGCTTTGTCCACAGGGGGCGCCGAAACGGACTCAAACTGAAAATTCCTCACAGGAGCTTTAACTGGCCTACTTGATTTGTCACCCACTGAAAATGATGAAACTGAAAAATTGAGCAGCTGAAATTTTATTTTTATCACACAGGAAATGTTTTCAGTTTTTTTAATGCTTCATCTTTATGCTATTAATTAGATTAGATTAGATTAGATCCAATTTTATTAATCCTCTTGGGAACCCTCAACTAAATTAAAAAGTTTGAGTTGTTATCTTTTGAAAAAGTCTGCAGGAAAATATAAAATATACTAAAAAAATATGCAGCAAAAGCACACTGTCACCAAAAGAAGGTCAAAATGAGTAAAATATGGTGACAGAAAAGTGAAAAAGTAGGTTTTACTATTTTAGCCGTCACCTACAGCGCCATGGCAACAGATAAAAAAGAATAAAGTACTAAAATAATAAGAATACCATCTGAAATCAGTCTAAAAGGAGGAAAGAAGTGAACTTGAAGCTATAAAAACTCAGACTTTCAGGATATGATGTCAGTGTAACATAATCTTGACACCAATGCAAAGGTTCAATTGATGAGAACAGACCGCCAGAGGAGACAGAAGCAAACATCTGAAACAAGAGGCCTCTGCTTCTTTTCACTATTACATCATGTTCTTGAAAACCCCAAAAAATGTTTCCATGAAAATCTGAATTTCCCATGAAATACTTGGAGAAATAGGCTGAATATTTGATGCACAGCCTCGGTAATCTTGTGCAGAGTTGGAGAAACACTCCCTCTCTTTTTCGTTTACTCTTAATATGCATGACCGACTCGCTTTATTGATTGAAAGGTCTGGGTTGTTCCAAAACATGAGAATCCTGATGCCAAAAATCCTCCCTTTCCCTCTCCTCCCACCTTTAAATGCTCCTTGGTTTTCTCCTCTGCCTTGATGCTGTACAGATGTTCTTCTCTAACACTCCCCTCTGGAGGAAGCCTACTCCTATTGTTCATAAAACCAGTCCCAAAGGCCCGGGCTGACCCAGCCCAACGCACAGACCGCGCAGATGCTGTGCGCAAAAGTTTCATGGGCAAATGATCACGCATGACAAATTGAAATAACACTGTTTTTGGATGTGTGCAGCCTGGAGAAGGGCATGTGGAGTACAAAAATCAATTTCCTCCTTTCTCTCTCTGCAAACTTCCTTTCGAGTCTCCTCTTTGTCCTCTGCTTCCTCGTATTCTTTCCCTTGTGTTTTATTTTGAAAAGGGCAAACTCGACTAGTCTGTAACCAGCCCTAATTGGCTGTGATTGGCCCGGCTTGGCAGACATCTTGAAGTGATTTATGTTCAAGGTTGAGCGGGTTGTAAAGGTTGGGAGTGCTTCGGGTCTGGGAGATTTTCATTCATAACCTCAGGAGATTCAATTCCCTATCCAGACTTTTCCTTGAGTGTATCTATTACGGCTCTGTCTTTGCATACTGATGCAGGAGAAATCACTTGTGCAGAATGAGGCGTTTCAGATCTTAAATGTCATCGCTTCAGACTTTTTTGGGTTTATAATTCCAGTTTTGCAATAAAAATTGAGCAGAAACTTATGATCCTCTGCTGTCAAAGTTTTACGGCCATTTCATCAGAGAAAAATCACATTTTTGGGACTCCACCTTTCTTCATTTTTGCCCGAGTAGTCATTACTTTGATGTCAAATTAATACCCTGATTTTGCAGCAATAAAAGTGAAGTACTTTTTTCATTACTCACAACAAAGGAGGACCACAGACAATGAAGCGCTGCTGTTTGCAGTGTCGTAAAGCGCTGGCATCCACTAAGTACATAATAAACCGTGTGTGTGTTCTGGCAGCACACGGCCAGATAAGGGCTGTGGAATTAATTCATTAGAGTGCTGGCTGCCCACAGATGGCTCTCATTACATGTATCTGCTCGATTCATCTCTGCAGAGCTTTCACATAAGTTAAACTGTCGGCCATAGAGGAGGTCACGGCGTGTAAAACTTGGTAATTCTAACCGGTTGTAACCATTTGTGCCAAAGTTCAATTTCACTGATATTTCGTGGTCTCCTCGGCCCCAATAAAACCTACCAAAAAGATCAGATACACTTCTGCTGGAGCAGATGTTGATTAAGGTGACTCCTCTTGCAATATAGAGGCATAGATTTTTAATTTACATGACCCTTCATGGACTTTTACATGCAGGTATCAGACCTCTAGAAAAGAAATGTGATCATAAAACTATTGGCCGAAATCAACCATGAGATGGCACTACAGGATCAGGCTTTTAAACCCACCTCCTGTCACAAAGAGGAGAGAGATTTCAGAGTGACTCAACCCTGCGCTCTTGTGGTGGTGGAAAGGACTACAGCCTTTGTTGTGGATTTGACTAAAACTGTGCAGTTAAACCTAGAGCTAGAAGAAAATGTGAGTATCTAAGTAATGCACGCAACAAAATAAAGGATCTTTATAGTATTTCAGGAAATACAAATAAAAGAGCAGCTTCAGCGTACAAGCCTCCAAGATCAGATCATTCAGCCTCCAGTCTACAGCGCACACCTTTTTATTCAAGAGCTGTGAAAGTGTTTCTTCTTGGTGAAAGGATGAGGCGCTTTGTGGGTGTGTGAGAGCGTGGGTTTTGAAGCAGGCGGGGGGAGCAACACACCTCAACCCCAGACGTTCTCTGAAGTGTTGCTCTGGGCTCGTCTGGAGACGCTCAGGTCCTCCACATCAAATATTCATTTCACAGAAACTCCTAAGCCTTAAATAATTCTCAAAGAAGTGTGCTGAAAACAAGCCTTTGCTAAGCAAGGCACGTTTCTATCTGGACAATGGATGCATGGGAGCACGAGGACGGAGACGGGGAGGGAAGAAAATAGGGGGGGGGGGGGGGGGGGGGCAGAGGAAGAGTGAGACAGGGAGTGGGTGTTGGATCTATTGTGTGGCTTTCAACTGGATGCGCAATGTGCAACAGGCCACAAAATCTAAGACAAGGGATGCATGTTGTTGGATTTTTGCACATGCATGATATCCCACTGAGCATTTCTTGGTCTAAAAGAGGTCTAATAGACGTCCAAATGTAGTCTAGACGACTGGTCTAAAATCAGGCTACCACAGGTCTAAAAATTAAAGTTTTTTCAACGTCTTAATTTAGACAAAGTTTAGACCAAGTCTAAATCTGGGCTCTATCTTTACTACACTGTATATACTGTATAGCTCAACGGCTATCATAATTATTTTGGTTAAGTACTTGGAGATCAGTACTTGAAATAGTTATGGAATAATGGGTTAAAGCGCAACGTCTAAATTCTGTCTAAAAATACACAGAATAGACGGTTGGTTCTAAAGTCCCGTCCTCGAGGCCCACTGACCTGCATGTTTTGGATGTTTCCCTGCTCCAACACACCTGATTCAAATGATCAGCTCGTTATTAAGCCATTACAGAGCTTGATAACGAGCTGATCATTTGAATCAGGTGTGTTGGAGCAGGGAAATATCCAAAACATGCAGGACAGTGGGCCTCGAGGACGGGACTTGAGAACCACTGGAATAGACGGTTGAAATAAGGTCTAAAAAAAACTAGACGTCAGCTGGAATCTGCCTGTTACTCTTAATGTGACAGTTTGTTTGAGTAACAGACATAAAATAAGATATATTATTATACCATAAATGATTAATATTGACGGTTCTTGACATGCATTAAACTGGTAGAGTTAAAGGAGTCTGGTTTTGTGGTTTTGTCACCCCTGGTCTCACCTGTGCTTTTGTTAGCATCGCAAATAGCTATTCTGACACTTCATATTACTTCCACACTGCCAACATGTTGCAGCTTGTCACTGAAGCACATAATCTGACAATGCATGTCAATAATAATGATGTATTAGCCAAGAAGATCAGACTTGACAGGAGGACTTTTGGTGAGGGGCTGCCTAGGGCTGGGCGATAAACTTTACAGATACAAAAATTTACGACAACAACCAATGTCATTTTGCCCATATCAGTATATTCTGTGTCAAAATAATTAATAAATAAAAGTTGGTTTTGGATGTGTGTAGGTAGGCTATGTTCTCATGTCCCTTTAAGACACTTTTAGAGACGTGACTCCACCCCATCCAGTCCGTAACAAAGAGGGACAAACAGGTGAGGAGATGGAGGACCGTATCGCCCAGCCCTAGTGTGGCCAGAGATGGCAACCGCATCCAAGCATGGGGCCCTCCTGTGCAGTTGGAGAGCTATCAAGTGGGTTTAAACCTCCTGATTCATCACCTTTAAGACCATGAAGATCTCAGAGGAAACCATTTTGAAAGTATCAGCTGGATATGATCTGTTAGTAAAGTGGACTTGTTCTTCATTTCAAGGTATTTGAAAATCTGCTTTCATTCCTGCAGACCACGCCTGGCACTCTGCTGTCAGTGT